TCTGCGGTGTCTTGGGCGTCTTCCGCCGCGTCTTCGGCAGTATCCTTTGCGTCGCCAACCTTGGACTCAGCGGTGTCCTTGGCGGACTCGGCAGTGTCCTGGGCGCCCTCAGCAGTGTCCTCCGCAGTCTCCTGCGCATCTTCTGCTGTGTCTTGGGCAGCCTCTTGGACATCGTTGCCAGCATCCTGAGCAGCTCCTTGCGGGTCCTGCTTGGCCTTGCCAGCGAGGTTCGATGCGCGGCCAGCGAGACCACGGGCACCGCTCAGTGCACCTCCACCAGCTTGCTTGCCGGTGTTAGCGGCCTGCTCGGTGGTTTCTGTTGCATCATCCTCTGTGTTGTCGGCAGTGTCTTCTGCGGTGTCTTCCGCGTCATCTCCTGCCTTGTGTGTGGCGTCGTCGCCAGTCTCCTCAGCTTCCTCGTCGGCGTCGTTGTCGTCGTCAATGGGCTTGGGGTCGGCCTGCTCTAGTTCGTCACCAGCTTGTGATACCTTGCCGGTGGTGTCTTCAGCAGCCTCTTCCGCCTTGCCCTTGGCATCTTGGGCGGTTTCCTCGCCCTTTTGTTTAGTGTCTTCGGCGGTGTCTTGTGCCTGGTTCTTGGTGTCCTCAGCCTTGTCCTCTCCTTGCTTCTTCACGTCCTCAGCTTGCTCAGGCACATCGGGGGTGGGGGCGTCCTCCGACTTGGGCTTGTTCAGCTTGGGGGCAGATGATTGTGGCTTTCGTCCGAGCTTGGTAGGGGTGCGGGGGGTGTCACCCTTTCCAGCTGCTGGGGAAGGCATATTGTTGAATAGAACGCTCGAGACGTTGTAGGAGTTGTCGTGTCCGTGATTCACTGTGTAGGATGAAGTGCTGTAGGAAGTAGCTCGATGATGGCCGCTTCCTGATACGTTGCTTGATATAGACTGAGAGCGTGTAGACCGGGGGGAATGTCTATTAGGTGTTGGGGGGAAAGAGTAGTACGAGTAGTTGTGGGAGGAAAAGTGTTCGTCTGTCATATATCAATTGACGAATGGTTCGTCTTTGTAGGGAGCAGAAAGTGCGGAAGGATCACAGAGAAGCAGGCATTTATGATAACTACTCCTCAATTGAGCATGCTGGAACGGATGACGTCGAATGCTGGTTTCCAGGAGCAAGAGCTTGCGCCTCAGTTGTGGAGAGGCCGAGTAAACCTGCTTTGGCGCCATAGTGTGTGCAACGAACAGGAGGAGTATTGCGTCACACTACTCACAAGCTCCAGCCTCGAGCGGGGCGTCAGCGCATCCTGGTGGCATGGCCTCCACTCAGCGTGGTGAGACAAGCGGGTAGCTGCTGCAACAGGGGTGAGAACGGCCTGTGGCTGAAAGTGGGATGGCCTAGCATCGTCGATGAACCGCGGAGAGCGGGCTGCTGCCAGGGTTGGAGTTGAATTGCAGCAGGAAGTGGAGCTGAAACGCTCTAGCGAAAAGGCTGCCTACGGTACTCTTTGCACTGGACAAGGTTAGTTTGCAGGAAGGATACCAATGACATGCAGGAAGTGAGGTTTGGGACACATGTGTCATCTCAGGCAGGCCAATACCGGGCTGTAAATACGCCTTCGCAAGGAAGAGAGCAGTGCGGAACGAGCTGGTGGAGCAAAAACACACAGAGTCCAGGCCCGATCGACGGCGCTGTGGCTGGCCTTGTCGAGCATCGGGTACAGAATCCCTGGCGGTAGTGATTTCCTCCTATCATTAGGGCGCATGCAGCAGGATGGAAGAGCAAGTCGTGCCGTGTGTGCGAGCAGGTTGCAGCGACGCGTATGATGTTGTCGGGCGCCTGACGTCATGGTGTCGGGAGCGCCCCTGCTCAAACGTCGCTTAGCGGGGGCGTAGCGTCCTTTTGGCGGCCGATCGCTGCATGCTACCAGTCTTCGGTACCACCATCGTGAGCACCACCAGCCATCACTGCGACATGGAAGACGGCATGGGAAATAGGGGACCCTGCGGCGGGCTGGAGATCAGGAACGTCGGAATTCGGGAGAGAGCAGCCGAACAGCTTCATGTCTGAAGAGGCCTGCGCTGATGATGTTGCTGAAGCTTCCGCCACTCACTGTGCCGCTGCGATGAACGGCGGGGCTCCAGCGCAACGGTCGGGACGTTGGCCGCTTCCCAACTGCGAGTGACACCACGCACCGCTAAGAGGCTGCAGCAAACCCAATCGCTATGTTCCCGTGGTGCCTAACCTCCGGGCAATTCATTGACCCTGACTTGCATCTGTTCGCTGTCTGCGCGCAACGTGGTTTCGATCACGACAAGCCGTCTCGATCGAGACATGTCCGTCGTACCCATAATTATCCTCGCGCCACAACTGCACAAGCAATTCTGCGCAGACGCACGATCGATCACTCCATCTCAGGTACCCCTATCCTGCAATCTGCCGAGTCATGGTTGAATAACAGGTTGTCAAACAAAGACACGTTTCCCAACCTCCAAAAGAAACATGGGAAATCTGGGTCCGTGACGACGCGTATGATGTCAGTCGCCGCCGTTCGTAAGAATGATGGCGGCACGGAACGGGGTCCGCAGGCTTGGAAAAATAATGTCCGCCACCGAGTCAAGCCATTACCTGTTTTCTGGTTCCTGGATTCTGCCTTTTCGATAGACGGACGTTGATCGCGCGATGATCGTGCAATGACACGCGCGAATAATGCCACATGCATGCTATCTTTAGGAATGCTATTCATTCTACAACTCCAGGTCTACTGATGATTCTAGGCAAATCGACGAGAGAGAATATTATCATGACCACGCGAAGCAAGCCACATGTAGGATGGACGGAGGCGAATATGGGGTCATGCAGGAACAGTAGCAGCCCGCTTCGTAGCTCGCATCGCAGCCAGCCGCTCACACCACTGGGGCAGACTCCCGACGGCCGTCAGGCGCAATCCCATCTTCGACATCTTCCCCCGACTTGCTCAACCACTTCTTCCTCTTTTGCTTAGCGCCCTCCCGTTCTTTGGGTGTCAGGTCGCCGTTCTCACCGCGGTCTCGACTGAGCCTCTTCCATATTCGCCGTCCAAGACTAGCTTGTTTCTTCTCTGCCTCTTTCCTCTCTGCTTCCTGCGCAAGTAACTGCCGTTCTCGTTGCGCGCTTTCGCTCTTATCCTTTTGCTCTTCCACCTTCCGTTCGTATTCTTCCGGGTGCACGACCTTTGTCTCTGCCTCCTTGACGTGCTCAACCCCATGCTTGAACTTCTTGCGTGTCTTAACGTAAGCTTCAAGGCCGACGAGGACAGCATACGACCGGGAGATGGAGACACGCGACATGTCCACTCCGTTCTCCTTCATGGAATGTACAAACGCACGGAAGTTCTTTGTCGGCGGTCGGTAGTGGCCGGACAGGGGTGAGAGGCGCCGAAGCTGACCATCCTTGACTCTGATCAGTCCTGCGGCAGATATGCGCGCACCGTGAAGAAACGAGCTGTGCTGGAAAGCACCCGATTGCTTGATCCCGACATATAGGCGGAAGGATGTGTCGGCTACCTGTGCTTTCTTAGTACATCTTCCTGACAGAGGAGAGAGTGCATATCCTACGAATATCCATGAGTTCGGCTTCACTGAACTACGGAGGAGGTGGTTCAGAATAGTGGCGGCTGACACATGTTTGAGTTTCGAGACGCCCTTAGCTTTGTTGAGATCTTCATTGACGTAGTGTTCAGCCTCCTCTGCCTCCGCATCGCTCTCGGATATTGACGAGCTTGAGCTCACTGAGATCATGGAACTTCGTCGCAGGGTCTTGCTTTGCCCAGAGTGGAGCTTAGCTTTGGGACCATAGGCAGGAGTATCATCGTCGACAGGTACAATACCGTTGACACTATCTTTGTAATCCATGGTCGTGTTGAGGCGCTCTCCGTTCTTCGCCCAGCATAGACGTCCTTCCTCGTCGATGGTGACCAGGTAGTTCTGACGCTCCTCCCGCGACAGATAGCGCACCCGCTCTGTATCCAGCCTCTCTCTAGAGACGGTTGGATGCTCAAAGTGCCTACCCTCGCCATTGTCGAGCCAATAGAAGAAGTTCTCATGGGTGTCCGCCTTCTTCCACTGCTCATGATAGGCTCTCAGATTACTGCCGTACCGATGCTTTTGGTCCACCATTTCCAGGAAGTACTGGAGGTCCATCATCTTGGCAGTCTTCTCGCGCTCGGCCTTGGACTCGTTCTGCTTCCGCCGTTGTTCCGTTTGGTTCTCGGGCGCATCCTCGTCGTCCGTCTCTGAGGCATCGTGGGGGTCGTCGGCGCCCGCTCGTCGCGCAATCTCGCCGACTCGTTTCCACTTCTCGCGCGCGGCTATGGAATTCGCTCGTACGCGGGCTTCGGGTGTAGTGAGGTTGTCGCGCAGAGCCGCCTCTTCCGAGCGCGGCTTGGGTCTCGTCGCATTACGCCATTTCGCTTGAGATGTTTAGCTTGGGCGCAGGAGGTATCGTGGTGCACTGCTAACCGTCGCGTATCGCCTGGTACCATTAGCCACACATCTCCCTGGGTAGTGCGAACGTCTCCGACCTCTGCCCACCGTGCGCTAGCATCCAGGCCCATGCCTTGGAGCTGCCTGCGCTCCCGGTAGCCGCGGTAGTTGCGCTGGATCATCTGCGCGGCTTGCTTCTGCTCATCTGTCCCCATGTCCGACTTGCGAGCCGCGACATCTTGGGCGCTTGCCATTCTTGCTCCGTCGACATATATGTGGCGCAGGACATTGAATCAGAGGCAGAGTGGAGGGTGAGGCTTGACAGCTGGTTTTCGGTGGGGCTAGTGAAGAGGCACCCCTGCTGTTCGGCTTTTCGGCAGGGGCCGCGTCATCGCGCATCGCGAAGTAAGGAAACACCACCTTCTTTTACCAACGGCTATAGCAACGGAAACTATCGCTTGCAGTCATCTGCGGGCATGTCATTGCTACTCGCTTCGTAGCAGGTTTCCGGAGATTTGAACGCTCGCGCGCAACACCCCAGGTCGAGTAGAGCATGGCTTGTGTCCAACCCCTCATGTTGCTCCACAGCATGGCGGGGACTGATTTGTATAGACTAGAGACATGAACACAGCTTCGAATACGTCGAGAGGTCTCATCTCCCCTCCACTCTCAACTCGATTGCATATAGTCCCAAGTTCGATTTACGGTACCAACTCCTAACTTGACGAATCGATAAGTCGTGTCTACCAGGTAGGTTAGCTCATCAGCGCCACAGCTGGGATATCACTCCCAAACCATGGAGGGCTGTGAAGGACCTCTTCCGTCATCATGTTGATTCCAGCCTCTATTGACTTCCATCGTCGACGTTTCAAACTGTGACCTCCCCTCATCATCTCTCAAGTGTTAATTGACCACCATGACTGAAACATCAGCCTTGAAAGCGCGCAGCTTCCGAAGATCCCGACGTATCGAGCGAGCCATCTAATGGCATGAAGAAAGCCAAGAAAGTCGGCACTACGGACCCAACAACATCGACAGCGGAGCTAGAGAGTATTGGAGCTACAGAACCAGCCCCAGCTCGCGATGAACCACATGACAATGTTGCATTGCAGCAGGAACATGCGAAAGCCAAAGATATCAAGGAGAAGAGCGGCAACGAAGTGCAGCAACCCAACACAATCGCTCCAGTGCCGGGACCCATCAAAGCAGAAGCAGAAGACGACGGAAGCGAAGACGAGAAATCAGTTTCGCCTGACGGTAGCGACGAGGACTACGATTCCGAAGAAGATGGCGATGACAAACCCTACGGTTCTGGCCTTGAACGCGACCCCGACCAGAGCGGGGGTGTGATGATGGCCCCTCTTTCCGCCGAAGATGAGTTGGCGGCGGAGATTGGATTTGCAAAACAAGATGATGAGTTTGATGAGTACGTCGAAGAGCATGGCGATGTTGTTCTAAATCGGGATCTAGCAAGCGACTCGGACGACAGCGAGGAAACAACTGACCGGAAACGGGAAGAGTTGGCGGAACTGGAGAATGATATGAATGACTTTTGATGACTTGATGTGTATTTGAGGCCTAGGTATTTTTGCAAGACTTTACCACCGTTGTTTAAATGTCAGAAGATGTTGAGCTTGATCACATGTTCAGACGTTCATGCTGCTCTTGAATACTCAAAGTTTTATAATTGTTATATCTCATGTATTTCATACTTTCCCTCTCAATTTCTATTTGTGTATCGACGGATGTTACGATTTACCTGCCTTGTTACAGCAAGTATTCAGCTCATATTCTGAAGAGGCAATCGCGACGCGGATAATTGTTCCGTTTTATATCGTGAAGAAGTTTGCTGCCTTCGTCTTAGTTTAGAAAGAGCTGCTGTCAGGGTCGTCCGATCTCATCGTTTGCACCTGCGCTTTCCTCTCACATACGATACAGCGACGTCATCGCCACAGATAAAGCACGCAAACACGGACAACCACTTGTCCTTCTTCTCCACAGCTTCAACCCACCGCTTCTTCCACTCAAGCATCACCTACAGCCCTACCTCTACCAGTCATCATGAGCGACATTCTCAGCGAGAAGGTGTCCTCCTCCGCAAGCAGCGATGCTACCACACTTTCGCAGCGATTCCAAGACCAGTTGGAAGCCATCCTGAAGAAGCTGCGGAGCGATCCAAGCACCATCACAGCTGAGGAAGCTCGTATTCTATCTGAGAACGTCGCTATACGTGACGACAGAGCGGTCCGCATTATCTCTGCCGTCGAATCCCTAGCTATTGCTAACAAGGTGTGGATTAGAAGGGATCCAGTCAAGCTCAGGCTTCTCATCGTTCCCTGCTGATGGCCGCCAAGGACCTGCATATCGCTGTAGATGGCAGCCCTTACGAGGCAACCACCGAGGTCCTTCGTGTTGCGCAGAGCATCGTTAGCAGTAAGTGCCTACTTCCACATGGCATCCCGCTCGATCCTTCGCTTTACATCGAGACGAAGACTGACGACTTACAGAACTGCAAAAGGCCGTTGGCCATACCAATGCTCCTCACCCCGAAGTCGAAGCTGAGCTACAAGAGGAAATCGCTAAGATCGAACCCAAGATTGCGCAAGGCACTGTCACCAAGGCTGAAGCCGATCATCTCCATTCTCTCGAGGCCCGCGCCCACGGTCATACTGAGAAGGGCGGCATCGCCGCTGTCGCCCAGTCTGTTGCGGCCAGACGTGAGCGTCAACTATCAATGAGCAGCAGCACTGGATCTATCTTGAGTCCTATCAACGGAAGATCTCGTGCCAACAGTAGGAACTTCACATCACCTCAGCAACGGTCTCGTCAAGAGAGGGAAGATGACTCCCGCAACGCGGAAATGACTATGAGGTCTAAGATCAAGGCAGACACTGTTGCCGCATTGGGGATCGATAAACCACAGTCTCTCGACGCTCGTGCTTACCGCGGCACTGAGGAACATGTATACTTGGGGCTCTGTGAATCGCACGCCAACAATGAAAATGCTCATGCCAGCGATGAACGTCACCGCGCCAGCAGCGAAAGCATCTACTCCCATGACACACTGTTTAGCTGCAAACATCACGGGGATCTATACGACGGTAATTCCGCTATCTGGCCCAAGGGAGAGAACGTCTTCTCTACTCAACCAGACCCCAAAACGATCCAGTCGCAAGAGATGCATACCCCCGGTAACACCGAGAAGAGTGGTCTCAGCCCTACTGCACAGGCCTTCGTCTCCCGTAGACGTCAAGAGTCCCTCAGCGATGTTTCCAACTCCTCCGCGACTAAGCACCGCAAAGAGCAGTCACAGCCCGAAAAGGACCTTGACAGAGTTGATGAGGAACTTGGAGACAACGAGTATGACATCTACGTGAAGAGCCTTGTGCAGGACGGCCATGGTCGAGTAGACGAGAACGGAAGGTTTCTGGCTGAGCCAAGCTACGACGCGGACGATCGATGAGGGAGTTAGGCATGGCAGTGACATGATAGGAGTGTCCGTGAATGTCGGAGATGTATCTAAGATGGTAGAGGAGTAGGTGATATTCGAGATTCACTATAACCGGATATGGGCAGGTGGCATGGAGGTCACGAACCTATACATAGATGACCTGTCCGCTGGACACCCTAATGAACCACACTTTACCCTGTAAATCTACAGATAAATCGCGCTACTTGCCAGTTTGGACATGTCTCCCCGGTCATCACGTCCCAACGCTTGATCACCTCGTGTGAACCCAACAGAAGTAAGGTCTATGGTATCAATTCCTACATGCCTACTCAAAAAGCCATCCCCATCCCAACCCAAGCCGCTAAATGCATGACAAGGTCCCCTCCAGTGCACTCTTCATCCTCTCACTTAATCTCCGTCTTCGCCATCATATCCGCCAAATCATCAACCTTCTTATCCTTCTCCTGACCCACATTACTCTCCTCAGCCTCGTTATCCTCGGCAATCTGTCTCGCGGCCTTCTCCTCTACCTCAACACCCTCCTCATCCTCAACGTCCCCACGCTTTTCTTCCGCATCACTCTCCTCCTCGTCTTCGTCGTCATCATCCAACTCGTCCAGCTCATCTAGACCCCAGTACTCGTCGTCGTCCGCATTCTCACCACTCTCCTCTTTCCGTGCATCGAGCACATCGCGCAGTTTCTCGATACTGGGGTCCTCCTCGTCAAACTTGTTGCCATTGATTTCGACGCGGCGGAGCGCGGGGAGTGCGGTGTGAGAAGCGGAAGCCAGGCCAGCGAGACCCTTGGCGTTGATGTCGTTGAATTGAAGGCGCAGGACCTCGACTTTCTTGTTGTTGCCCTTCTCTAGTGCAGCAGCGAGGGCGACGCCGCCCCGGCCACTGAGCAGACAGTCGCCTACGCCGAGTTCGCGGAGCTCAGTCCAGTTGCCGACGGCGCTGCTGAGGGCCTTTGCGCCCATGGCTGTGAAGGTGTTGTCTTGCAGGTCGAGGGTATCTAGTTTGGAGAGGTGGGCGAGGCCGTTGGTGATGAGGTGCGAGATACCCTCCTGACGGATACCGTTCTGCGTCATCTTGATGGTCTTGACGCCGGTGTTGGCGGCGTATGCTTTTGCCCATGCGCCCATGCTGCCGTTCTCCAGGCGGTTGCGACCGCAGATTACGAGTTCGAGGTCGGGCACGTCTTTGCCGTCTTTGCGCGCGGCCGCCTTCTTGGCGGCGAGCGCGGTGAGCGCATCTGCGACGAGGACGCCGGCGGCGGGTCCCAGGCCGTTGTTGTTGAGGTATAAGTACCGTAGTGGGGTGTGTTGCGACAGGAAGTCTACGAGCGGGGCAACCGTGTTGAGGCCGAACGCGTTGTCCGAGAGGTCGACGGTGTGGAGGTTTGGTAGTGTGAGGAGCGAGGTGAGGAGGTGGGATAGCGCGGGCGGGATCTCAGAGAGGAGACGCGAGGTGAAGATGTCGGCGAGGTTTGCGACCTGGAATTTGGGTCAATCAGTCTAGTCTGTCTTTGACGTCGCAGCGCCGATGAGCGGGGTTGTGAACATACCTGGAGGTTTTTCTTGCTCTCCAATACCTTAGCGAGCGCCTCGCTGGCTCCAATACCCAGTGTGTTGCCCAAGAACTTGATCTCCTCTACATCGTCGTTGCTCTTGAGGTCCTGGATGTGTGGCTCAATATCCTCGGCGGTGGTGAGTTTGAGGCCCTTGCCCTCGATAGAAAAGATCTTTGCGCCAGCCATGTTTTCGCACAGCCCGTTGCAAGTTACAGTAAGGATAGAGCAGCGGAATGCAGTACAACAGGGGGCGGGTTTGTTGTTTATACTTTATAGTGTGAGTCGTGGGGCGCAAAACGTAGTGGGGTTGATTGAGATTCATTGTCTAGAACCCCCTGTCGCCTGCAGGGTTAGTTTTAGCCGAACCGTGGAAGCCTCGTGTGGCGTATGGAGCGCCGCGGGAGTCCGATGACATGTTCTGGGAACTTTTGCGATTGCTAAGCATCTTCAATTCACCTCCACCACACACCCACACACACAATGTCGTCAGGTATGCTCACAGTTTGACAATGGCATCTATGCGACGCAGAGTAGCTAATTGATGGCGTTCTAGCACCGCCAACCGCTGCCAACATGGGCTCAGACCTCAAGGACACCACCGCGCCAGCCAAAGTTAAGCGTGAGTTTCTACCCAACTTCTTGGTACCTACCGTTCTAGTACTGACTCCTGAATAGCATGCTGCGTCTGCACAGACCAAAAGGCTAAACGCGACGAATGCATGCTCTTCTCGACATCGAACGACCCCCAGAAAGAGTGCTTCACCCTCGTCGACGACTACAAGAAGTGTATGGCTGGATACGGCTTCAAGATATAGCGAGTTGAGGGATGGAATTGTATACGACATGTACAACACAAGCATATGGGTGGCGTTGCGCACGATACGTGTTTTTAGATTCGGTGTACAATACTATACATGAGGAACCGCGATCTTCCCTCCAAAATCTACTTGGGTATCTTGAAGAAGTGCTGAAGTGCGACAACGAAAGTCTACCAACCTTTTACTGCGTCTTGCTCTTTTCTACTCCAAACAACTCACTCTTGACAACAAGTCGCCACAAGCACCATAGGTAGCAAATACCAAAGCCGCCCGTCCCGACAATCGCATTTGCGACAACCCAGAGATCCGGTTTGTCGGCTGGGGGAGGGTAGAAGGCCTCCGCGATGTGCCACCCAATCATGGCAATGTAGATGTTGAGATGAAGGATTTTGCTGAATATGTTCAGTCCGCCCCGGCTGCCTTCATGGTAGGCGGAGAAAGAAACTGGGGGGAGACCGAGAAGATAGGCCCACAAGAGGGATATAACAAAGTATGGAACTCGTAGTTCGTCTCTCTTGAGCAGCGGGAACATTGTCCAGACGCCGAGCATGTTTGCAAGACCAACCCACGCGCGGGTGGAAGGTAGCAGGCCATCCTTTCCGCTGAGAAGCAGTGTCATCGGCAACAGCGGAAGCAAGACATTCTTCTCATGCACCTGATATGAACAGAGAAAGAAGCCCCAGGATACCGCCGCAAACGCCAGTGGAAGAAGCTGCTTCTTAGGCTTGACAAATATGATCAAGCATGGCGGTAGAATCGCAACAGTCGTGGCGAGTAGCGCGAGACGCTGAAGTAGCTCGATTGGATAGCGATGAAGCTTGTGGAAAGTATGGATAGTGCACCAGATGTTGGCAACCTTGTCCTCGAACAAACCACGAGAGAAGGGAAAGATGCGGTGGATAGACTGTCCCATCTCCAGAACATACGGGTAATACCAGGCGTTCATATTCCACGGCGTCATGAACCATCTCAGGTTCAGCAGCGGAGGGAGATCCAAAGGATCGTAATTGAAGCCGGTATACGTGTCGTACGCGACGCCCATTAAGAAGGGCAGGAACAACACGGCGAATGCGGCCACAGTAGTCAGCGCGATCGCAAGGAACCGCACGATGTTGATCCTGGGAAAGAGACAGATGCCCAGCAAGTATGCGAATACCGCAGGCGCATAGAACAATGCCATCTGTTTAAATCCAAGCGCACCGACGAAGAAGACACATCCCCACAGCGGTCTTCCAGCGATTATACTCGAGAGTGTTGCGACTGCAAAACCAAGCATAACGGTGTTGTATTGGAAGTGCCCATGATCAATCAAGATCGTCCCCGGTTGCATTAGGATAGCTACCAGCGCAATCGACGACTCCCAAATGTTGACACCCTCTAGTCGCGAGTATCGGCGGAGGAAGATGATCGTTGCGGGAACGTAGATGAGGTATTCGGATACGAAGACGGTGGCTCGCATGTATATCTTGAGGGAAGGGTCATCGAGCGCCCGCGACTCGTCCAGAGCGAACCATTTGGAGTCGATAGCAGAACCACTACGATGATTAGTACTCGCATTTGACATCCAATGCTCCAACATACATGACACCCAGTATCCAGCTATGATAAGCAGTCAAAGGTGGGTAATCCAGTCCCCACCACTGCAAGTCGTAGAAGTACCATTTCGACACGGGTAGGTGTTTGGTGATTTCCATCCAATGCCGCTGAGCCTCAAAGTCACCATGCATTGGCGGTGACTGGAATCCAGAATAGCCCCACAGACTGACAGTCCATCTGAACAGGCCAACTGCCATCAAGATGAGGGGTATCGTGACCCATTGCGAGACAGTGCCCTTGGCTGGCCAGAGAAACGCGACGAGAGGAAACGCGGGTTTCCGTGCGTTGGTCGAGTGGTCGAGATCGAGCGTACCGTGTGCGACCTGGGCGAGAGAGCCCTCTCCAATGTTTCGCCGCCGTCGCGGCTTGTGGGCTGCTGGAGATGCCATGTTGGAGCTGCCCAGGTGAGCTTGGTGAGGGCCCGGACGGAATCGAGGACTCGTGGCGGAGATTCTAGACTATACCGCTTCTGCGCTAGCTTGTGCCCTGCATTTGAGCCCTTGAAGAGTTCAATACCCAGATCTCTTCGGACGAAGAAGAGTCAGCGCCCTTGCTCCAGGCTATTACCTAGACTAGCTGCTCTGTAGCTTTGGTTCTCGATGGAGTCGTAACGTACATATCACATTTGTAGGCAATTGAAGCTGCCGGAATCACATATAGGTTGTGGCATGACCAAGCTGCTGCGAGCACCGTTACGAGAGCACAGTGGGCAACCTCGGCAAACATTCTACCTGAGATTGATCCATTCTGGCAGCTGCATAGACTATGCGTGTTCTCCTCCAATACGATTTGCATATGGTGGCCCCTCTGTGTAAGTAGACGTACCGGGGTCCTGTGTATTGATCATGCCAACTTTCTCGCATTCCCGCACAGGAATCATCGTTTCTACTACATTTCAATAAATCCCAGTCATCTCGAGACCCTGAGATCTCGCCTGGAAGAAATACCGCCGTCGCCGTTGGATGGAGTTCGCGTGGGGCGAATCTAGCGTACCTCGAGAAAACGCGTCCCTAGCGCAACGCTCGGGCCCCAGATCCGCTGAAAAGTTCGATGCTGATCCTTCCGCTACATAAACTGCGCGCTCCCAGCCATTTGCATCTACCTACCATCAACCTTCTTCACAACTTCTTTCGAACTTTCACCGTTCGAAATCTACACTGAGGGCTTTCGCGATTCTCAAGTGGGCTACTGAGGGCAACATCCAGTACCAGATCAAATTACAAGTCAGTGGGCAACGTTTGGCTTTTCCTTAACACACATTACAGAGGGCACGCCTGCCGCTCGTCAGGGCAAGGCAAGATCATCCTGAGGGCTTTTTGCTACTATGAGGGTTAATCTTCCGTCTTCTCGGCGCTTGTGGGAACACATGCCTTGAAGCTCGGTTTCTGTGGGCTCTTGTGGGCTTTCCGTGGGCTTGAGGGATACCCGCTTCGTGCGGTCTCGAGAGATACCAGTGGGCTTTTCGCAATTTGAGACAATCAGACCAGCAGGCTGGCGCACACGATGACCTTTTAGCATCAGCGCCCGAGCGACGGCTTCATGCCGTCGGCTCCTCTCTTTCCTTTTTCAGTCGCACATCATTGGCGCTCTCGCCGCACATTTCACAATACTAATGCGTTGTAGATCTAGTTACCAATCATCAAAATGGGCAAGACCAAGGTCGCGGACAAGTCGTCCAAGAAGGAGAAGAAGTCTGAGCTCGCCAGCGTCAAGGCTGGTCGCGTCACCAAGCCCGCGGCTACTCCCAAGTCGAAGAGCAAGGACATTGCCAAGTCAGTTGCTTCCAACGTCAAGGACAAGAAGAAGTCGAAGAAGGCTCCTACCCCAGAGCCCGAGTCTGATTCTTCGTCTGAGAGCGAGAGCGAGAGCGAAGATTCCTCTGAGAGCAGCAGCGAGGAGGAGGTCGAGCAGAAGAAGACTCCTGCCAAGGCTGCTCCTAAGGTCGCTGCTAAGGCGGACTCCGATTCTGACTCGTCCGACAGCTCCGAAGAGGACAGCGACAGCGACAGCAGCGAGGATGAGAAGCCTGCCCCCAAGGCCAAGGCCAACGGTGTGAAGAAGGCCGCGGCTAAGGCCGAGTCCAGCGACTCCGACAGCGACTCCAGCAGCGAGTCTGAGGCTGAGAAGCCCGCCGCTAAGGCTGAGGTTAGTTCACCATTCTTCCACCACTCAACGTAGACTAACTTTGACAGGCCACCTCCGACTCCGACGATTCCTCTGACGCCGACTCCGACGACTCCTCCGCTTCCGAGAGCGAGGAGGCTCCCTCCAAGAAGCGCAAGGCTGAGGAGGCTGCTGCCCCCGCTGTCAAGAAGACCAAGACTGAGGAGCCCGCCGCTGAGGAGGGTATCAAGAACCTCTTCGTCGGTAACATGAGCTGGAACATCGACGAGGACTGGCTCCGCCGCGAGTTCGAGGGCTTCGGTGAGATTGTTGGCTGCCGTGTCATCACCGACCGTGAGACTGGCCGTGCTAAGGGTTTCGGTTACGTCGAGTTCGCCAACGCTGCCGACGCCGCCAAGGCACAGAAGGAGATGCACGAGTACGAGCTTGACGGCCGTCAGCTCAACGTCGACTTCAGCACTCCCCGCGCTAAGCCCGATGCCAACGGTGCCCGTGCCAACAAGTACGGTGACAAGCGCAGCCCTCCCAGCAGCACCCTCTTCCTCGGCAACGTCTCATTCGAGTGCTCCAACGAGAGCATCCAGGAGGTCTTCCAGGAGTACGGTAACATCACCCGTGTCTCTCTTCCCACCGACCGTGACACCGGCTCCCTGAAGGGTTTCGGATACGTCGACTTCGGTTCCCAGGAGGAGGCTACTGCCGCTCTTGAGGCTTTGAACGGCCAGGACATCGGCGGCCGTGCCATCCGCATCGACTACGCTCAACCTCGTGAGGACAACGGTGGCGGCGGTGGCTTCGGCGGTGGCCGTGGTGGTGGTCGCGGTGGACGTGGCGGCGGCCGTGGTGGCTTCGGCGACCGTGGTGGTCGTGGCGGAGGCCGTGGCTTCGGTGGTGGTCGCGGAGGCGGCCGTGGTGGTGCCCGTGGCGGTCGCGGTGGTTCATTCAACCGTGGTGGCTTCGGTGACTTCCAGGGACAGAAGAAGAGCTTCGACTAAGCGTCTCTTTTGAGTCATCGCCTTTCACATCCTTTCGTGTATCTGCTTTGATCATCTCGGAGAGTAAGTAATGGAGCTGCCGTACGATATGATGTGACATGATCATCGGATCTGGTTTCCGGCCCTCTGGGTATGGCGTTCATGGGTAAAAGTTGTTTGATTAGAGATACTCAATCACTCGGTTTGATGCAGGCCCGTCGTGGCAATTTAGTCGTCGATAGTACAACGATCGCATTTCAAAAACTTCTTTCAATCTGATACGTGATGTCGTGACACGCCTTTCTTGACATGTTGCTCTTCAACATTTTCCTAACAAGCTTCCATGACTGATCAAGTTCAATCGCGAGTCGCCATACCTTGTCACTTCTAGCATTGCTTACTTAAAGTGGGAGGACGTGTAACCCCAAAGTCGCACGAACTTGTAAGCTAAGAATTCGCGTCGCTTGGGGACTTTTCGTTCATAGTGCGTGTACTAACACGTATAATCTCAGTGCCCAAATCGATCAAGTCACATCACAGCAGCCAATTGTGAAAGCTTTGTCAAGGCAGATGGCTGGCTCATGAACCAGAATACGATGTTTTGCTATATACTCATACAACCCAAGAAGCAGAGTGCGGATACCAACACAAGGAGACCGATGGATAAACAGCAGAACACACTACAGACAAACGAAAGAAAAAGAAAACACACAATGTCGACGCGCTATTGGTACATCAAGACATACAACTGAAAGATGATGATGATGATATCCCAACATCGATGGTGTATCAATCAAACCTCCTGGACATCCTCCAAACTAAACTGCTTCTCAGCATCAGCATCAAAGCACGTCTCCCAGCAGAGAACCTCGCTGGGGAAATCCTTCTCCACACTCGGTCGCTCGCGGACGAACCACGCTAGACCCGCACCTACGATGCCGAAGAGTGCGAGGCAAGTCCACAGAGCGAAGTTTGTTGTTTGCACGCTGAGGTCGTCGCTGAAGTAGTAGCTTGTTCCACTGACTGCGACGGCGAAAGCCTTGAAGAGGCTGGCGATTTGCATCATGCCGACGACGGTGCCGGCGGAGAAGGCATCGGGTGTGGTGTTGAGGACGAGGAGGGACACGACGACATTTGCGCCGCCGGTGAGGAGGTGTTGCGCGAAGATGGAGAAGGTGGAGATGACGGGCTCGAGGCCGGAGCAGGTGACTACGATGGCGAGGATGGGTGTGAGGACGTAGGTTGCGGGGAGCATGGCGGAGACAGAGCGGTATAGTTTGACCAGGCCGTATTTCTCGGTTGCGTAGGGGATGGCGTAGAACAGTACCATGCCGGCCATGCCGCGGACACAGAGGACGACGATGCTGAGCCACTCGCAGGAGATGCCCATGCCGCCTTGGTCTGTGCTGCTGTGTCCGAGGTGGGGGAGGACGACGTCGAATGTCGAGGCGTGGAGCGAGAGGAGGCAGAAGGAGGAGAGGAGAACCATGAGCGAGGGTGCTTGGAGGAATTGGGAGATGGTGATGGGGTCTGGGCGAGCAAAGTCGACGAGGGTGACGTTGGTGTCTTCCGAGTCACGACGGAGGAAGGCGGCCTTTTCACAGTCCATGTCGATGGGGTCTGCTGAGCGGTCGTTGTGGTGGGGAAGCGTTTCCTTGAGGCAGATACTCGCCGTGAGCGCGATGCCGAACAGTACGGCTCCGCAGGCTAGCTCAGAGCCCAGGGTTGGGTAGTCTTGCCAGACCATGTTGTATGCCTGGAGGCTCTCCGATACCATGAGTTGCATGATCGGGCCCATGGAGCCACCAAGGGAAATAGTAGGTAGCCGGGCGACGTTCTTCGCCCTCTCCTCTGCCGATGTGCTCAAGTCTCCAATCATGGTCAGGGTTGTGCATACGATGGCTGAGCTGACCATGCCAGCGAAGAAGCGAAAGATTGTGCAGCTGACGAGACTGGTCGCGAATCCCATGCTCAAGCAGCATGCGAACATGCTCCAGAGCCCGATGAGCGTAACGCGCCGTCTTCCCATGCGGTCGGCGAGGTATCCCCAGAATAGACCTGTTGTTCCACCAAATGCATATGCGCAGTCGAGTATACTTCGGAGGTATGAGGAAGAGAGGGTGCCGCAGTAGTCGGAGGACGAGAGGAGCATTTGGAGCTGTGGTTGGAGACTTGATGCCATGATGCTACACCCATGTCAGCACAAGTCGGAAGAAACGGGTCATCTCTCAGGAGATAGTATCGTAGAACTTACGCCTCAGCAAGAAAGATGAGGTATACCAGCATCAATTGCATCCGCCGCGACTTATCCGCACCGTCTGGCGCGCTGTGACTCTCCATCTCTTCCTCTACATCCCGCTCCTCCTCTTCCTCGACCATAGCGACCTTATCATATTTGCCCAAATCCTTGACCGGTATTAAAGACCTCGTTCTTCTGTGAAAACCCAACATCTTGCAAAAACTCAAATAATCGACCCGAAAAACTCGTTTGCGAGCGCTTCGAATGCGCGATAACGCGATGTAACCGCGAGGGGAGTGAGCGTGTAGGCACGAACCAGCGTGAACCTATGAGAGATTGTAACGGCCGCGAGAGACCTAAGGATAAGCAGCGAGAGGGAGAGAGCGACAAGAAAGACGAGAGCGATAAAGACTCGCCTCGGAAAGAGAGAGGGTTGAACAGTCAGAACGACGACGGCGGCAACGGCATCGCGAGGGGTTTGAGCTCGACGGGGCTCATGAAACGGAACTATACTGCCCGGCGTCTTATTGGCGTTGGCTGTTCCCAAAGTTTGGGCGCTAGTACGTTCAGGGTCAAGTCGCTTAACGCGGAGCACGCTGATGTCACATGGTGGTTCTCCTGATCCACTGCGCGCGGGAAACCTGCATATTCCTATAATAGGTCCCCTCTTTCGCGGTCATGGCTTCGACGTTGGTTTTGGCGAAGACTGCGATTCTTTGCCTGAAGCAATGTTGCGCGCGCAACTCGAGATGGACGTTTCAAGAGCCGCGTGCAGCGAGTTGTCTGCATCTTGTCATCCACACGCGAAATTAGGTTTTTGCTTCGTTTGGAAGATACTTGGCTAAACATGGTGCTGGGATATAGAGGCAACGGAGGTACGCCGCGCGCCGATAGGATCGTTGCGGAATGTAACAGCATCCATCGCACTACCATGGTGCGCGTATCTATGGATTGCTTGTGACGCTACATATACCAATACTAACGTATAGCATCAACCGATATGCGTGTCAAGATTACTGCATGTCTCTGGCACATATCACGCCCTAAGCATACTGCGGCGCACTCTCAATCTCCTACCAGTCACATGGTATAAAGCGATGATCCGCCAAAGATCTGCGGTATGGAGCTAGAGTGTACTGAATTCGTCCAGTTTAAATGTTGCATCAGTGAAGCGCATCGCGCAATCCTCATGGTCATGTCGACAAGCGAGCCATTCGAGTTAGTAACAGCTTGCGAAGCATGATTTCGGGACCATAGGGTCGATGGTGCGTGTTCAGGAATACAGCGAAAGGGCTTTTCGCTCTATACCTAGGTAGAGTTTCCGGTACTCAGATACAGTGTCGGATTTGAGAGTGAAAAGTTCGCATTGGGCGATTGTACGGTGCCGTGGTTCGATGTGGATAATCCACAGAAGCTCATGATATCCCATTATAGTATTCGAGTTCTACGTGGTATATTTACTGCATCAGATCGTCTCTTCTTGTGCAGCCACAATACCACGTTGATCATATAAGTCATTATTATGTCCATTTCGTCCCTTCAGATGTTGAATGATAACTCCACACATAAGGTTCCTCGAACTGGCAACTTCCCCTGCTGCCTTCGGGACAGCGTGATACCATCGGAACCGACAGGTCTTCCCACACCGCCAGCAACCCCTGTGACCCGCTCATTAGCAGATCTTCCCGCACCTCCAACTGTCAGCTTCCCCTCCCGCCACCGGGATAGGGTAATACCATCAGAGCCGACACTTCCTACACCTCCAGCAACCCTTGTGTTCCCCTCACCGGCAAAACTTCCCGCACCTCCAACATTCTTCCAACACTCCATACCGGCAGAAAGCTTCATCACTACGCCATGGTGGACATATCCTTCATTAGCAGAATACTGTAGCATTCGATCGATACTTCTGCTATATTGGCATATCTTCAATCTCGTACTCGAGTACGAATGCAGACCTTCTGTTTACCACGTCCAGTGGATGAAAACTGGATGGAACAGGCCTTCAATCATCACCGAAGTTCCATGTCGAGATAGCAATGGAAGCTTAATGTATGCCATTGGTTCTCGGGCCCATGGTCCTTCGGTATCCCTTCTCGACCGACTTGCGCGCAATAAGCATAATCACTGTGACTTCAGCATCCAGCTGTTTCTGATCTACCTCGAGCCTGCCCTGAAACGGATTGGAGCGACGATAACTTGGCTCACCGTCCAATCTAAGCCTATCATCATCCATCACCTGGAAGGGGAACCGCCGGATCCGTTTGTTCGCCACAGTGTCTTCAGCATTACAACCCGAACCGGAGCGGAATACATTGCAGACTTTACGATGGAGCAATTTGGCTTCAACATCGAGAATTTGCTGATGCACAAGAGTTATTACGAAAACATGTACACTACGCACCGACAGAATCCACAGCCGAGTACTGAAGAGATTGAAAAAGCACGGCGAGGCGAGTTTAAAGATTGGAATGGAAAGGGCTGCGTTGTGAGAGAAGTTTGTAGCATTATGACCTTACATCGATGGAACTCCTTGGATGAAGGGACGAGGTTGCTGGCGTTGGAGATTCTAGTTAGACAGATTTCTGCGCGCCGATGGGGTTGGCATCCGGATTATTGTACCGACCTAACGTGTAGTGAACACTTCACACATGCCAGAGACCGAACGAATGCGATGCCGCCTGCAGTCTACGTTGGTATAGAAACGAAAGATAGCACAATCTTAACGTAATGTCGACTTCTAGCTTGTTCACTTCTATCATTCCCTGTAGCTGGGCAGGTGTTCAACTTTTCCCCAGAAGGGGGCTGAGGAATTAGCATAAACGATCGTAATAGCGAACAGCTCATATTTCTGAGGCGTGATGCCAGCGACCAGGATGCTATGTAAAGCTTACTAGCGGGGCATTGCAGCATGTTAATACATGTTAAGGACTATGTGATTTTTGGTAGTGTGTTGTACTAGGTATAGAGTCGCGTTGGAGGCTTCGGTGATGTCTTTCGTAGCAGTGTAGTCAGGATAGTGTCGTAGGTTAGAGGAAAGAAGGATGACTACTTGAAGCCGGCGGCCCATGTGGTCGGAGTATGAGTGCAGAGTGATGTGACGAATCATCGGTGCGTGCTTTTGCAAAAGGAAGGAAGTGCACTGAAGTCTAAGGTGGACGGAGTGGCTTGCGATAGGAACAGACACTTCGAATGCTAGCCATTACGACGTAATCGGTCAGAAACATGTCCACGCTTAAATATCCGGCTTTTGTCCGCAGCGAGTCGTGAGAGAGGGTGAATCCAACGTCTGGGGGTGGCGACCTGCGTAAAGTGTAAGACAACCAACACGCCTATACTTAGTCCCGGAGTACCCCGTCATGGGTCTTATATGTGTGACTCCCTCAATATCAACATCTCTCCGCCCTGCATGCGCAGCCCTATAAATCACATGCAGGTTGACGACGTGTTTTTGGCCCCCACGATTCCGGTGAAAGGCGTCCTGTGCGATTCGCCCAATCGAAGGATGCGGGATACGTATGGGCCGATGTCCAGAACATCAGGACACGGTGCAATTGCGCAGCGACGGAAAAAGCGGGTAGGACGGCGTGCGCAAATGTGCAATTCCAGGGAGCGGGGACGGCGGGTTTATCAGTAGCGACGTGTTAGTTGTGTTTAGCAGCTGATCCACCAGAAGTGGTGAGGATGGCGAAGTCGATGCATCCATGCACAGCCCTGCCGCCCTTCAAAGCCTCCACCCATAGGGCGCCTGATGCCATTCACCAATGATACGCGTGCACTAGCAGCCGTTCCTGCGCTTCTTGGGTTGACCGGTTTCTGGCCAGGGTTTTGTCACCGCTGGATGGAGGACAATTCTCGTGGTTCAGTGTCTTTTACCACAGTCGGATTGCGGTGAGGGATGGAATAGTTTTCGCAATCGCCTCCCGTATCAACAGAAACGGCAGAGATACTCAGAAGACGGAGTGGCTGCTATTGTGCAAATGGGCGAATAATGGTATGCAGCTCGTATTCAGGATCCGAGCAGGGGCTGACTGCGCGGAACGTCAGATGTCCGTGCACTGCTGCCTGGAGTTGGACTCCACTTGCTGGAGGAAGCGACGACAACCCGTTCCTTCCCTCTTGAACCACCTATCCCCCCAGCCCGCGCTCCTCGATATCTCTTCTTGCTTCAAATCCTAATCCCTCAGGCCTCCCTCCTCGTCCTCTTTTTGCACCGCAGACCCGCCGCCCTTGTGCCTCTTTGCCGCTCGCCGCCCGTCTTACTCCACGTGCTGCGCCTTCCTATATACCTGCACGTCTCCTCCGACACCAGACCAGAGGACTCAGCGCCCTTTCCTCGCTCGCTGCATCACCATCACTACTCTAGCCTATCATCTGCTAGCTTCCGCGGCCGCAAAGGTTCCACTATCCCCGGTCAATGAAAACGTGATCTGGGCTCTGATAACCACTCACACTTGGTCCCTTTGGATCGCCGGGCTTGGGGAACTGTGCAGTCCGTGACTCACCTGAGGCCGCCTTTCCCACTTCAACCGGTACGACGACCAGTCATACTCAACATGTCTGCACCCCACGACCAGAACCGTCATCCCCGCCGCCGTCCTCTTAAGGGTTCCGCATCCCCTCTGAGCACCCATGGCATGCAGCTAAGGAAGAGCGGTACTTTCTCGTCGCCAACCCACATATCGTCCGACATCTGCGAGGTGGACCGATACTTCATGCCCCGCCGCTCGCCAACCAACACTGACAGGCTGGAAGAGCTAGTCAACGACTCCATCCAGGACCCTAGCGTGCGTCGTGTCACCAACCTGCTCAAGGACTTCGAGGCGAGGGTCGCTGGCCATAAGAGCGCTGCCGCCGGTTGCGATCTTCTCAACGATCCGGAGGTTCTTCCTGTCCCGAGCTTTGTCCTCGACAGCGCCTCATTGGACCACACCCCAATGGACATCGACTCAAAGCCTACTGCAGTTCGACGCAGCCCCCACGACCACGCTTCTGACAGCGGTCTGGGTTCCAGCATCAGTGGATCGAAATACGGTAAGGAGTCACTGCAGCCACCCGTCTTGGACGAGAACGCCCCACATACTAACATATATAAAGACGAGATTCGCTCCCAGCGCTCGAGCGTCCGTGAATCCATCAGCACTTCAATCAGCTCGACGCACTCGGCTGTCACCAGGTCTTTCTCCTCGCTCAGTACTTCCGACGAGGGTCACGTGCTCGGCGAGCACACGTGCAAGCAGATTCACGACTACATCGTCAAGCCCATTCTCGCCGAGGAGTCTCTCAAGGACTTCCACTCCCTCGTAAAGGACGTGCCTCGACGCATAGGTGAGAAGCACATCCGCAACCTCCGTGATCTCGAGAAGACCCTCATCTTCCTCGCACCGGTAAGTGGATCCACCCGTTGTCTTTCTCAAAGTGCAGAAGCTTATTGCATTTTTCGTGGTTTAAAGGAGCTGTCGGCTTCCCCGGACTCGTACTCCCGCTTCTGCGAACGATCAATCCAACTCTTGGCTACGACCGTCCAGTACATTTCCGAACAAGACCGGCGACTACCAACCGACCGCCCTTATACTGACGGCTACTTCCTCGATTTGATGGAACAGATTAGACGATACGCTTCAATCATGGCTGCTACAAGAGAAAAAGAATCCAAGGGCGAAGACCTAGACGAGATGGATTACTCACGGTATGACCGCGCCGCCGACTTTCTATTCGCCCGCACTAATCAAAAACTCTACAGCGATGAGAAGATCACCCTCCGCGGTGGCATCAGCCACAACGGCCGTCCTGTCGAGCTCGTCCGGGAGAAGAACGGCAGCATCGTGCCCATCTCGGAAGATGCCTCAAACGCCTTCAGGATCAAGCGTCGTCTGTCGGACGCAGACGAGGACAGCATGGACGAGGACGAAGTAACCCGCTCCATGGCACGACGACGCAAGTCTGAGAAACCCGGGGACGTAATGCACACTTGCCGTGACTGCAAGAAGGAGTTCAAGCGACCATGTGATCTGACCAAGCACGAGAAGACTCACTCTCGCCCATGGAAGTGCTCCGAGAAGAACTGCAAGTACTTCGAACTCGGCTGGCCGACTGAGAAGGAGCGTGATAGGCACATGAACGACAAGCACTCTGCTGCCCCCGCTCAATACAAGTGTCTCTACCACCCATGCACCTACGCTTCGAAGCGTGAGTCCAACTGCAAGCAGCACATGGAGAAGGCCCATGGCTGGGAGTATGTTCGCTCCAAGAGCAACGGTCGCAAGAAGGGCGCTTCTGGCAGCGAGCACAGCCCCGCTACCCCTCTCACTCCCTTCATCGGTACACCCATGTCGGCGACCATGACTACACCCATCACGCCCTTCGCCGCATCGCCTCAAGTGCCCATGATCGAGAACTTTGACTGCTATGGCTTCGGAACCCCGGCTATGAGTGCTCACGGCTACCAAGATGACTTCCGCCGTGACTCGATCACCACTGATGGCTCACACTTCACATACTCATCAGGGCACTCGCCCGTTGAGCCCACATCTTTTGATGATGCTGTGACGCCAGAAGACACTCACATCAACCACAACGACATCTACAACGCCTGTGCACTGAACGCAAACTTCAACACTGGCTACCAGCAGCCAACCCCAATGAGCACAGCGTTTGACTTCGCGCCGTTGCCATTTGGGACGAACAACAACATGAACGGTCTGCCACACCTATCACCCATGGCTCAGCCCGACATCACTCTCTACTCACCAGATATGGACGAGGGTTTTGGCGGTGACATGGACATGACCATGCAAGGCTTCAGTCGTCCTGGCCAGGACTTCACGTTGTTCGACACGGCGCCGCCCAGCCAGATGACGTTCAACAACACTGCCAACTTCTTCCCCGATTTCAACCAGGTCGGAGGCCAGTTCGATCCCCAGTACATTGAGCCCACCACTACGTTGGATGACTTGAACTTCATGGGTTTCGGGAACCAGCAGTAATCTCGCACTGCATTGTATACGATTAGCGGGCACTTGTATAGCCGTCTTTCACATCCTGTACTTAAACAGAAGGAGTAATTTTCCATTGAGCGGGCGTCTGGACACTGGGTGTTTCTTTGAACAGCGATTCACGACTGTTATGACAAGAGGAGGAATTGAGAAGATACAATCGGGCACGCATGCATTTACGGCCTTGCTCTTCACTCTCTCTTTTCCCACACTGGGTGTGGGATAGCGCCTCGAACAGAACAGAAACTCCACAAAAAAACAAAGGATCTTTGTTTGTTTGAGCGGGTTTTCATTTTCCCCCTTCTTTTATCTGGCGACTGATTTTGATCTCCCCCCTTCTCCTTCTTTGCGGACTGCCCATTTACGGAGTCTTAAGGCTGCGGTAGAGATCATCAGATAGTGTAGGATAGATAGATAAATAAAACTGGTGGAAAGGAAACTCTTGTCTTTGCAGCTGTTGAGTGGTGATTGAATGCACGCAATACTGCCTACGTCTAATCGTACACAGCTTTTGATCTCCCCGCAGCAAAGAGTCATGAAGTGGCAAAGACACCCATCACTCTGCCCCTAAGCTGAACCCATCCCGACTATGGGTCGCAGCAAACTTTCCCCGGTGCTCCAACCCCATCCTCGTCAGCTCAACCTTTACCTCCAACCCACCACACTCCTCCTTGATGTCCCTTGCAATCCTCTCCTCCATCTTCCTCATGCCCTCATCCCCAACAGCAGCACTTCTGACCCCGAACAAAACCAACACCTTCAGCCCACGCAGACTGTCACGAACGAGACCGATGAAAGCGGAGTTTACGCCAAAGCCAGGGAAGTAAATCTCTCGGTACGGGCACTTGAGCACGGCTATAGCGCTGATTTGTCGAGGGAGCAGTGTCTGGGCGAGGTACTTGGAGAAGTTGGGGAAGGAGCTGAAAGCGAAGGGTGTGGATTTGAGGGCGATGAGGTGAGTTTCGGTGTAGCTAGGTGGACGGTGAATGTTAGCTGGGGTGTACATTGGATGGGAGATTGGTCATCGAGTAAGAAGACAGGTAGGCAGGTAGGTATATGATGTGATGTGATATGGGTACGTACAGTTGACGACAGACTTGCAACAAAGCAAGCTTTTGTGTAGCAGTTTTACGTCCGCCGCGTCGCGGGAAGTACTCTCGGCGTACGACTTCGTGGGTGTGGAAGTCGCGGTGGGCGCTGAGAACCAAGTTGTAGATGTGATTACGAATTTCAGCTGGCAGACGGAGGACACGTGAGTTTTGCGTGTTGGCTTGAGCGCTGTGAGGATTTAGCATATCGCATTCACATACTCAGTGGGCCGAGGGCTATTGTGTTTCCATAAGAACGTACATGGCGAGCTTCTCGGAGTCTGCGCTGGATTGCAGCATACTGAGCGCTTCTTCTGGAGCCGTGGTGGCTACATGATCATCTAGACCGACAGATTGCGTGGATTGGCATAGATGTCGTAGTCCAGTGTCCACATTGAACTAGCCGGTCGAAGTGGTTGATTGAGTGTTTGATGATGATGTTCTTGACTTGGACGTGGCTTTTGACCTGTACGAAGGAAGAAGAGGAAGCACAGATTGAGTCGAGTGAAGGGACTTGCACCATCGAAGCGATGAGCGGTGAATGGGCGGGCGAAGTGGCGAGGTAGGCGTTTGCTCTTACCCAGCTAGCAATCAGTACTGGCTCCCAGACTGACAGTTAGTCTCATATGATATATGTAAACGAACAATAAGAGATTGGTAGGCGCGAGACGAATGAATGCTACAGTATAGATTTCGTAGAAGACATAAATATGTGTATACTCATCAATCCGTTTCATCGTGTCAATCAACATCCTCCGCCGGTATCTCACCACCCAACCCATTCCCGTTTCGACCCGCTTCCTCCTCCCCGCTTCCGTCACCCAACCCCGCCTCAAGCACCTCAAACCTCTCCAACAGCCCAACATCCCACCCCTGAAACTTTTTCGCCGTCGGCGGCAACAACCTCTGACTCCCCTCCAACCCTTTATTCAACTCCTCATACAGATCCGCCGGAAACTCTACGTCCTCTATACTAGCACTCTCCGGCTCCCCCGGCTTCAAAGCCTGCCAAGTCTGTTTCTGGTAGAAAACTTTCATTGTGCGTGTAGGATCGAGACGACCAGGCGTGGGTATGGAAGAGGAGAAGAGGAGGTCGGGGGTGAAGACCCAAATGAGGAGGGAGGGTATGGGCGTGTCTTGGGATTCGTCAGGTGGTGCGGCGGTGTGGATATGGAATTTGCGGAGGCCGGTGTTCTCGATGAGGTGGAGGAGGCGGACTGATATCCATTTCTGGACTGTATGCGTAGTTGGCGAAGATGAAGTGGTTTTTGCAGATCGTATGCTGATAGCCCATTTTTGTATTCGCCAGCCGTCGGTTGTAGGATCTTGGGCGCCGATCGTGTGGTTGCAATGTTTGCATTGGATTAAGTCTTGATCGGTGCCTTCGGGGGAGGAGGAAAGCTGTGTCATGTTAGCATATGCAAGACTGAACAACAAAAGCCAACAATGTATGTAGAATGTAGCCTTGGCTAAACCTGCCAATCCCAAGGGTCTGAGGGGATAGAGACAGTGAAACGCCAGGCCGCTGACTCGATGGCGCCGGCAACCCATCAGCCTGGGGAAGAGGGTACATCCAATACCGAGAGTACGTGTATGAGCCTATCAATTTAGGGCGCTTGTATCGACGATGAATGCCACTGAAGAGGCGAGTTCGCCTTCTTTGCGCCCATACATGTTGCGAAGTCATGGAGTGACGATGCAGGAATCGCACGACACGGTTGAAAGAAGGTTGTAGCTTACCTGTGCGCCTTCGCAATCCGACTCTGCCAGTAGAAAGCTGGCCAGATCAACGAAACCTACACCTCCAACAGCCTGCAAGCGATTCCCAGCCGCGTAACCCTTCTGACCGACGACGTTGTCATGCGTGTGGTCGTGCAAGTGATGCTCATCTGGCTTATGACAATGCCAAAAGTCCATCATCTCAGCCCAATTCTCATTAGGCAGGTCTCTCCACTGTTGAATCTTTCCTTTCACTACAAGGATACTGTCGCAGCTCTTGCAAGTTATCTCCACGTCCTTTGCATCGTTGAGCGAAGCGCCATCCCATGGCACAATGTTGGCCTGTCGGTCTTCGCGTTGCAGTGTTCCCAGAAGGTCGCTTCCTTCCTTCTCTTCCAGCTGAAGACGCAATGTCAGCTCTTTGGTTGGAGGCTGTGATGGCAGTTCAAGCGCAGCATCGCCTCCGCCTTTGACATTGATAGGGAGACGTATTGACGCAGACTGGCCCTCATGAGATACGGTGATGTAAGATCCATCAGACGACAGCTTCGCGTCCGTCGACCGGGAGAAATTCGTGCGCAGCGATGCGAACAGCGTAACTGTGCGTATATGCAGCAGCAGTTCGGCGTAAAGCGTTATGGAAGTTTCGTTGGGCGACATGGGGCGCGCATTGTCTTCGTCACTCTGCAGTAGGTTCGGCGCGTGGATTTTGGTAGGCTCGGGCGCAGGCTTGGGATTCATCAGGTCTTTGATCGCTTCAGGAGAGAGGCCGAGAGCTTCGTATGCTGACTCGGGAAGTAGCGGGCGCGACATACTTCGTGATTGCGCGCCATGGTGACGGGCGGGGTGAACGTGGGGTTGGGGAGGTCGCTGAGCTACGCGCGCGACGAAGTTGACTTAATCGGGAGTGGGTCCCGCCTTAGGGATGTTCTAGCTTCATCTGGCCACGACAGTGTTCATGTATTTACGAGAGCTTCTCTGGATTGACAAATACGAATATCGTAGCGAGGCGCTTGCTCCATTACTTCAACGTATGCATTGAACATGTCGAGGGCATGTAATTACATTATCTACAAACACTATACACCTACAGTATGGAATAAATCGTCTTCGATAGCCTCTACTCGTATGTTTGTATGAGTCTACTGACCCTTCTTCTCACCAGCCTTCTTCTCCTGCTCCAGAATATACTGTACACCCCTCTTAATACCCTCGTCCAGAGTGACAAGAGGTTCATATCCTAACCGCAGTCTCGCCTTGTTGATGCTGTGGTACTTGGACATGCTGCTGTATTTTACCTGAGCCCTAGTGATATTAGGCGTCTTTCCCATGAGCCAAAAGACATTCTCTAGGATCGTGCCAATTATCCACATGAACTCGGTGCTGAGGTGCCACACGCTACTCAGAGGTATCCGGTCGCCCGCCTCGTGCCACACCGCACGCGCAAAGTCCCAGAAGTATACGGGCTGTCCGTTGGTGATGAGGAAGGCTTCGCCGTCGACGCGCTCGTTGTCGAGAGGAATGCTGGGGAGGCGTTTGTGGGTATGTAGGAGTGCGATAGCGGCGAGGATGTGGCCGTATGCGACGTTCTCAACGTAGGTGAAGTCGAACAGGTTGGTGTTATCGCCGACTTGGAACTTGGTTTGTCCTTTGCGGTATGCGCTGATCATCTTAGGAAGCAGTTGTACATCGCCTTCGCCGAAGATACCAGCGGGACGGATGGCGCAGGTAAGGAAGTTTGGGGAGTTCTCAGGATGGCGGTTCGCTTGGAGGACGGCCGTCTCGGCGTATGCCTAGTAAATCGTTAGCTTCTGAAAAATAACAATGCGATTGTGTGCTTACCTTTGTGGTTGTGTAGTACTCAGGCTGGTCGTCGCCAGTAACAAGCGGCCATCTCTCGTCCGCGTTGACGAGATCGTTTTCGTGGTCGAGGATAACGCTTGCGGAGCTTGTGTACACGAAGCCCTTCACTCCAGACTCTTGCGCGGCCTGTAGCAGAACCTTGGTACCTCCAACATTGACCTTGTCGTGAATCTCAGGCTTCAGATTGAAGTGTGGAGACGCTGTGTGGATGACGGCGTCAGGCTTGATCTGAGAGAACAGAGCCTTCATAGCAGGAGCATCCGTGATGTCGCCATCGTGGTAGGAGACGTTCGGGCTGGCGTTGCGATTCGAGTTGGTTCGTAGATCGAGCACGGCGATTTGTGTCTGGGGGTGACGCTTGACGATCAAGCTGACGATGTGGCTTCCAAGAAAGCCGCAGCCTCCGACGACGAGGACTTTCCCGAGCGATTGAATGGTGTCTGAGTTGTTCGGCATGGTGGAAGATGGGGTGTCGGTGCAATTGGTGGTGCGACGATCAGGGATTGTTTTGCGGAGAGCGCTCGGGGGAACACTGTCCGGGGGCTTGGGTTAGCTTCAAGGTTCCCGCATGTCAGGGTCTCAACGGGCATACTCTCGCGTGCAATGGCGCCGTGCCCTGTACGAGAAGACGAACAGGTGCTCTGCAGCCTACAATCGCCCTAAATTACAATCATTTGAACATGTGAGAGCAATGTAGACTTCTAGGTCGTATACATTTCCAACTGGCCCAGGGAGAGATTTCCCAAGTTCAAGTCGACCCTGCAGCCTACAACTGCATAAAATATTGAGAAACATGGTTTCCAAGGAACATGTGGACGTCTGGGTCAATTGAGATCAAGATTAAATGAGACAAAATATCATTCATATTCATAACTAACGCCGTTATACCGATGCAGTTCCAATAGCCCTGATGAACGCCGTGTAATGCAAGCCACCTCGCAAGGTCGGACTTGGGGTATCATGTAATGTCATATCGAGAGGAGACCGGCCGTTGGATCATTAGTTCGCAGTCTCTAAAAGCAGTTTCTAGATGGCTGTTAGCAGACATCGTAGTGACAACCACGAGTGAAACTCACTCAGCACTATCTTGTGCGGATCGCCGCAATTTACGGTTATAGAGCTTCTTTTCGTCTGGAGTGCCCCAGAACAGCTTTGCAGCCTCGGGGTTGACCAGTGTGCGTGGGTCGTATGCAGGTGACTCCTCCTCGATAGCCGCAATGATGGCTTCGATATGCGATCGCATATCGTCCTTGCGAGCAGCGTCGTAGCAGAGAATCCCGTCAGGTGATACGCGGTGGTGGTAGAGAACCGGTGTCTAGCAAATTGTTAGCGGGTCTTGAGGGATACATCGTAGGATAATCTTGCAACGGCGTCTTCATATAACAGCCGGGCGGATATATACTAGAAATCAGTTAGTGGAAAAACTCCAAAAAGTACGCATGATGGCTCCATTACCCTCAAATCTAACACGCGGTAGAACCTCTGGGAACTTGGGGCTAATGTACAGCATAATCCGGAACATGCCGCCGTCGAGGTTCGTCATAGGTCTCCCGAACAGGACAAGCTGCCATACGAATGGGTTCTTATCGACAAGATCAAGATCCAGAGTAACGGCGTCTTGCTTCTTGTACTTCTCGATGATTTGCTCATACTGGCGCTGGAGATTGTTGGCAATACTCATCTCCTTGCTAACAGCCATCATGCCTTCGGCGGCCCAAGTCTCCATCTCCTTGTTGAGGGTCTCGAAGATCTTGACCAGGCGCTCGCGGAGCTGTGTGTACTGGAATGTACCCTCCATCGCGTTGCCCGGGCCCTCGAACGGCATCTTCTCGAAGCGGTCCCCATCCTTGTTCTTCTTCGCTGCCTCGTCCACGCGAGCTAGGTACGATTGGTAGTACCACAGGAAGCGTCGCTTGCAGAGGTCCTTGAAGGGCTCAAAGGGCGCGTCGTCCCTGCTCGACTGATAGTCCTCTTCCGCGTTGTAGACCGTCACGCCAGACCTCCCCCAATTGATGCCCAGGTATTCTTCCAGGCGATCGATGACAGATATGCGCAGCGACTCGTGTCGGATCTTATCTACGTACGCCTCCTGGTTCTTCTTGTCGTAGTCGGAATTCGCGTCCTCGAAGCCAGGCTCGTTCTCGTAGGGGTTGCTGGACATGAGGCTCTGGATGGAGATGAGGATAGACTCGAGGCCCTGGGCAGACGACCATTCTTCACCACGCTCTCCTCGCCATGTACTGCATTCTGTTAGCGTAGACCTAGGTCGTGCAATCACAGTCACCTACCCAAGAATCGACAGGCAGACCTTGCCGCCCGCGTAAATGTTGGGATTGAATCGCGTACGCCCACCATGGGTAGTTATAGCCGTGACACTCGGGGCCTTGGTCGGGTATTCACGCGCGAACTTGACAGCGAACTCGAAGAAGCCGAACTCGTAGGGTGTGTCAGGTGGGCCGATGATTAGCGCCCGCACATGGCGCACGTCGATATCGCGGCAGGCAACGGCTATGGAGAGGTCGGAGCCGCGCTGGATCTCGCCGAGTTCGCGGGTGATTCTAAGAATGCTCTGGTTGGACATGGTGCGTGGTGGCCTCCCGGCAGCGGTTTGGATAGTTGAGATTCGCGGGGTTGGTGAAGCTCAACGGTCCGCGTTGGCCGGGCTGAGAATATTGAGTGGGTGTGGGTGCCGTGAAGTGGGGGGAGTTTCGAGGAGAAACAGTGGTAGGAGAGCGGGCCTCAACCGTGTGAAGGGCCAAGTACAACACCGTGAGCCGTCAAAGGTGAGTGGTTAGTTGGCTGTGAAGCTGTGGGACCCTGGGAGGGGCAGAACCCTCACCGCTTACGGAACGCAGCCGCAACACCACGCCGCCTAGAGTCGCGATAGTCTGTTCCTTACGCACCGATTGTCAAGATGTAATAAGCAAGCCTGGCGTGTCTTTTGGGTCGTCGGCTAATGCTATAGTGTAGGGTGGTGTTCGCGCTGTTCGTCATCAGCAAGTCTGGCGGTCTCATCTACAATCGCGAATTCCACGCGGGCATGAGCAAGCTCACCAGCAATGACTACCTCATGCTCGCTGGATCTTTCCATGGGTAATTCACAATCTTCTGGGCGTATAGACTTCCACTGATGAGCGTCTAGAATGCACGCCATCACAGCGCAGCTCTCTCCAGTCCCACCCGTCCGCGCGCCTCCTCCCTCTACCACCACACCAAATCTCCAGACCTTTCCTGTCCGCGCAACCGGTATCGAGGTCCTCGAAAGCTCTCACTTCCGCATTCAATGTTTCCAAACGCAAACCGGTGTCAAGTTCTTGCTCTTCACTGAGCCACAGCAACCGAATGTGGACACTATGATCAAGAGGATATATGAGTTATATGCAGATTACGTCATGAAGAATCCGTTCTATACCGTTGAGATGCCGATTCGGTGCGAGAAGTTTGATCGGGGGCTTGACAGCTTTGTCAAAGTTAGAGGGGGATGAGGAGGCTGTACTGGGAATACGATACCACGAACTGGAATGAATAGAAAGAAAGCGGGCCAGCGTATACGGCAGCATGGGAGCGTTCTACTGCGGCATGTATTGTCACTATGTAGTAGTTCGGGAGCACACTAGACACTCTCGTTGCAGAACTCCAGAACATCACTCTTGGGTCTGTAATGCGTCTGATGACCTTAGATGTTTCGAGGGACGGAAGGCCTCCCATTGGGGAAGCCAAGACGTGGAATGCGCGCGGCAGAAGATAGCACTACCAATAAATGGAGACTGTGGTGCTCATTATTTGCTTCATTTCATGCGTGCCGTGCGGTAGACACCAGCTCTAGTCATACAGTAGACGCCGTGAATACTCCTGCTCCCTCTTGAAGCATCAAGACGTTCCTCTTCCTAGCTGCGCTATGTCCGCTTATGCCGTGTCCATCTTGTCTGGGTCGTCGTCCTTCTTGTCCTTGCTGCCGCTTCCACCAGGCTGACCTGAGCTGTCCAGCAGCGGCTGTTTCTCGTCGCCCTCAGCCACCGGCTCGAGCTCCGACTTGCCCTCGGCCGCCTCCTTCGTCTTCTTGTCCTTTTCCTGCCGTGCCTTCTCTTCCTCGAAAGACATCCTCAGCGCCAATGCGAGCTCGGGGTCGACCGACGGATCTACGCCGAACTCGAAGTCGTTGCCGCCGGAAGCACCGCCGCCTCCGCCTCCAGAACCGCTGTCTCCACCAGCATTGGATGCACCCTCTCCGCCAACTATAGGTGTTGTGATCAACGAGTCGCTGAGCAGGTTCGCGCTGGGTGGAATGGTGGCAAGGTAGGAGCCTTCAGCGCTTTGTACGTTGTCGCTAAAGGCCTGGAGTTTCCGCGTGGTGTCGTCGCTGAGCTCGCCGAATGCGATGATGTCGATGCTGATACCACTCTTCTTCATCTTCTTTGCCAGCTTCACCAGGTTCTTCTCGTCCTCCTCGATGGGGCTGCAGTTGAACATGACTATCCGCTGCTTCTGCGACTTGTTCTGTCTGTGCTTGAGAGCCAACTGCATGTACTGTTAGCTTGTATCCTTCCAGATATTCATGATAACGTACAGCCGCGACATTGATGCCAGTCACGAAGTGTGAGCTGCCCTTTATCTTTGTCCGGTGCAGACCGTCCAACACCTTGCCAATGTCCGTTGTCAGGGTCGTGAGGATCTCTGGGGTGTTGCCTCCCATGCTCATGAGACCGACGGATGACTCTGGGTTTGCACCAGTCTTTGCGGAGAAGATCATGTTCACGGCGTCCTGTTGTGCTTCCCATCGCGAGGGTACATAATCGCCATTTCGACTAGCTTCGCTGTTGTCAACGCTACTGAAGTTAGTATGCGATCGATGTGTGAGTGCGTATATCCTTACACTATCATAGAAGCTTCTAACACCATCTTGAAGGCCGGATGTGTGTGGGGTTGAGGTGATTGTTTGGGTAGTTGGTTGGATCGACGGTGACCTTATGATGCTGAGCTCAGGTCGCCGCAGCGGAGGACGGAGGCTGGCCATGGAACCACCGAGATCACGTGCGATGTGACCGCGTCCGCGGGAGGCCGTGCGCGAACTCAAGGAGAAATGACTCAGACAGCATCTACAACACCTAGAATCTTACTCATGCAATTGAACATCGAATATTGCGACTCCAATTCTAAAGCGCTGTGTTGCAATTGTTGTTGCGCGGATTTCTGTCTTGTACTTCGGTATTCTCTCCTAGATTGCGATCAAGCTCAACGTAGCAAACGTACTGCTGAGGTTGTGACGTCGCCCTTGGCGCTGGCGTAAAGACAGACCTGCAGGCTCCAACCTTCCTTCCTCCAACATCCCGCTCAGATTCAGCAGCTGCAACCACCACCACCCGCAACCACATCAAATCTGCTCCGAATCTCTCAAAACTTGTTGCAAAAGCATCAGAAAGTCTCAATAAGTCTCTTATACCACTCAATTCTTCTCCCCAGTACCATCGTCGCGGCTTTTCTCGCGTTGTTTACTGTTCTCCACCACCACACAACATTCGGAAGCCACAACCCTCTTCAACCGCCACCACCACACCCGAGCTTCTCAATATCAATATCAGATCTTCGAAAGCCTCAGTATTTCCTCCCTACTAGCTGGTACTCTCTGGCACTTCACAATAACATCACCGCCGTCGACGCGTTACACATCAAACAACACGCGATGAACAGCATCAAAGGCGGCATCACAGCTGAGGCGAAAGCCAACATGCTAGCCAACCTCGAAATCGAGCTCGACTCGCGAAAAGAGAAACTACGAGCGCAGTGCGATGCGCAATGCGCCAGCATGCAGTCGCGTCTCGAGCGTCGCGTCAACCGCATCCCAACTGTGACGCGCCAAACTACGCTACTAGATCTTCTCAAGGTATCCGCGCCTGCACAACCAGTCGCGACCGCGCCGGCACCAACAACCAAGACTGCGGCAGCCAAGAAGACATCAGCGGCAGCACCTGCACCTGCCTCACGCAAGACACGCGCGGCTCCCACAAACTCTATTCCAACAAGTTCCTCAGCTCCCGCGACTTCCTCCCCAGACATCAGGCGCGCAAAGCCTGCCGCTAAAGCCAAGCCCACACCCACATACGCGCAGCCGACAAAGACTACACGCGCCAAAAAGCGCAGCAGCGACGATATGTCTGGAGAGGACAAGGAGAATGCAGATCTGCCTGTACCAAAGAAGCGCACAAGGGCACCTACTCAGAAATCGGCGCCTGCTGCTGCTGCCGCCCCAACTACGCGCGCAACCCGCGCAGCTTCCCGCACAAAGACAACCACTTCCTCACATGTGCTTTCACCAAAGACGAATACTGCCAACGTCAGAAAGCCAGCTGCTCGTAGCGCCCGCCCCAGGTAGTGTCCATAGACGGAAAACGACTACTCAGCATTTTTTCGGCGTTCGATACCCCATTCGTTTTTAGGCGGCGTTAGATGAGATGGAATGATTTTGTTTTGATTGGAGGAAGTTCGTCGTCTTGGTTGCTTCCCTCCACCCTGGCTTGTCGGCCCCTCGAGTTCCAGCCGCCTGAAAGGGCAGGCTCTCAGGGGCTGAAGATAGCCGGGTGGGGGCATACACCGTAGGATTGTCTTGTTGTTGGGTTGTAAATGTTATTTGGAATTGGTCGTTTTTGTAGTTTTGTATAGCATAGAGCTCCGCGTAGCCTAGGAATGATGAGTTATGATATTGATTCTGCACCAAGAAACATCTGCGTTGAAGAACACATTACCTTGAGAATCAACTACTTGACAGGGTTTAATACAGTGTATGCGGCAAACCTGATGCAATGCTGTCGTCGCTTGGTGGTGCCTGATGTATACTTGACCTTGGATCCTATGCGTTCACTGATATATACCACCATGCATGCGGCAACCCAAATTTACTACAGCCATCGATCAGGACTGCCAGGGGTATACATCGCCCTGGAAACCGCCCGATTGTTAAGATTAAAGAGTACGTATGCTGCAACCCAACGTCCACACTGTTCTTCACTAGTACTGCCAAAAGTATACATCGCCTCGAAGACCGCTCAATTATCAAACTTCAAGACAGTGCATGCTGCAACCTAACGTCCATACCTTTGTCCATTGGTACTGCCAGAAGTATACATCGACTTGGATACTACATACTTATCCAAATTTCACACTGTGTATGCAGCAACTCAACGCAAATTTTGCTCTCCATCGGTGCATATTGCAAGACACATTTGAAGAAGTCCTGTTTCTATTTCGTAGGCTGGAGCATACATTATCTTCACATAGGTATCAAAGCCCCTTCCACGTCCACCACTTAATCCCACTTCATAACCGCCTCCTCAACAATCGGCCTGATAACCTTCCTGCCTGCACCACTCTTGTGCGTCCACACCATCTGCCTAGGCGCCAATTGATCCGCACGATGCCACGGCTGGAAATCAATACCCTCCTCGTTATTCTCCAACGCCTCCTTGACTGTCTTGAAGAGCGAGTCGGCTTGGTCCTGGTCGATGCGTACGTCGTCGCGGACGGTCAGGACGACTTCGCGGATCTTCTCCTTCTCGCCGTCTTTGTAGTGCTTCTTGTACTTGTTGAGCGTGATGGAGATGTCGACGCCGGCTTCGGCAGTCCAGGCGGCGTGAACGGCGAACCAGTCTGGGATGTGTAAGTTGAGTTGTACTTTAAGAATGAGTTGGAAAGGGAATCAAGACTTACCAAAGAGTTCCGCAAAGTCCGTCTTGAGAATCTGCTCATCCATGGAGTATGGAATCGAGGCGAAGCCAATGCTCACGGTAGGAGTGCGCGGAGAGGGGGTATCAATGATATCGCCCTTCCAGTCTCGGCGCAACAAGTCGCGCAGACCAAGGTTGTCAATGTCCTTTTGTGCCTTGCTGAGCTCGTCGTCGAGATCCTCCATGACGTCTTCGAGGCTGTCCTTCTTCCAGTTGCTGCGTGCGAGGACGCGCTTGGAGACTTCAATGTCGGTCTTGGTCGTCTTCTTGCCTGACAAGCCGCCAGAGTCGATGGCAATGGCGCTGAGGACTAGTTCAAGCAGTTCGTGCGGCATGTGGTATTCTTCGTCTAGTTGCTCGAGCTCGTCGAGCATCTGGCGGGCAACAAGTGTAGTGCAGCTTGCTGCTACTTCGAAGACACGGGGTTCGGCGTCGGGAGCAGTGCCGCGGTCTTTGTGGTGGTCAAAGATGCTTAGTATCTCTGCTTCGTTCCACTTCCGCAGCGGGCTGCCATGGTCGACCAGGACTATGCCCTTGAGCTTCTTGCCCAGAGTCTCAGGGTCTTCAGGCAGCTCATCCAGAGTCAACAAGTCTTCATGACCGGGCGTCATCTGCGAATTGTCCAGGGCCAGCCTATTCTCCGGGCGCAGATCAAGCGCATGCGACGGTGTCTGAAGAAGTGCAATGGCCTTCATAGGGTTGTCGGTATGTTCGGTGGAGTGTTCAAGATGGTACGCCCAAGTAAGCGCCGCCGTCATGGAGTCCATATCACCGCCCTCATTGCCCATTACAATCGTCCACTCTGACTCCCTGCCGGCCTGCCAGTCTACCAAGAACTCCTTCTTTGTGGCACGGCTCCATTCGCTGAAGTGGCCTACACCAAGTGGTTTGGCGAGATGCTTCGTCGACGCGTCGAAAATAGCTTGTTGCGGCGCGCTGCGCTGCGGCATGGCAGCGACGCGGCAGGCTGCCAGGAAGGCTGGAACAAGGGCGCGGGCCGCTTTCATTTTGGAGAGATGAACGCGTTAAAGATGCTATAGGTATAGATTATTGTGGATGTCGGAAGTTATCATCGCTCAGGTACGGATGCGCAGCTGGGATCCACAGCTACGTCAACGCTGGCCTAGGCGCGACCAACTGGGCCGTGTTTCAGCCCTGTAGCTGTGAGTCCAGACGCCTGCTCTCCAAAACCAGCCTGCAAGCGACATTTGACATTTGTTGAGTTCGACAAGGGTGGCACAACAATAATGCATGTCTCGAAAGCCCACTGTTTCTGTGCACAACTGGCAGGTTCTGCGCAAGGCGACTAATTGCTTCTTGGTGGCTCCTTTGCAGAGACTGCCGCTGAAGCGACAGCGACGTGCAGGGCTCGTATGATCAAGCATTGGGCGTTAGCCATGCTTAGTCCATGTTTCTTATGCAGGACTCAGCAACCCCAGATATGTCTGCAGTTAAAGAAATATGAGGTATGACGTCAGACGTGATTGCTGGATGGCATGCAGCCACTCGGATCTTCATAGAAGCCGCCCTAGCCGAAGCACTACCACGCGGCTGGTTGGCAATCCGCGCGCGCAAGGAAAGCTTCACTGTGTTTTCCAAGACCCCTCACACGCTCCTATTCCTCAAACCCGTTATTATCGCCGTGCCAACGCGCCGCTTTCCTATCACGGCGCGCTCTTAACCCTGTTCTCACGAGGGATTGCGGAGACGCTGCTGACTGAACAATGAACTAATCCCGTCGGTCGCGGCCGGATCGCTCGCTGCACGCTTAGCAAGACACTACTTGACCCCAACGCCGCACTCTCGCCCAAACTGCTTCCTTTCCTGGGGCACTCTCGTCGCAACCGCTGCAATTATGGACCAAGGCCCACACGAGCAGGGACGACCGTTGGCGTCGTCGTCAACTTCGACAACCACTACCTCTGGTCCCTATACTACCACCACCACGACATCCACCACACCCGGACAGGGAACGAACGTGCAACATTTTGGGCCCCAGTCGACCACCATCACACACCCTGCCGTCACCACAACGACCCACATGCCGTCCGCTCAACCCCCTCAACTACACGCGCCTGCCTCGAATCCCGCCCAGCGCTTGCGCAGTTCGTCGATTCGCATAAGAAGACCTTCACATCAGCCAAGCGTGAATACTCCCCAAGCCACACCTGACCCTGCGCCAGTATCGGAATCCGACAGCACATGGCAAGCCGGCCGAAGAAGAAGCAGTTCTGAACCGCGTCCACCTCCACAGGCCATGGTCGCCGACGACAGCCTAAGACGTCAGTTGACGGGCCCCCATCTACAGCCTCTATATGAGGATGGCACGCAGCCAGCAAACCCTGCTATCGGCAACGGTCCGCCAACTGCCAGCAATGCACGAAGAGGGATGACTCGTCAATCTTCCGCTTTCCACATGCGGCGGCATCAGAAGGACCCAAACCAGAACATGATGGGCAACAATGTTGTCGATGTGCTTGATGTCATTGGTTAGTGGTTTTCAACATGCTGTCTATCGATTCGCAGCCTAATCAAAGTCTAGATCCCGAGATATCCGCCCTCACTACACTGAATAATGTTCAGAATTCGCTGTTCTTGCCCAATTTACCCTGGCTCTATAACCGCCAGCCCACATACGATCTTGGGCAGACTACATCAGACTCCTCGGACGAAGAGATGGGTACAGCTAGAGGGGCCAGACGCGAGGAAGATCAACTCCCTGAGATGACTCAACAAGGCGAAGTAGAACAAGCCGCGCGCGGAGGCCGCGGAGAGTTGCGGCGAAACAACACTATCGACTCAAATCTTTCGACTCTGGAAGAGGGTGCGGGTCATCACTACGCTGTACTTCCACATGGTGCTTCATTGACAGGATGGACCGACGAGGAAAAGGAGGCTCTGGACGATCATGTTCGACATCTTCTCCATTCTCGACGCGCAAGGTTCAAGCGGAGCATGAAGGGCTTCGGACGTTACGTTCGCAACCCTCTCGGCTTCCTCGTCACGTTGTACTTCTTCCTCATCACCTTCTGGGGAGCAGCGTGGGTGCTCTTCCTTATCGGCTGGATCTACGTGGGCGATCGTCAGGCATACTTTGTCGAGATTGCTGATCAGGTCCTTACTGCCCTGTTCTGTGTTGTTGGAATCACCATGTTTCCCTTCCGCATTGTCGACACATACCATATGGCTTTTGTCGCCTACTACGCGCACAAGACCTGGCGGCTACGCAAAGAACGAGGACTACAAGAACTGAAAGATCACAATGAACTACCTACCATGCCGCGGTCGAACGCTTGGGAAACAGGCGAAGCAGAACAAGAAGGCGTAGAGGCTCCCGTTCTCACCGCTGAAGAGCAGAAGAAACTCGAGCACCACCAAGGCAAGCTGGAGAAGTCACATACCTTCTACCGGCCCCACGAGACATACACCCACCACGCCTTCTCCATCCGCCTTCTCATCACCATCATTGTCCTTCTCGACTTCCACTCCATGTTCCAATGCGCACTGGGTGGTACTACGTGGGGTATCTACTACAAAGACCGCCCCAAGGAAGTTACCGCCATCATCCTAAGTTGCAGTCTAACATGCAACATCACCGCGGGCATCATCATCGGCCGTGGCGATAAGCGCAGTCGCAAGAAGCTCGTGGTCGAACAAATTCTCCGTCAAGAAATGACCGAAGAAGCGCTCAAGAAACTACGAAAAGAGCGCGGCATCAAGGCCAAGGGCCTCATGACAAAGAAGCAGAAGAAACAGGTGCAAAAGGAAACGATTGGTGAACCCAAGAATCCATTGGATACAATTCTACATCGTGGATAGCGTAATGTTTTTGGTTCTTTCTTTCTGGTCCTACAATGATGATGGTTAGATTGTATATTTTAATTATACCCTTCCGGCGTCCTGCGATCGCCATTTGTTCTTCGCATTTACTTCGGCCTCGACTAATTCACGTCATGATGTGACCTGTCCTATCGATCTTCCATGCTGTCCTTATCGTGTCCATCCTAAACTACTCTAACTAGTAACGGCAACATGCGTCCCAGAGAGGCTATATGAATCACATCACCATCACAAGTCAAACCAACATGACTCTCTCGGACCTAGATAATTCTCCCAGAAAACCCCGTCGTAGCCTGCAGATCAACATTCGTTAACACAACTAGACAAAATACATCACCAAGACCCCACTTGCCACACTCCTTAAACTTACCATCCCACTGTCTCCAGCCACACCAGGTCTACGGAGTACACCTAACTAATCCCTTTTACCTTTGGATCTGCCTTAGCCGTCGCTGCCTCCTTCAAAGTTCTGGTTTAGGGCATTCGGCATTCCTTACCGACCGCGAGCGCGCCGCACTAACATTAGTCAGTCTAGTCGCAAACTGTAATTTACCTCGCGGCTAACTGACACATATACAGCTACAGGTACAAGTCATGTCCATGGGAGATGCACTGTACTCCACATCCCGAGGGAGCGATTGCCCACAGCCCACGTGCGAGCATGCGGCGCAGTAATGACCTCGTGCCGAGTCCACCATGGAGTCATGCCAACCCCACCCACCAAGAAAACAGCATGAAACCAAGAAGATACCATGCCGCGCCACGCCACGCCGCGCCACGCCCAAGTGCATTAATCGAAGAAGTGTCTAGTGTGACAAAGTAGCTGTACAGATCTAAACTTTGTAGACAGAACAAGCGAATGCGGACTTAGTACAAGTGTAGAGAAGAGCATGGCGCGCAAAGATAAAAGGGGAAGAAAATGCGAACAGAACGACAATGTACGAGTCATTAGGTGAAGCGCAAGCATACTTCCGTCTCGCCTGTCATTACCAGCAAATCATTGGGAACAACGAAAACAACGACAAGCACCCATCACTGAAACTTAACTGCAGTACGCCATGCAACCAACGCTTACACATACCGGCAAGATCCGGCGAGAGGCGTACTTGAAGACCCGAGAACTTGGAATATCCAATACACACGATAACAACAGTGCAAGTGCAAGTGCAAGTCCAGAAAGAGGGAGAGGGTGTGTGGTATAGTTCGGTCGCGCAAACCTGCAGCGACGATCCATGTTTAAGAATTTGTGGTAGGTCCCCCACTAAAAGCTATTGACGCATGTTTGAGAAACATGTCCACGTGTAGAACGATGGCGGGGACGGGGACCAAAGTCCCGGGCTACATGCAGTGACGAAGCCAAATCCGACTAAAAGACTGATTAATCGCTGGGGGATGACCCAAAACCCCGGACGCCTGCCATGGCCGAAGATCCCACTCTTGTAGCTGACATGAGGAACCCGATTCACCAATGTGGTGATCCATGACATAAACTTTTTTTTTCCCGACCTTTCTCCGAGAAGCTTTCCTTGCCCTCTCACTCCAAAGGTATAAGCCGTTCCATAAAACGCCGTCCTACGATCCGGTAGGTGAATAAAGGAAAGACCCTCTATGGGTGTCGATTATGCCGATGATGTCGCATAGGATCGTGTCATAATACATTCGATGCTGAAAGGTCGTGAAGCAAAGCCGGTAGATAATTGAAACCGTTGTTGGTGGGACAGCTAGTCCTAGGTCCGAACAGAGTCGGCTAGACCGTGTATCTGTCCGTTGGTGTAGGTGTAGAAATAATAACAGAAAACGCTTAATTGAAACCCCACGATGTAAGGCAGAAGACAGGCCCAGAAATACAGTCGAGTTAAAGGTCAAGACTCGAGTGGCTTGAGCAGCCGCCTTACTCATGCAAGACGACAGTGATGTGAAGAAGGGTTGCTTCAACGATGAGGGTGCTCATAAGGCCGCATACCGCCAAACTCGACGCCTTGCATCGGTCCCTGCATGGAGCCTCCATGTGGCGGTGGTCCCCACTGAGCCTGCGATGGTGGTGACTGTTGCGAGAGGCCCTGCTGCTGTTGTGGTTGTTGTTGCTGTTGTTGCTGTTGTTGCTGCTGCTGCTGTAATGGTGGAAGCACGTTGGTTCCAGACGCAGGAGTTGCGGGTTGTCCCTGTGCGAACTGGCCTGTCATACTTCCGTAGACATGAGAGTTGGATGGATCGACGCGACGAAGAGCGTTCCACACAGCGTTTAATTCAGCTCGGAGCAGCTCATTCTCCTCCTGAGCCCGACGACAGTATTCTGCATCGGGTCGCAAGCGGCTGATCTCTTCGCGAGCGCTTTGATGTGCGCGGCTCAGGCTTGTGACGTATTCAATGGCTAAAGACACGTCAGTCAAATGTATACAGCGATTCATGAGTGGACTTACCCTTGGTGAGAATCTCCCATTTGCTTGACTTGCTGCCTGGGCTGTTGGGAAGGATACCATTGAGATCGTCGAACAAGTTCTTCATCTCACTTCTCCGCTTCCTCTCCGCCATCTTGTGGCTGACGCGAAGCTCGGGGGTCCTGCTGTAACTTCCACTGCCAGGCGCAAGCGGGTTGGTGGGATCAACATTTTGCAGGCTAGTCACACTGCGATGTTGCATGGAGTGATGATGAGTGCTAGGGATGTCTGAACTAGTCAGTACGTCTGATGTAGGATGAGAGTAGGGAGGCGTGCCATCATTCAGTCGTTGTTGACCAGGTGGTAGCTTGGAGTCTGTGGTGAAGATGCTACTGTTGACCGACGTCGCGAAGCTGCCTTGACGCGAAGGGGCGTTGGATCGGTCTATGCTAGACTCACCGCTACTAGACGTTCTCTTCTCCTCATGGTCGTAATCATCTGCGGGAAAAGCCCAAGCAAAACCCTTGGTTGGAGCCGCCGCCATAGGGTCTGGCATGCCAGACACGCTTCTGGGGTTGGGGTTGATGACCGGGGCACGTCTTGGGGGATGGTTGGCACGCGGGGCAGCACGATTAGGTGACAGAGGAGAAGTGCCGTTGGGTCGCGAGTCAGCATTTGTGATGCCGCGTTGCTGCTGGAGGTTCGAGACAAGTGAGACTCGGGATGCGTTTTGGCTTTCGTATGGTGACTGCGGGTGAATGGACAGATGCCCCATGGTAGCGTTCATCCGACTGTCTACGCTGCTGCGTCGAGAGTCGAAATGAGAGCCGGCATCGATACTGAGCCGATTGTCGAACCCTTGGTTGAGCGGAGGTAGAACACCATGCTGCTGCTGCTATGTTAGACAAGTTTATAGGCAATAGTACAATGGCGTACCTGAGACGACTGGGAGAGGCCAGATGGATACCTAGCCGATGATGGCGTCTCGGGTATCGAACTTCTTGATGGAGAATCATCGGAAGGGTTGAGTAGTGTTTGCACGTGTAGTCCCATGGACTGGGAGACAGTGGATGAATCTACAGGGCGTGTTAACAACGTGTGGATGATGGGTATCGTGAGCACTCACGTTTGCTTTGGGCAATGGACCAGTTGCCTGAGTCGCGAACCTCACGTGCTTCCGAATGCTGCCTGGGCTGTGCCGGGCTCGGCTCAGCCGTGGGTAGACGGTTGGTGAGTGAGGACAAGGGCGGCAGAGACTGCTGGCCCTGGATGATGTTGTTCTGCATGTTGTTCTGCGGCGTGTTTCCGTGCGGCGTCGTACGCTGAGAAACAGAGTTCATGGATACGGAGGCGGCGCACGAGGTATTTTATAAAATAGTCGTGCGTGCCCGCCGTTAGTGGTAGCGAGAGGGATTTGAGCTCGTGATGATGTCCACACTCGAATGGGTGAGATAGTGGAGCCAGTAAAGCGAAGGATAATAACGTTTACCAGGGCAAGTGATTTTGGTCACTTTCGGCAATCGTAGATGGGCCAGGTGGGAAAGATGGAGAAGTAATAGTAAAAGAGGGCCGAGTCCCGGAGAGGAAAGCTTGGATAAGGGTACTAGCCGGGGCGTGGAGTGGAAGAGGGATGCAGGGCGTGGTAAGGGTAACGGGCAGCGAGGCCGCACGGGATATGGTTCGTTCCTCCCTGAAAGTAAAGATGGCAGTTGGATGAAGTGGGGCACGACGAATGCAGCGCCAAGACCGTTCCAACTCTAATGGCAAGCGCAATACAACGATCCACGCCGATTACCGCGAGAAGGGCAGGGGCGATGACCGTGTCTTGCAGAAGTGGCAGCTGCGAGGAGGCCCAGCGTCAATGACTTCTTTTGGCGGTACGAGTCGGGACAAAAGCAAACACGGTTCCTGGCAAAACTCCACGAGAGCTGGAGACGCGGCTGCCGTGCTCTACCTAGTCGGCGGAGGCTGCAGCAGGGACAATACAAAGGTGCTTTTGCCTAGGCCAGATGGGACACGGCGTCCAGAGGGCGGGATCTGGAATTGACACGATGAAGGCGCCCTAAAAGACGAGTGCACGACGTGGGCGTCGAGCGAGGCGTAGTGGTGAGAATTGGCCAGCTGGGGCGGCACTGGGACGTGGTGGGTCGAGATGGTACCAGTTGACACGGCGACAAGAGCAAAGTCGAGAGACTCTGGTGCGGCGCGCGTGGGGATAGAGAGCAGCAGTCAGCAGACTACCGGGTCGAGTACATGTCCTGGGGCGGAGGGCAGCAAGGAGCACAACAAAGCAGCGGGCAGCCGGCGGTCTAGCCGTAGGGACGTCGTACGACGTTGGGAAGGGACCTTTGGAAAGTGGAGGAGGTGCGGCGCAACAGAAAGCTAGAGGCGACGGTTGAGTCTTGACGAGTCGCAAGGGCAGCCAGGGAGCCAGCCAATTAATGGATATGTTGGTGCCCAGAGGTGAGCCGACCGCACGTGGGAAATCGTTCAATCGAGGCCTCGTGTATCTTAAGCTGCCCGTCTAGCGGCGGCTAGCTGCACTTAATATGGGCTCCCTGCCTCCGCGCGCGAACTGGTGCACTTGTCATATGGCGGTGCCCATGACAGCAATTCCCTCTGCCACCGACCCGCGAGGGGCCACTCCGCCCGGCTGTGGCAGCAAGAGGTTCGTTCCGCTCCAGCGTGCAGAGCAGATGCATGCGCAGGCACGGCATCCTGAGCCCATCGAGCAGCAGACACGGGCTGCGAGCATGGCAGGGCCTTGTAGTTTGTCGTCACTTTAGCCAAACCCGTCTTGCTATCCCGCCGCCCGCTGTACCGCCACGAGGTCACTAGCTCTCCACGCCTGCTACCCAACCGGCCAAAGCGCCGAGCAAAAGCAAATTCTGCGACGCTGTCCTCCAGCGCCGATCCCTCATGGCCGCCTGCAGCGCGCGCATGCTTCTGTAGCCTGCATTCGCTGCCGACATGCAGTAGTCGCCTTAGCCCGTGCCCATGCCAAACAACATGGCCATACTTGGCCGGCTAGCGCTATACAAGACCACGGTACAGAACGACTACTGAACATATCCACACATCGCTTCTCCGGGGCCACCGACACTGCCACCATTGTCGCTTTGTTCCGATGGATGCACTGATGCACTGAGCTTCACAAGTCTGCAGGGCACGGCGCTCCCGAACCCTGCTTCCCGCATGGCAATCATCCCGCTCCATTAACCAGTCCTCCTGGCCCGACTTCTGCCAGAACTCCCGCCGCCCATAGCCTCTTTTGCCCTGTCAATCATCCTCCGCGGTCACACAAGCGCTGTGCCTCCTCTGTACCCTTGGTAATAAATCCACCCCTTGCTACTGTCCACCTTTACTCCGTCGCTCTTTGGTCGACATGGCAGATCAACCGTGACCGTTACGTTCATCCCTACTCCTGCTTCTTGGAACATGCAATGCACATGATGCTGAACCCTTGGAAACCGCATCCATCGACCAAGTTACACGGGACACCATGTGAGCATCGACGTCGAACGCATCCTGGACAACCAGCCTACGTACAGCAACCTTCCGCCGATGGGTATTGAATTGTGAGTTCCATGTTCTTTGCAGCCCTGAACCACAGCAGTGACTCAACTCGTCATGATAATGACAACGGCCAAGTTCTGAACTCCCTGATCGCCTACCAGGACGCAGGTCTGTCTGAGACAAAGACTCACATCGGCCTAGTCATCGGCCTAGTCATCGGGGCACACGATCGGCTAACCTACCTGGAATGTGTCTGCCTAGAACGAACATAACCATCGAAACTGGACTGCGGACGGCAACTGCTGCTGAAACATGTCTATCATTACGCATCCTTTGGTTCAGTATCACTCAGTCGGTCCAAGCCGGTCAAGCTACTCTACACCACATGGCGGTATCGCCGCCTCCTCGCACTGTACTCGGTCTGGCAGTGCTACCACACGCGGACCCGACGACCAGGTTCACAACGTAACGGTCTTGTGTCAGGTGCCAGTGCATGTTTGGTCCCCCAGTGCTCTGATTGAGCAATGGTGGCTGAGGAGCCGACTCCTGATCCCACATGAATCCATGGCCAAGCAAACCGTAACGGGAGTCTGCAGAACTTACCCTTCGCTATGTTCAGGGCCGTCGACCCTATAAGCTCAATAACATGGTCATTCGTCTGGTTCCATGGTTCAAATCTGCATCGAAAGATCTGGAAGGCTTAGTTGTGGTCACAGCATTACTAGGCTGTAAGAGATATAAGGCTTACACGCTGTAGTGCCTGCAGCTTGTATGGCACGCTCTTGGGGCAGTGCCAGAGCGATAGTTTCCAGTTTTCTATGAATGTGGATCAGATCAGGAACGAACGTTTTTTTTGTGCTTTCAATGAACACGTACAATTCAAACTATGCGTCTATCTGTGTCATTGTCCGATCTAAGCCACCGATGGACATGCATCATCGAACGCGCATGCCTCTAGGTTGCACAGGCGCGACACGTGATCCGTACGCCAATGACGTCCAAGAAACAGGCTTGAAGGACAGATGTTGTACTCGGACGTGTCAACCTGCCAGCAGCTGGTATCCATCGCTAAGTGGAACTGTTGGGGCGCGGACCGTAACACAATGCAGGACTACCCCAGGTGGGCCGTTACGCGCTCAAAGTCTATCGGCAGACAAGACCAGTCGGTAAGGCTCCCGTGTCTCCCTTGCAGTACATCATTAGACGGACATTGCAATGACATGCTCCGATGATCTGAGGTTTGGTGACATTCCGGCTGCAAGGCCCCTGAAGCTCGGCAGCACAGCAGCGGCCGCGTACCTGAAGGCAATATAGTCGTAATTGCCGGGTCCGAACGGCGCTGCAACGGTTACTCGTAGATTGCAGTTACACTGGAAGCTCATCTCGGTCATGACTACCGGAGCAGTATGGTTGTTGAACGGAGTCTTACCTCGATGTGGTGCAACTACCAGCAACAGCATTTCGCCTCGGCACCAACCGAAGCCTCAGATGATTGTCCCTCGATCGGTTCGGGTGGCACAGGGTAACAAAATTGCCTCAGGCACGATTGCCGTACGATGTTGGCACGAGATGTGTATACTTCGAAGACTCTGCGCAGCACCCAAGGTATTCCAACGTGCCTGACCTTACGATTTGCTGCTGACCCGACGGTACGGATACGCTACGAAGATGACGGTCATTACAGACAGGAATCGGCCCGTCCATCCATGGTACGTGTCAAGCGCCTGCCTGATCCAGGTGCTAGCTGCGCCGCGGCTTCGCCACACGACAGGGATGGGCAGATGCGGGCGGGGTGGTGCGATGCGATGCGACCATCACGTGAAGATCGTCACGATGCAGATGGTGCTGCGGGGCAAAGCTTGGTTCGCAACACGAAAAGCACGCGTGAATTGTGAGCAGGCACCATGGACGCCACTACCGCATCCGCCGTGCCTGTTGATGCTGAGCATGTTGAACGCGAGGATGCAGTGCCATCGCACATTTTCCCCTTCCTTAGGCTCCCACGAGAGCTGCGCGATCAAGTACGCAACTCAGCGCCACTCCGTTGGATCTAAGGCTGATTGCAATATAGATATATGACTATACTTTCGCTGCGCAAGAGTTCAGCGTCGACCGGGCCATTGAACGGCGTCACTTGAAATACTTCAAGCCCAGTGCTGCTGCCATCCTCCTCATAACCCGCCACCAATACTTCCTCCTCAACCGCCAAGTCGCCCGTGAAGCCCTCGAGATCCTCTTCAAGAACCACACCGTCTATCTGAGTTGCGGACCATTTGTTCTCAAGGCGCTGCTAGAGAAGATCGAAGAACCCAATGGCCCCGGCAGGCAATGGTTGAAATGGCTAAAGAAGATAGAGCTGGATTGGGAAAACCTGCCTAACCTGCAACACTACCCACCTGACCGCGAAGAAGGACGGGACGTGTGGTACTGGGAGCATGATCAGGAGGAGGTTGACGTCGACTACATAAGAGGAGCCTACTACAGCGGCCACTACGACGAATACGACCACGAAGGCACATCTTACGACGACAATATGTATGATGCTTCCAACTCCTCGCTATACCCATCCTTCCGCCAGCCAGCCACCACTCAGCCCCCCAACGCAAACGACCCCTTCGGCTTCACAACCCATTACCCCTTCGCCGACCCAACGCTCGACCCCGTTCGCGAAGCCTCCGCCGCAGATATAGCCACGAAACTCGACCTCCTCGTCTCCATGGAAGTCACACCCCTCTTCACATACCTCGCCTCGCCCACGTTCAACCTAAGCAGCATAACGCTTCCTTTGAGATTTATATCCCGCGGTTCACACCAAAGTCGCAGCGTCTCGCGACCAGGCTTCGCTTTACCACTTAAGATACGGTACTGGGTTCAAGTTTGCGTGCACGCGCTACTCATGCTCACCTCTGCGCATGAAAGCGGTACCTCGTCGTCCACACTGCTACAAGAGGTGCGCGTCAAGTATGCGCCAGTGGATATCTGGGCGTCTATGGAACCGACTGATGACCTGCGCCGTATCGTCGACTTGGGAGTCTGGTTCGATAATCCAGAGGAAGGTCAGGAAGTGGAGAGGGAAGGAGAGGGCGAAGCGTTCCGTGCTGTTTGGGAAGGTATGAGAGCGCGGACTTCGTATGAAGAGCGGAAGAGGTTGGGGAGGAGATGGGGGCTGAAGGCTGATATCACGTTTGATCCTTGGGACGGGGATATGGATAAAGGAAGGGTGGGGGATGAGGTTGAGATTGTTTTCACGAGGAATGAGGAGACGGCTTCTTTGTCTTGAGGGTAGCATTCCTGGTATGTATGCGATCTGCTCTTTCAACCTGGATGATTGGATAAAGACCAAACGAGTCAGCTATCTAACGGTGGGATGTACAATAATTGGAACATTTAGACTTTTGAGATACCTACATATGCTTGGTTCGTGATGGTCACTTGATCAGACCAAAATTTGACGACAACGATTCAGTGAATTGTCTCTGTAATCTTACATGCCTTGTCTGATGTCAAAGGTCTGGTCGCCATGTAACGACACAATGTCTCCTAGCTAGCCATTCGCGTCCAAGTCGATTCCACCTACCACCATGCCAAACGCCTTGTACAAGCAGAATGACACTTGGAGACGGACAGACAGAGGAGGCTTAATGAGAAGATGACTAGAATACACAAGCCAACAACAACCTCATACACAAACGTGGCGCTGAAACACCAGTCTTGTATAAGCAGTCCTCAAAACCTCAACAGTCGCTCATCAGCTGGCACTGTAAACGACAGCCGTGGGTTGTGCGGTTGAGACGCCGCCTAAAAGTCCCAGAAAGACTTGTCCGCTCCCTTCCTACCGCCCATGCCATCGCCCTCCGTCTTGATACCAGCACCGTTATTGTTCTCCTTCTTGACAGGGCTCTCTTCGAAGAGAGACCACGCGGCCTCGGTGCCCTTGCGCCCGCCCATGCCATTACCCGCAATGTTTATGCCGCGGTTTTCTGGTGAGTCGGCGTGCGTGCCCCAGTGTGTCTTCATGGAGTTGCGCGTCTGCGTCTTGGACTGCGTTACATCGTTCAGGGCACGCCTTGCGTCGCTGTTGTCGCCACTAGTTTCGTCCGTCTTGTCGGTAACGTGGTCTTCGTAGAGACCTTGGCCCTTGTTGCTGCGTCCACCCTTAGTAGGTGCGGCTTTGCGCTGGCCTTCGGGCGTGCCTTCGTCTACGAAGTCGAAGTGTGCGTCTTGGTCCGGGCGCGCTTTGTGCACGATTGGGCGGCGGACGGGGGAGGTGTCCTGTGGTGGGTATATGTTAGCAGGGGTTCATCTGTGTAGCAAGAGACGTAGATGGAACCACCTCCGTCTCTGGCTGATAGAAAGCACCAACCTCATCGTCGCTCCAGCCAAAGTGGCGAACGGCATTAGGAAGCGTCTTGGGCTTTGACTTGTTCGGGGTAGCGAAGTCGTCAAAGTCCCAGTGGGCGTCGTTCCTGTTGCGGTTCTGGTCGTGCTTGGATGGTCGCGCAGTGTCTCGTACCTTGGGTGTCTCCTCGCCTTCGCCGAACGTGAAGTGGTCGTACTTCTTGGAGCTGGTCTTGATGCTCATCGGGGCGACTGGGTGCTCGTCTTCCTCCTCAAACAGTCGGTTTGCCTTGAAGTTCTTTCCGCTGCCTGCTTTGGCTGGGATCCGCTGAGGCGAAGGAGACGGTGAGTCGCCCCCTGCACCAGCGAACAGCTCAGAGTACTCGCGTGGAGGCGGCTTCGCAGACTGCGCGCGGGGCGCTGCCGGCCCAGAGCTGCGAGACTCCCGGTCCTCCGTGTCAACCTCGCGAGGCGCAAACAGGGCGAGCGATGCGTGTGGGTCATTCATAGCATTGTTCGTTGATCCCCTCGAACGGGAGCTGATAGAGACCTCATCTGCGCCCCGTGAAGCCGATGTTGAGGGCCGCGACGACGCGCTCGACTCGGTCTGTGCAGCTGCCGCGTTGGATGTGATGAGGCGGATTTGTTCGCTGCTGTCGCGGATGGGCCAGTTGCGAGAGCGCGCACCAATGACGTCGATCTGCTTGAGCAGAGAGCCCTGGTCCCAGTACTGGCGGATCTGTGTAATCTTTCCCGACTTGTCAAAGTGAACCATGTGCACCTGTCAGTGTCAGTAAACGCGTGGAGAGGCGCGCACCCGCCCAAAGGAGAACCTGAACAGGTCTGCAGACTACACTGGGGTAGACTAAGCAGAATAGAAGACCTAGCGTGAATGTGGGCTTCAGGTTGTTCGGTTTCCTCTTTGAGTGAGGTGAGAGGACGTGGATTGAGTCAGGTACATACCATAGGGAACGTCACAGTCCGGTCGGTGACGAAATTGTCATCCAGGCCTGGCAGGTATGCGCCGCCGCCGTTGACGAACTCGATAGTCGTCTCAACGTCGATACTCAAGCCATTGCTGCCCTCGATTGCGTTCAGCACCTTCTCCTTGGTCTTCTTCAGAAGCTTCTCCTGAACAGACAGGTGCTTGATGATGGCTGTTGCGTCGTTGATGCTGGTCGTGGTGGTGACATAGTGGAGCGAGGCATTGTCCGCCAGCGCGCCCGAAGAGGGCGTCGCCAGGAACCTGGTGTATGTGTCGCGGAGCGTCATGACGCCTTGTATAGTAGCTGTTTAGCTAATTGCTGTTGTGTGTATGTATACCGGGGCGATTGTGGTGGCGGGTCAAGTGGGGTGTGATGGCTGTGGTGATACAAATGTTGTGAGTAAACAATCGCGGCCGGACGCGCGTAAGATTATGTACCCAAAAGCGGTGGGGAAGGTGAAAGGGGAACCATAACATTATGGGCAGCAGGCTTCCATATGGACCGCAAGAGCCCCCGGTCTTCCATCGCAAGGTGTTGTTTATGCAGGGGTCCCGCGACGCCCCACCTCGATCAGCCACCAGAAGTGATAGCCGGACTGCGGAGATCAACGCGGAGAACAATGTCATGCAGCCTGCAGCTAACGGCTTCGCGGTGGGGATCTAGTTTGTTGTCGCATTCCATCTTTTTCGATTTTCCTACAATCGCAGCCTTTGAATCATATAAATTGGACAGCGGAACTTCGCCCTTGCTTGCTTATTCGTACCGTAATTACCGGCGTGTTTCAGATGTGTTCTGGTGTGCCGTCCATCATAGGACGCCTAGGAAATGTCTCGTCTCCACCCAATTCTTCGCTAATGTGCGCGTTGTCGACCAAAAATCACATCTATACAACTGTATCCGATGTTCGCCTAGGAAATATCTCTTTTTTCACCCATACAAGGAACAAACTGAACAAGTGTACCGCAGTCTGCATTAGCACAAAAACCAGCGCTGGCAGAATCCCAAGGGAATGTAGACTTCTAGGTTGTTTTTACTTCCGTTCTTCTCTACAGGAGATGCTTGGATACGTGTTCAATTCTTCCATTTCTTGGACGGGGTGAAAGCGAACTGTTCGATCCTCTCGCTACTTTTCCCATCGTGTTGTTAGGCTTGCCATTTCTTTTTGTGCGGTCCACTCTATTCTTCATTTCTTCTGCGTTGTCAAAAGAGCAAGGACAAGTATAATGTTGGCCGGAGACTGCGAGTAAAATATACGGGGACGCAACGAGTCCTCGAAGTTGCGGCATATGACGTTTGGGATTCGACATGCAATCACGGCGCGGTCGAGGCGGTTTGGAAGCAGGTCTTAATCTGCTAACGATATAGACGAACTTGTGGCAAAAACACGCCTTTCAACTAGTTTACCTGGAGAAACCCCTCGAGTTCCCTGCGGTCTTCGATTTCCAGGTGAATAACGCAGGCTTATCCTGGAGTCCTTCTGTGAAGCGTGCTTTTCACCTGCGTCGGCTTCTGTCTCTGTATAATTTAAGTTACTTTCCTCTACTCAAGCTTCCTTTCACCAAGCCCGCCGCACTTGTTCAACCGCAGAGAACACACAGACCCTAATTCTTGACGCACACGATCCAGTATGAGCAGAGCCGATACCAGAATGCAACCGCGTTCGATGTATTATCACGAATTGGAGATCCAGCGGGAAGAGCAGGAGGCGAACGAGCCGTTGGAAAGATTTGAACTGCTTGATGACGTGTTGGCAATGATTCACATCAACGATGACACATACAGCTATCCCACAACACCAGCTTCACTCCAACTCCTGGATCTAACTGGAGACGATAGCACATTATGGTCTTTCTTACGGATGTTGGGCTTATACAAGGCAATTGATGAACAGATTACACTAAAGCAGCACGTGCGCTTATTGAAGGACGGCATGCTGGACGCTACACCACAATCCGAGGTGGACAAGTCAAGCTTTCACTGCAACGACCAGTTTTCTCCGCTCTTATTACTCCCTTGTGAAATTCGTAATCGAATTTTTAAAGAAGCGATGGGCGGGTTTGAAGTCCATATCATATCGATACCCGCTCCAGCGGTTAGGGATGACGAGGCGAGACGCATAAAAAAACAGCATCCGGTCGCGCGATCCCTCTAATCGAAAAACTCGCGATGAGGGTAGGTTGACCATCATGGATAGATACGGTCAGCGCACCCACTATGACCTAAAGACCAAGTTCATGCTGCAGACTACACCGTTCCTTGTCCCAGGGAGGAGCAACCCTTTCGTATCGCTACAGCAAATCTGCCGGCAGATCTACACCGAGACTGCCATGCTTCCATTCTCTGGCCTCAACCATTTCTGGTACTTGGATGACCTTGCCCTCCAGATTCTAAGGAAGCGCCTTCTACCAATCCAATTTCATTCCATCACTAAGCTCGTCTTCTTCGTTACCGAGAATGTGGACATGCCTTCTGCAACGGGCAATTTCGACCCTGCCCGGTTTCAGAATCTTCGTCTGTTAACGAGGCTTAAATACATCCGTATTGTTGTGTTGATCAAACTGGACAGCGTCCGTGCAGGCCCATACAGCATAGCTCGGTGGATAGAGAATCCCACCTTCGCGCGCATACAGGCAAGTTTGGAGCCCATATTTCTGGAGGCTGTGCCGGAGGGTGTTGACTTGGATTTCGAGCTTCGTCGGTCAAGTGACTCCGATGTACGCCCTTGAGATGCACGTTGGCTCAATATTGGCGAGCCTGTTGATGAGTGGGATTAAAGGGGTTCAGGTACTATTATAAGATAAGAATTAGCGAGCACCAAACGTTTAGGCTGCTTAAGTGGACGGTCTCCTTTGTCACATTTAATCAAAGTCATCGTAGTTGTTTGTCTCCATACCATATCAAATTGGTGTATCTCTTGTCTCGAAATGAAACGAGATATTCTCGAGTGTGCTAATATCCTTCTCAAATTTGCACGTATCGCTACGTAACGCGTACGCGCAGATCTTACAAGATTGCTCAAGTGGGTCCTGAGTGTCTTCACCTTCACTGTTCATCATAATCTAAGCCTATCTAGGTATAGACATCGTCTCTCACCCGGGTAAAGCATTAGCGTATCACCCGTCACCACGGGATAGATTAGAACTCTCCAACACTGTTTCTACTCGTTACTCGCAAAAATATTACAACAACACTTCAGCACGACCCCCACGAGAACGGTATCCTGGATGCCACACCACGTACGCCCGATGTTATGGCCATGTAAGCTGCATTTCATTGAGTAGTCTTGCTACATACTGACGTCTTCAAGTACCCAACGAAACAGCGCTACCTCACCTCTACTCCGTCTTCCGGCCGAAGTGCGCAACAAGATCTTCACCTACGTCAACAGTGGTTTGAACGTCTTCCTGTGGAATGAACGTTTCGACCCTGGAGTTAAACCCAGCGGCGCCTGCTGGAAGCCTCAAGTCCTCATCGGACATGACGCTTCCCCACTCGCACGTCCTTGCCTTCCATCATTCCTGGGTCTTCAGGCCACCTGCCGTCAGATCTATAACGAGACAGCATTGCTTCCCTTTCCCACCAACAAGTACTGGTACTTCCCCATATCTTCGCTGGATGAATGCAAAACTCTGTTTCACGGAGCGCAGTTGTAGAGCATCCGATACATCTCATTCACTGTTATGATCCATCTTGGGATATTTGAATCAGATACTGGAGACTCCGATGTAGGAAGGCTGGAAGGTTTGAGAGCTTTCTCTGACCTCCAAGCGGTCACCCTTAGTTTCGATACAGAGATACCGGAGTATAAGCGTACACCGCTGTTGAAAAGATCCAAGGTAATTTTAGAAAACCATGTGAAGCGAGTGGTATTCGGTGTCAAGGTTGTGTTTAAGCGCGGCTACCACGATTGTATCTAAGATGATATCTACCCCTCCCAGTCACGCCTCTGGCGCTCGAGGGATCAAGATCTGATTGGTGACGACTAGATGAGGAGCGTAATACTTTTGGTACTCGGGGCGTATGGTCGGGCAGGAGATGAGTACACCCCGATGACTTTCCTTCGTTACCACTATTGCGACATTGCTTTTACACTCTGGAGACCACATTGTCGTCTTTGATGACACTGGTAATATATTAAATGAATGTCTTCTCCAAAGCGAAGATTTTAGCTATTACATGCCGGATGACGGAGGGCATTCCAAAGTACTAACGCCCCGTCTCGTGTGTCTTGTGTGTCTTGTATTGCAAAAGAGCAGCAATACCTTTCATCAAACAAGCGGTAAAGCATAATTTTGGAGTTCATTGATACTGTTCAATAGATTTGAGACGTCTTATGTAACATAACGATTGTATACATCTCTAGTTCCCCTCGATAATGTATTCATGAATTCGACTTCAGTAGATGCGTATTGCAGCAAGAGGTATCCTGTTGCCTTTTGGTCGTACTAAGCGCCTGTATCGCAAAAGAAACATTAGTAAAGGACTTCCCAAGGTTGAACAGATCAGATTAGGGAGATAGCTTACATCCTGCCACCTTGTATAGTTTTCCGTACCAGTTGTACGACCCACAATGGTTACCAAGGCCTGCGCCCTCGGGACGGCACTGGTTAAGAATATTCTCAAACGCGTCCCAGCATCTCTGTTGGTCAAAGCCTCCAGGCCAAGAGAGGTAACCACCACCCGGAACCTTGTATCCGCCATCGTTCTTGTATAGTCCGTCGCCGCAGACGTGTTGACGAGCAGCGTAGAGCGAGTTGCGAGATCCGGCTTGACCGGGGGTGCAGAGACCGTAGCAGTTGCATTCGGCGGCGGAGACGACAGCTCCCGAGAGCATGACGCCGGCGGCGATGATGGAGTTGAAGCGCATGTTTGTGGTGGTTTGGAAATCAAGGGGACTAAGTAAAGGTTCTTGGATAAGAGTTGCTTGTTGCGACGATGAGAAGTTGGGCTGGACAGAAGGATATTTATACTAAGGCTGCGTTCACGACCGCTCACCCAGATAGAAATACCCACACGCCGCGAACTCACTGGATTGTGAGCAAGTTAGTATGTCACGCCCAAGGGTCCCAAAAGGTATACATTGCGAAACGTACAGACCTCAATATTGCTCGATTTGTCGAACGCACGAATCATCACTGCGCCGTTCGTCATAGCCCACATGCAGACATCTACAGAACTAGCCTGCCATAGAAGGTGCATTTCGAGGTCAAAGTAATCATTCTCGTACAGCGCGATACTGAGATCAGCCACAACGAGCTAGAGTACGCTTGAAGATTCCATTGGTGGTCAGCGATCCGGAATGCCTTCCGTAGCCGCTGCCATATGCGGCCCGCGCCTTCTACTACGCAAAGCTTGGCCGGTTGCGGTGATGATTTCCAAATATCATGCCATAGAACAGGTACGGGGTCATCCGATCGTATCCATCTACCTGGGTACGACAACGTGCATTGTGCCAGGTGCCAAAAAGGACCAGCTCGAACCAGGGCTGGACCTCAGTGTAAGCTAAAGGCGCATCCCCTCTTTCGTTGAATACTAAAGAGGCAGGTGGAAGTTGAACAGAAGAGGCACCAAACTGTCTATTCGACACCACATGCAATCGACACAACGCAAATGCGTCACAGGAGCCCACTTGTTCGCCAAAGATTGCTCAAACGGTCTTGACTATCGCATACTAAACTGCGGGCTCGGCTATTAGCGTCGTACCAAGTAGATAGCAACACCATTGCTGGCTGACTAGACCGCATGGAGACGAGGACAACAGGACTTTAGAGTACTCTCACCCCGGATGCATTGGAAGCCGTACTGGCGCGTCCCACTTCTATAGCTGTCAGTTCCTAGCGATCTTGGTAAGTGCGGGGATCGAGAATCTGTTGAATGTGTCGAAAATGACCTTGGAGGAGGGGATCTCTGCGGGGAGAGCACCGGGGATACGAAGGGTGTGTTTGAAAACTAGTCATCCATGAGGCGTTGAGGAAGGAGAAAAGGGACTGGTTGTTGACTACACGACGTTTTAGCCTCATCATCCCTAGTGGACGTACTCCACCGCGGTAAATACATCCACCTACTTTATCACATGTTGAAGATAACCGTCACTCCATCTGCTTCCAGTACTTCTTCAAGCCTCTCCATCAGCTTATTCTTCATCAACTGGAACCTATCATCAGTGTCATCTCTCCAACTCCCCGTGTAACCCGCATAAACATTGAACACAATCGTCCTCAAGCCCATCAAAGGCGCCAAAGCCTCCGCTTGCAGGAATCAGTATCGGTAATGTCTCTTCCGAGGAACATCGAAACTGTACGAATGGCGTTGAACTGTGCGGGAATCAACTTCCGCCACCAATCGCTTACATCGCTGGGCATGGGCGGGTGTGTAGGCCTGTACTAGAAATTGTTGATGGAGAAGGGGATGAAGCGCGCTTCCGTGTATGTCGAACGACAGACGCGTAGGATAGCTAGGGGGTGTTTTATATGATCGCCTGAGTCATGGGCCATAACGAGCGGCCTTTCGGGTTGAGTGTTGAAGATGATGTAGTTTCCGAGGACATATTCCCAGTCATGATCCCGCAACTCTCGAGGCAGGAGGAGCAAAAATGAGACCCGCATGTTTCTCTCGGTGCTGAATCACTAGCATTTGATCCTGTCCTGAGAGGGCTGCATTGTGCTGGAGGCCATGTCGACTTTACTTACATCGCCTTGTATTTGCCGAATGGTGTCACGTCTACAATATCGTCCTGTGGGCGACGAACCGATAGCAAATAGCCGTGCCTCTTATTCCGGATCGTTATCTCGGTAGTGCAGGTCTCGGGTTTGGGCTTGGTTTTTTTCGTGTTTCCGCCTCGTATAGTTCTGATGAACTTAATGACTGGCACCGGTAGAGCCTGTTGACTGGCCGCGAAATTTCCGTAGACTGACTATGTCGCCGAGGGCGCTGATATTTAAGAATTTGACAAAAGAAGATGCAGATGCGGAGTGAAGAGACTTTGGGTCCGTAGCAGCTTTGTGTTTTTAGCTAAGTCATGCTCTGGGCCCTTGACCTCCCGTCCACGGTGCTGCAAGTACCTAGCGCTCATGAGCTACCTCCCAAATTTCAAGACTTACACCCTGCCTATACAATAAGGTCATTCGAATAAAAAGGATTATGAAGGTAAGAAACTGGCTTCGATTTTGGGGTGGGTTCGCTAAAAAGTGTGGTACTGAAACGCGGAAGATAAGATCAAACTGCACCGAATCATGAGCCTCGACGGGACTCGACATGCCTTTATGGTCTCGAATGAGTCTACTCACCTCGCTTCAATCCGTTTGCTCTTGCTCATCTGGGCCCGTATGCTCATTTAGAAAGGAAGATATCCAGAAGTGCAGTAAGCCTCGCCTTTTCTCGGAACAGCTGCAGTATCCTTGATGTTTCAACGATCTGAAATCATCGAAATCTCATACCTGCGAAGCTCTCCATATCCTTCAGAACAACCTCCAGTCCATCTTTACCCGATATCTTCTTCAATGTATCAATGACACTCTGACCTTCTGTAGTGTTGTCGACATGGCGTCGGTTGCAGATGTAGACAGCACGCACCGATATCAAGCCAGGGAATCGTTGGAGGCATAATGCATGGCTGTCAGAACAAGCGATAGTAATCCGCCTGAATGCGGCCAGTTGTTGTGGCAATTTTTCGTCCAACCAACGGACCGAAGAAGAATCATCGTGGACCCTGAAGTCATTGAGAGAGTACAAGAGTAAGCAGGAATCGGCGTACATTTGTCTGCAAGCGTAAAAAACACTCGGGACTGAATAGTCTTTCATGTCGTAAGGTTGGCCGAGGATCAAGTCGCCTCCGTAGACGTGCTCCACAGAGACAACGTATCCCCATATGCGATTGCGGATTTCTGGAGGTAGACGCAAGAGATCGGATTCTTCCGCATTTCGCTTAGCTCTGATAGCAGATAGTCAGTAGGTGTCGTGCTGAATGGCGTCACACTTGCATCGTGAGATAATAGCTACTAGGAGTAACACTGAGCATTCCGTTCTTTGGCTTCCGAGTACTCATGTGTTGCCTCGCTGCCTGCGATTTTGTGGCACGCTCGGGCTGGCGCCTTTTCGCACTGCTTAGTGTTGACATGACGTTGTGTGGCGGGAGAAGTCGCGTCCACGAGTGGGAGACGTAGCTTCGTAGAGTACACGAAGAAAGCGCACAACGTCGGATGCGTATTGGAAATCCGTGAGAGAGTATAAAGCTCAGACTGGGTCGCAGAAAGTTGTGGTGAGTGAGAGCACTGGCACTCCCGATGAGGTGAGAGCAAACAGCGTGTGTCAAGACAGCACAATATATCGATGTGGAAAGTACGCGAAGCTGCACTGACGTGTGAGATGACACCCCACCCAACTCCTTTACTGGTCTGGCCTTTCCCATATCGATAAAAACGTGCGCTTGTCAATTGAATCGCGATGTAGTATGAATGAAGCGCCTAGTAAGAGCAGAATTAAGATGTGAAGTGACGAGATCAACACGTGAAAGGGTATATTGAAACGTATCGATACGCTCGACTGGATGGAAAGATGGAAAGCCCAGATCTCTTCGGACATACTCACGACGTGTAGGAAAGAAATGACCTCGTCCAGGCGTACTCATCAGTGAGAACGCCACCCCAAACAAGTGTCGTACCACTTAATCGTCCGAGCCATCCTCCGGCAGCTCCCTCAGCACACCCTCCACAATCTCAATGAGCTCATCAACATCCGGTCGCTCACTCGGTTCCAACCTCAGACACTTCCTGACCACCTCTTTCACGCTGTCCGTGATAGCATCCTCGGGGTTCGCCTTCTGCTTGCCCCTCTGCATACCCTCATCTGGAAACCTCCAGTCACCACCCAAAACACATATGCTCAGACTACCACCGGTCTCATCTGACCTAGCCTCGAAGGGGCTCTTGCCGACTAAGCATGCGTAGAGCGTGCATCCGAGCGACCAGATGTCGACCTTGGTATCGATGACAGAGCCGGTCTTGACGTCGAAGAGCTCGGGGGCGCGGTATGGCATGGTTGAGTGTTCGGCGGCGGTGTCTTGGATTTGGAGGGCGAGGGAGCGCGATGTTACGGGTGTTGGGGAGGGTGCTAGGGAGCCGAGGTCCATGAGGATGGGTGTTTGGCCGTCGTCGTCTATCATGATGTTTCCTACGCGTGTTAGTCTCAGAATGCGCGACTGTGTAATAAATGCAGTGCTTACCAGGCTTAATGTCCCTGTGCGCGTACGCCCTCTCTCCGCCGGGCGCAATGCCTTCGTGCGCCGCTGTGACTTCTGTATCCTCTAGCAGTCCTTCTGCTTCTTGCTCGTCGTCCTCGTCATGATCGCGATTTCGCCTGCTCGGGCGCATCTCCATGGTCTCCGCAGCTTCTGCGTCCGCCCTCTTCGCGTCCCTCCGAACCTTCTTCGCCTTGCCCTCGCTCTTCGCGCCGCCGGGCCCACCCTTGATCTTGTACTGATGCATTGCCTTGAGCGCTTTGCAGACACCTAGGAATAGCACCATGAGTCTTCGCTCTGGGAACTTTGTGTGATTGACCAGGTTCGCGTTGATCATATCTTGAAGGTTGCCGCGACGGTAGTACGGGAGGAGGATGTATACGGTCTTCGCGGATGAATCTGACTTGTCGGTCTCAACGGAGTAGTCGATCGAGTGTATGATGTTTGGATGCGGCGAGAAGAGTGTGTAGGCCTCGACTTCTTTGAGCGCCAGGCTCACGCTTTCTTGGCCGAAGGGACATCGGATCTTCTTGAGGGCGAGGAGTTGTTGATTCGAGTTGTCTTGTACGAGGTATACATATGAGAAGCCACCCTGTGTTGCGATGAGTAAAGTGAATGCAGTCCATTGGAGACATCACAACTTACCTCGCCCAGCAGCCGTAATATCTTGAAACTCCGACTGTTGATCTTCAACTGTGGTGAGCTGGGAAAGCAAACCATGCAATTTGTGAAGGAATAGACGACATCTAGGAAATATGTGCCTAGTGACCCCATCGTGGCGGTTGTTGTTGCGAATGCGATCTGTTTGTTTGCAAAGCTATTGACAGCTTGCGGGAAGGCGATGAGAGATAGACGAGCGGTCAATTCAGGTTGTCGATTGTCGCTATATTACGGAGTGTATGTTTGAGTGATGAGGAGGTAATCGGGGCGGAACGATAGTGAAGACGTGTTGTTTACTGTGATAGGATGTGGGTATGTTCGGTGCTGACGACGAGGTTCCGGGTTGCGCCAAGGCGTGGCTGTGAACCCTGACAGTTGCACGCTTCCGATCGCCTGCGGAACGTGGTCGGGAAGATCCACGTGCCGCTAACCCGAAGCAGGCGGTAGCGCCATACCACCAAAGATTTGAAATATAGATTAGATTTCACCAATATTTGTCATCAACGTCTCCATAAGACTCAATACATCTTGGGCGTGTGGCTCAGTGGTAGAGCGTCCGCTTTGCATTTCTTGTGCTCGAAAGGGCGTGAATTACACAAATTGCGGAAGGTCCGGGTTTCGATCACCCGCCCGTCCATTTTTTGCCCCTTGATGCCCTCTCTGGCTCCTTTTTTGAAGGTTACAACATGCGATCTTGAGTACAGAAGAGATATTACAAACGTCATGTGTCTACAATCATCCTTCATGTCCTCCGGGAGGTCCGGGTTTCGGTATTTCAGGCTGACTTCACTCTACAAGTCGAGCCCACTCGCTAAAATATGCAAGATCACCCACTTGTCCACTATAACTTTTTTTTACCACTGTGTGCTGCTTGTCGCTCCTGTTCTTACAGGTTACAACGTGATGTTATAAGAGCAGAGTACATCTTGCGAATCTGACTTTCTAGGTCATCTGCGCGCATTCTCTGTTGAAGTAACGTTGTTTTTAGTTCTTAAATGTTGCTTGCATTGTCTTGCATTTCCCTGCATTTTACCTATGCAGCAAAGTTTTGACAGCCGTATCTTGCAATTATTTGTGATACTTTGCCGTTAGATAGTTATATGTTTATTACCCAAAGAGACTTGATTCTTGAGGTGTTTAGAGGTAACTTTGAAATTTCCTATGTATGCTATTAGGTCAATTGCACGTATGTGCGTACCTCTGGTTAAGATCAGTCGGGCTGGTGATATAAGTGTTTAGATGTTTTCCTCAACGCTGTTGTACTCCTCTACCATAACGAATTGAGTACATTATCTCAAGAGACCAGCTCCTCAAAGAATATTGCCTCCCACAATTCGCAATCCGACCGCATTACCACCCACTTCATCTACCACACCATCTCAATCAGGGCAAAATCTCAAGACGTTGAAGCCTACATCAACGTCAGATTTTGTAGTCTGTTGATATTGACCCAATGTATGCGGCAAACTCACTCGGTTTCTTCCTTGTCTTCCGCGACCCTCCCTCCCTCTCAAGGCGCAACATCCTTTGGCATTCCCTCAACCCCTAGATCAATCTCCTTGTCCAAATTCTCCAAGAACCCCTTGCCGCGGAAATCCTCCTTGCCAACCACCTTATCCATTATGCCCGCAACCTCCTCACACTTATTATACCACATTCTCTCGTAATTGTACTCTTCCACGGAATCATTCGGCATCATGATCCACTCGGGGATCGCACCCTTCTCTTGCTCACCATCTTTGTACCACCAAAACCTTGCCGTATCATCCTCTTTCGTGCGCCAGTTACCTCGGTTCCAGCCATGCTTCAGCGGAGAGTGTTTGTCCCATCCGCGGACGAGACTGCGGTAGTAGGCGATGGGGTGAATGTATTCGTTTGTATCGCCCAGATCACGGAGTCTGGTCCATTTCGGCGCTTTGGTGTCCTCGTTGTAACACTCGACTTCTTCGTGGCCGGGCATGCGTTGCCATGATCCGATGAAGTAGTATATCCCGCTGTAGGAGTCTACGAGGGGGCCTGTACCCCAGCTGAAGTCAAAGTTGGTGTGTGAGTGCGGTGGAGAACGCGGCGGGGCTTTGAGCGTGTCGCGGCCGATACCTGGAATGGAGATTGTTGGGAGCAGGTTCCACGCTTTTTGGAGGATGTTCTGGTGGTGATAGGTGCAGGCAAAGCGGAGTCGGAATAGCCAGCGCGTGTACTGGTCCATGGATAGCTGGAAGGCACGGCGGTCGATGGTAAGATAAGGGGAGATGACTTGAAGCATCCAGCAGAGGGTTGCTGTGGAGATGTTTTCCGAATCTCCCTTCATATCACCGAAAGCGTCTTGTGAACCACCGCCAATATTGGTGTGAACGCCAGGAAACCAAACCTGCTTCAGCTCCGGTGTTGGTCTGTCGGGATCGTCGACCAGACTCTTGGGAATGTACCAGAGAGTCGGGCGGAAAGCCCTCCGACGTTCATCCAAAGCCAACGCCTGAAATGCATGCTCGATATCTACAAATTGTTAGCCAGAATCACACGCTTCCACACCATCGCAAACTCACTCTCCGTCAGCTCGACGTTGTGAAACCCATACTTCGTCCTCGACCACGCCAGATCAATACCAATCAGATCAGGTACACCCAGCGAGCCAACCGTATCCCACACGCCAACCACCTTCACCTTCCTGCTACCCTCGCTGACAGCAAGCTCACCATGCGGTCGAATCTCCCATACTTCAGCCAGCAGTTTGAGATCACGCCAGTCGATGTTCCTGACATCTACGCCCTCTTTCTCCATCTGCAGACCCTTCTCGCTGAGCTTGCCTTTGGTGAACCATCTGTATTCATCCGTATCACGGAAGTCAACACCTTCTTCATTCCTTTGATACAGACGATATAGCTCCGGAAAGAATTGCATGTTGACTGGTGCAATCACACCGATATCCGAAACCAGTCCGGCAACCGCACGCGCCGTGTAGGCGCCTCTCGAAAACCCAAAACAGAAGATCTCATCGCCTGGCTCGTAGTTTTGCACAATGAAGTTGTAGGCTTCGATGACGTTCTCCGCGAGACCAGCTCCTGTGCCGCCTTGTCGTCGCCTCTCAGAGGTACTGAGATTCCCGGTTCCTATCCCAGAGTCATAGTACACGATCTGATGGAATTTCTTCGAGGCGTCGTTCTTGTCCGTGCCAACACGGGCGATCAGGCGGCAGAGCCTGGCAACATTTGAGGGTATGTTGTCTTTGCTGCTGACGCTAGATTGCCATGTGCCGTCGCAGCAGATCACTAGCCGTCGTCTCCAGGCGGTGTTGTCGTTGACCATGATGGCAGGAGGCAAGTTTGTGTGGGCAAATACGAAGAGAATAACAGAAAGCCGGTGGTCTGTAAGGCGCAATGTCGAATACAGGAAGGAGGATTGCGTATGAACAAATACAAGAACGCCGATCAGATACCAAGGCTGAACAGTTGGCAAGCGCGCAGGACGTCCGTCGTTATATGACACTCAGGGGCAAGCAAAAAGACAAATACACGCAGCACAAAAGACGAAGCTGACCGGTTCCAAGCCACGATCGCTGCATTCAGGCAATGGAGCAATGAGGCAGCGCAGCTTCTTCTATTTTATCCTCATCGAGTCGCACATCGCGAATGAGCCGATCAACGAATGCCCATGACGGACGCCTAATTCCCCATGTCGCCAATGCGCCCACCGCATTGTCCAAGTGCGGCTGAACGGGGGCTTGCCAAGCGACCTGTTTGGGCGGCTTGAAGCGCAGGTCCTACCCGCACGCCTTTGCATTTTCACCGAAGGACGGGTCAGACTGTGAACGCCTTCAGGGTGGTCTGATATGGCGCGGAGGTGTTGGGGTGAGAATCGCTCGTGTTCTATGCGTCGGCGCGCTGTCTGGACGTGAGAGAATGCGGTGTGCGTGTATGGGGCTTGTGCACGCGATCATCATTGTCCTTCGCCTACCTAGCTCTACTGTTGAACTTTGATTGCGATATCGAGAACACTCCTTGTGCACCTGTGGACAGTTGTGGTCGTGAACAGATCAATGTGTGATGAGAGCGTTGAGGGATCATGGGCGGGGTTCGAGGCGCAGGCAACGCGCTCAAGGCGTGTCAGCTGTTGCCCGAACCCTGAAGTAACAATACTCAGGCAACGGCAGGCACAGCCCTTTTCCAACTCAAAATGCCACAGCAACAGTCAGATTACTCTCAAAGGTTGCATTCTTGTTACATCAATGTCAGCTCAATACTTGCTTGTTTCACTCGGCACGTGCATGCTGTCTCAAAAAAAGGCCGAGTTTGCTTGCATCGCCGGAAGGCGGCAGCGTAACAATGAGTTATTCTTGGTGTCAATACCCTATATCCAGAAGGCGGTCTATACTATCATCGAACATCAAATCGTGACTAACAGTCGCTGAAGAGCGAATCCGTGGAGCATCCCAGTGCCGTCTGTCGCGATATGGCGCCATTTTGGCGCAATCCTAGAGCACCGTTGTGGCAGCCCCAGGCGTGCCTATATAACGCCCACCATCCCACCATGAAAAGAACGCTTAATCGCTGAACATCACAAGACTCCTTCCTGAAACTTGTACGACAAACTCGCGAGTCGTCAAAGATATACTATGAGCCCCTTGGCATCAACCACTCACATTGAGCGAGGCGAGTTACCAGCTGTATGCGGCCGACTGCCGTATTGAGATCCATCATTAAAGCCCTCGAAGCTTTCACCTGATGACATCCTTCTCAGATCGTTGTCGTCGCCCATGTCGACATCTTCCATCTCGTACCGGCCCGCTCCATTCGGGTTCTGCGGCGGTCCCATATTGGCAAAAGAACTGTATTGCCGTGGGGGCGCCGCGGGCGGAACGCCAGCACTACTAATTTGTTGTGCGAGGCTGGGCTTCTCTGCCAGGTTGTTGAGCATGGCGCGACTTGCGTCCAACATCGATACGGCGTACTCGAGGAAGTCCGCTCGCTTGGAAGAGACGGAAAGCGTCCAGCGGTACTCGCATAGCCTGAGCTTGTAGAATTCAGCTTCCTCCTTGGCGGGTGCCGTAGCCCATAGCAGCGACCCAAAGGTGCCGATGAGCGTAAAGTTGACCTTGGAAGCAAAGTACCAGAAGCCCTGCAAATGCTCCGGCTTCAGACGGTTCACAAAATCCATAGCAGAGATCAGTCGCGTCTTCGCGGCGTTGCGGCACATGAAGAGACCGTAAGAGTCGGGATTGGTGGAGTCGAGAGACTGTACAATGCGCCTATGGAGCGTGATCTCCGTCGCAAAGTACGCAAGATGCAGATACCCCGTCGAAGTGAGCTTGCCCTTCTCGGGGACGTTCATCTTGACCTCTGCGGGTAGCTTCTCGTGCCATTGACGGAGCTTGATTTGTACGGGCTTGGCGCGTGCGAGGATCAACTCGGTTGACTTTCTCCCTGCATTCGCAAAGTCGTGGATCGCCGTTTGGGTGTAAAATGTGTCCATGACTTCAGCCATGATCTGCGTGAGCCCAATCATTTGGGCAAACAGTATCCGGCCTCGGTGGCTCTCTGCCTGCTCCTCCTCTGATTCTTCCTGGCGCGTCTCGTATCCATCTCCTTCTTCGACAAAATCGTCTTCTGTAATCGGCTTCACCGCCCAGTTGGCATTGAAGATGTGCGATGGCCGGCCGTGGATGAGTGAGCTCCACTTGTCTTGCATGTACAACGCCCATGCGATGCGCTTCCTCAAGCCACGCTCCCAGAGAGGAACTGACCATGATGAGCAGTCGAGATGCAGGCCTAGTTCTTGACCAATAGCCACCAGCTGTGTTGTCAAGCTCCAAGAGTCCGCTTCAGGACGTTGCAACAACAACAAGCCAGCCTGTATCGTCGACAGTTTGGGGCGCTCCATAGCTAGTGTGAGCGCCTTCATAGCAATCGCTTCTAGCCGCGCTGCATCAGGTCTTGAGTAGTTTGCTAGCTTGGGGTCGAGAGACCACCAGTTGAGCGCCAGGATGTACATGCCAGCCAACAGGGCTGGTGAGAAGCCTCGATCGCCTCGGCGATATCGCTCGACAAATAGATGCTTCTGTATGATGGGGTAGTTTGGATGTACTACTTGGAAGTATAGATCTAGTAAAGCAGGGCCGTGTGGGTGCACAAGCTGCTCGACCTGACCCAACGCCTCAGACTCGCCGGCAAAGTCCTGTGTGTTCTCGTCAGGTAGCATAATGAAACATTCATGATCGTTCACACGTCGAAGCGTACCAAGGTCGAAGGTCGACTCGTTACGGGTATCGAACTGTGACAGGCCAATAAGCAGTGAATCGAACGGAGAACTCAGACCGATGTATCTGCTATGTTGGCGTCGCTGCAGTCCTAGTGTTTCTCCAAATTGAGGCAAGTGCAGACTCGCTATTTGAGACAGTGAGGGTTGCGGTGGTGGAGGACTTGGCGCGGTTGCTGTGATGGTGGGTGTTGATAGTGCTAGTGGCGGAGGATCTGAGTCGACGGATCTGCCAGAGGATGTCAGCACGACATCCAACCACACGCCGACGAACCAGGACGCCTGGCGAGGGCCACAGCTCCCGGTGCCACGACCACATGCGGGATGGAAAAAGCATGGAGTGCTACACGTGCGCACGTGACCTGGTAGCGTGACGCAAGAGGAATAGCAGATAACGGAGGTGATATATCTACGCGAGCCGTGGAATACAACGTGAAGCAGTAACTGGGTGGCCTAAACATACCTTTTCTTGGTGTTATTTGGCGAGTCCTTCTTCTCACCGTCAACGACCTTCCTCTTCCGCGGCAGTGGGCTTTGTACAAAGGTGCACTCCTGCTTGTGGAACTCGCACAAGACACACAAAGCAGCGCCCTCGTGTATTACACAGCGGCTCTTCCTCCTTCGGCACGCGTCACAAGGGCGTTCCCTCCGTGAGCGGATGTTAGATACTGGACCGTTGTTGGAGGTGGGCTTGCTCAAGCTCTCCTTGCTGGATGGTGACTTCTGTATCGTGCGAGGACGAGCTGGTGCTATAGAGACAACAGGACGTGGGCCCATGGCCGGCTGCTGCATTGCTACTGCCGTCATGGCTAGCTGGCGTGGTGGAAGGGTGCGATAAGGCTATGATAGACTACGGCCCGTTGGCTAGTTTCCGAATCAGGGTACAAATATCTCGCTATCGGAAGCAGGGTTCGTGACAGGTCTTATCGCGTGGGAGATAGGTAGTTCAATCGGTATATGGGAGATATCCCGGAAATGCAAATCCAGTTGGGTAATCCAATGGAGAGTCAGACGAGTCCTACTTAGGGCCCTAGGTTGCCGGTAACGGCGGCGAGGAGTATGAGGTGACTGATGGTTCGCGCCGTCATTGAAGGTCTACGAAAGAAGTAGAGGATGGGCGGAGGCGGGCGGGATGGCGGGATAAGCCTGGCCTTGGAGCTTGGAGACCTAGAACCCTGTGTGGGGAGAGAGCAGGCGCATAATCGGGGGTGGCAGTCGTATATACTGGAGTGATGCTGGAGAGCGCGCTGCGAGAGTCTTTTGTGGCAGACATGTGCTCGGGATGGGTTTCAAGATGCACGGTGCACGGATGTTGCTTGGAGGTAAGCTGGATGGGCTCTAGCGGCTTTCTGCATTCTATCTTACGTACAGCCGAGAGATAAGGACTTTGCGGTGGGCCAATGGCTGCCGTGCATGGCTTCCCCCACCTGAATAATGTGATCTTTCCATTACTCCAGCTGTTCCTTATCTGTGCGTGTGTACTACACAGGATCCAGTTTAACTGTCTAGAGGAATTACTCTTATGTACTCGTTACCATACTCCATAGTTTTAGTATTGGCGCATGCACGTCACCCACGGCTACGCATCATTATCTCTCGCCTAGCACTTGTAAACAGTTGACGACCGTTGGAGGGACCTTGCAGCTGACAGTTGCACCGCCGAATTTTTCTTCTGTGCAGCCTCGACAGCACATGGCACGATGTGATGGATCTAGACTTTGCCACGTTCCGAGGTTTTCACGAGTCGCCTCATAGCGAGGCAGCTCGCCCGACCTTGCCAGTATCCATGGTTATGGTATGAACGGCCTCCGCACGTGTCGCGTGTTCTCCACAAGCCCTACTGCCCTACTTAGCATAGGACCCTCGATAGCGATCTCCGCTCCGCTCTGCCCCTGGTCTCGTTTCTCACCGCTCGCACTTCAGGCAAAACGCTTTCCGCTCCGACCACCGGCAGTGCGCAGGACCCGAAAATCTCCGCCAATCCTAGTCAACGAGTTACATCTTGCCGTTGCATCTTGCCGTTGATGTCATAGCACTTTTCGCCGTTGACGCGATTCAGGGAGGTTGGTAAAGAACCGCGGCGCCGCCAAACCTCCCAAGACCGAAAAAGGCTGGAAAATCGGATGCGATCTACGCCAGTGTACGTAAAACGCAGGCTTAGCCTCGCACTGCCAACGACCTCAGACTTGGGTTGCGATGCTGCGGGATGACAGATGGATACCCAGCACCACGCTCAGTACTTCCGCATTCGTCCTCGCTTAAACTACCGTTTAATCTCTCAACAACGGAACGATATATCCTCCTCCGAATACTGGCAGTCGTTGTCGAAAGGCCCGTAAAGAAAGTCAGATCGCAATATTCCCCTCACCGCCCGCTTGATGCGACTGGCCTAAATAGCGGAGAGAAATCCGTCCGCTCAACCGCATGTAGATTTGAAAGGCCATGGGTTCGTGGTTGACATTACGAGATGTTTAAGCGCAGATCCGCATGTGAGAGACTAGAGTGTGTGGATTCTGCCCAGGCTGATGACATCTCAGGGAAAGTCGGGCCGCTTTTCTCCGGAGTGTGAATCATTCACTCCGTCGTCACGACTACATCTTGCGCCCTCTGAAGAGTCAGTCTAGTCTTTTCTCAGCGCAGTTCTACTGGATGTATACGAGCGCCCTTGACTCAGTAGTCTAAAACCTGCTTACTAGCCGTTGGAGTTCTTACGTAGTGTCTGCTTGAGCACATAACAGGAGGCAGGACTACCTTGACAATGCCCAGGTAACAGAAGTGCCAACACATCGTAGACGAAGCCTAAGCCTACAATGTCAATTTTTAGCCACCGCTGCAGGAATACGTGTAGGATGACGAACACTCAATTTGTCGTGAATCTACAGTCAGCATCTCCTTGCCACTAGCTTACTTGAGACCGACAATATACCGTTAAGTTGAATTCGGGCTGATTGATCTTCAAGATATACTCATACATTGAATTACTTCTTCAGGTTCTAGATTGACATGGTGGTAATATCCCTGTTTCTAGATGGCCGCAACGGACGCTACCCAGCACGGAGCGACTACAAGCATATTGCTCTCACGTCCGAGGACAGTGCCGGAGGCCATGGAGGTATTGCCATTGTGCTTGATGTTGGCCTGTCCGCATATGTTCGCTGTTGGAGTTGACTCAAGATTCTCTTCCCCATCAAGTAAACACAAGTAAACAGGTCAAGAAAAACTTACGCAGGGTCCCAGATTGACATGTGGGTAGACCAGAAAGTGAGGAGGGTGTGGGACGCGCTAGATTCGGTCCGTATGAGTATGCATACGTCAAGTTGCGCTTTCCGTGGCACTCTGGTGCAATAAGATCATTTCAACAAGTATCAGATTTGGACCAGGTGAGGTAGCTATGGATCTATCATAAACCCTCGTAGCAACTAACAGCCATATACCTAATCCATATTATCTTGCCCAATGTCCAGTACTCCTTACCCCTCCTGCCTCGGCCATATGTACAATTGTGGGCTTCGGGTACCCTATCATAATGGATATAGAGACGCGCTTTCGACCCGGTCGTAAACCTACAACCCCAGCGCATTGATCATACCACCGTAATCATATCGTCGTTATGTTTAACGCGCCTCGCTGGAAATGGATAAAGAAGGTATCGCGAATAGGCCGTCTCGTGTGCCGTGGTGGTGTGCGCAGCTACTGCGCGTGTTCAGTCAACGTGGAGGAGACCTTTGGCTGCGCCGCGGTTTGATGCTGAATCAGTGCATGGGAGGCTGATAGTTGATCGGTCGCCTGTTGGAGGATTAGCTTGCAGCGCGCGGTGTATGCACTGACACAACGTACTTGAAAAGCAAAATGTGAGGTTCTGGCTCATGGACCTCGTAGTGCTCCCATCCCAGACTCTGTTCCCAAGTCAGCATATATGTTGCAGCCTGGAGTTAGACCACGCGTACCTGTGTGATGCCCAGTGCCCGCCATTCCTCCTCCCATAGCAGCTTCAGTGTGCCTCGCGCGCCGTCGAAGTAGTCTTTTGGGATAGCCTTTAGCATCTGCTTAGGCAGCTGCACGTGGCGATATTCGTATGCGTCGTCCGAGTATCTGTGTTCGCGGTCAGTAAAGAAAACGCGCTGACCGCCTCTTGTGTTGACAACCCACCTCGCCGAGTAATGGATCGCGTCGACAAATTCATCCAGCTTTTCCTTCTCGTGCTCCGATAGCGGGCGCGGCTTCTTGTTTCGGCGCGTGAAGTCAATATCCAACTCGCCCGACATGGTGCGCGTAGGGTGGTGTGAAGAGCTCGTGTGCTCCGAGGTCGTCAGTGGGGTGTCGGCGGGTGGTAGAAGCGAGCGGGGCGGGCAGCTGCGTTGCCTAGCGGGAAGTCGCCGTCGTGGATGTGGGAAGAAGCGCTTGGATGCAGAGTCTCGTGTTCGGGCGCGTCGGGCGTGTAGTTATCGAGTGAGAGAAAGAATAGTTCAAGTAAATGAACCCAAACAGCTCTTGTTTACCCAGTCATGAAATTTGGTCGATTGTCCAAGCTTCTACGCTAACTCGGCTGCGGCCTAGCGTAACCGTCTTACCACGTTCTACCGCACCTGGGCAACGTCTTTCACCCCTGCATCTGCATCTCCGCTGATCAGCGACGTGCAGTCGAGTTTCGATGCAAACATTCTAACGCCAGCTTACGTACGCTTCACGTCTACAGTCACCGTTGTCTCTGTTCTTCTTCGTCCTCAAACATCTCCGGACACAGCAACCAGCCACAAATCTTATCTTATACTAATTACGTGCGGACCGCTGATGAAGCCGCATATATGTCTGGAGAATTCATGTCTTTCGCTTTGCAATACTTTCTCTAATCGCATACTGTCCACTACCCAAAGCCACAAACATATACCCCCAGAACAGGTAAATCCATGTGGCGTGCGCGTACGCTTACGCTTGCTCGTACTTGACAAACGCTGCTGAACGGACGCATGATCCGTCATCAATTCCAACGTTCACGCCGCTATCGGTTTACTGCGGGCACATTGGTAGTGCTTTCTCCCTATCACCTCTACGCACCTTCTCCTCCTGCTCAAATAGCTTCTCCAGCATCTCGCGCTCCGCACAGCCTTGCAACCACGGTGTCTTCGTATCCAAGTTCGGCCGTCCAAGCACACCCACCAACTGAGCACTGGCTTCCTCGATGGACCACTTCCTGATGGAGGCCTTGTGCAGTCGCTTCAACCCCACATTCCATGCTCTTTCGTTGAGTTTACTGAGGTGTAACACGTCCTCCAGGGCCGCGTCTTCTTCCTCTATCTGGTTCTTTTCCTGCCTGGCGCGTTGCAGGTATCGTGTCAAGAGGGTGATTGAAATTGCAAACCCGGTGATACCAGCGAGGATAATCGCAAAAATGGCGCCAATAGGACGTGTGTGTTCTGGTGTTGTATCCGTATACACGGCTGGAACCAGTATTGAAGGTTGTGTTTGCTGAGAGTGCGCTGTTGAGGTGAGGTGCGTAGTCAACGGCATGTCGACAATCAGCGAATCCGCGTGACCACTCTCGCTGGAACCAATGTCAGAATTGAAGATCCGCCGAGTTTTACTTTCTGGAAGGACTTCCGAAGCCTTGCCGTAGCAGCTGGCTGGCATACTAGGGTACTGATGCGTGTCGACGTCAATATGATCTCCTCCAATCTTCGCCATGATACCCAGTGTCAGACTCCGTCGATGTCGAGAGTGCCTGAGCCTGCACAGATACAAAGGTACTGTGTTTGCTTGCTGGTGTACGAAGCTCAGCGTATCGTTTGTACGATCCGAACTCGGGTAAAGGGCGGAACACAGAACTTTAAACAGGCCTTGACGGTCATACAATGACTATAATATTACTGGGTATAGGTAAGATGTAACCATAGCTCTACTGGCCGACGGGGCATACCTGTATCCTCGCTAATCTTACATTCCAGCTTGAGCAGCCACTAACTTACTAAGACGCGTACGAGTTCTCATTGCTACCCTGGCGGACGCACAGTCTGAACTGTGTGCTCTCTGGACCAAGATGATCGACCATGTCGGGCCATAAGGAGCTTGACACGATAGTTTCACGACAATCACAGGCGCAAGAAGAGAGATACGCTTGGTTAGCAAAACCATACATCAATGCGCTAACTTTCGTGCAACCAGACAAGTATTTCCCAGATGCTGATATGAGATAGTGAGAGATCGTATTGATCGACACTGTCTTTATTACAATTATCTCTAGATGCTCCCATCAAAACCTTCATCCAATCTCTCATTCCGTCCGATACTCCCCGCACACGATCCCATCCTTATCCGTCCTTTCAATAACTCTAGATTTCTTCGGCACGGCGCCACTATCCACTTTCTCATCTCTCCACTCCCACCTCAACTGTTTCTTTGGCCTCACCACCATCGCCTGCTGTATCTCCGGTTTCTTCTGTCCCAAGTCCCCATGAACCACATTGATGCCTTCATCCGTAACTCCGCATTCCAACCACTCGCTCGCTCTGTCGTCGCTTGCACTAGTCTTGATCTCGGGGAGTAATTCGATTGATGGTGATGGCGGTACGGACGAGTAGCGTTGCTGTAGGTCTTCGTAGTGCTCCTGTTGTATTTGCTGCCGTGAGAGGCGATGTGAGAGACGGGACTCTCGACCAGATTCGAGATCAAGTAGAGCGGGCTTGAATGTTGGTTGTCGACTGGTCTTCTTCTTGTTTTGATTGGTGAGACGGATGGCGAGGTACGCCAACATCAAGATGAGGATCGTAGATGTCAGAGCGATAAGTGCGAGAAAGAGATCCGTCAGAAAGCTCATATCGGCCATATTCAGCATGCCCATGGGGAAAATGTCAGTTTGCACCAACGCCTGCTGCGAGAGGTATACTGCAGTACTTAAGCCTGTCAGGTGCAACATGGGAGGTAATCACTGACCGGCGTGGTACTAGGAGAGGTCGTTATCAGGTAACCAGACCGGTGAAAGGATTTTGTATCCATGCATACGCTCAACTGTACGAGGGTCCGGCTATAATGCTCCGCGGTCGTGTTGTGTTGTGCAAAGTGGTACATAATATGGGAGAGAGAACTTGCACGACTTGCCATTAACTCGAGGGACAGGATGCCCATAGAAAGCTGGAAGTTGAAACGGCACGTGTGAGACAGAACTGAGATCGGGAAACGTACTTCTCTGGTCAGCATAACGGGTAGGTACAGCCCTACATCTCAAGCCGCCTGGTCCAACGCGCCCGTGTAGTCATATACAAGCCTAACCCTAACAACCTCATCACTCCCCACCTTCCTAACCACAAACTTCCTCGTCAGTTTCCTCTGACCCCCAATATCTGCGAACCCCCAAATCTGCCACGCAGTCCATTTGTTCGCCTCGTTCTCCACAAAACTCTCGACAATATCTCCTTCTTCTATCTCCTTCAACCAGCCTTCGGCCACATACTTTGCGTCTTCCTCGCTCACACCCGCAGCTTTTCCTTCTTCGACTGCCTTGGCCAGGGCAATGTAGCGCGACCGTCCCTTGACGGTGCCGAAGAGCCGGTCGACGTGCTCGCGGTAGTGCCAGTCTAGGATGCGGGTTTCAGTGGAGCCTTTGATGCCACCGGTTATGAGTTGGTCGATTTTGATTTCTGTCGTTGGCGTGTTGTCTTCGCCGTCTACAGTGGTTTGGTACAGGTGTTGGGTTACGGTTGCTGCGCCGAGGGCTTTGCGCGTCAGCCAGCCTATGCCTTGGAGGGCGAGGACGGCGTCAAAAGCATCCGAGAGGGATTTGTTCTGAGTTGTGTTAGGATGATGTTGCGATGTTGCGGTGTTTTGATGCGTGAGGTGTTGAAGGTATATAGAGAACATGATGATTTGAACAATTCTTGGAACTTACCATGACCCATTTTCCCTCAAGGTTCTTAATATCAGCGCTTGCTGGAGCTGCCATATTGCCTAGTATGTTTGTTGGTAGAACTGTAGTTTGGTACCACCCGACTTTGTCGTGAGAAGAGCTTCGAAAGCTATCGCGGGGCTTTGATGATTGGTAGCGGTGGGTACCGTCCTAGCTGGGGAAGGCCATGTGCACTGCATCTTATATGCCGGTCGCCCAAGCACCAAGCCTATTCAGAGGCGCCGTGTGGATTAGCACCTGCCTTAGTCGACAATCGTACACTGTCACGTTCGTACCTGAGCGAACATCATGCGTGGCGTTGTGGGAAGGGATGCCGAGGTTCGTCTGCTTTGGGGTAGCACCTCCGCGGGGAACCCTGGTCTTCCATTTCATTTGCGCTCGCATCAACTCTCTGCTTCCTCGACAGCCATCTACGGCACACCTCCAGCTTGGGACGGGTCGCATGTGAACACTGCTCGGGAGAAGGCTTCCTGGACGCGTAACTTCCCGTTCACGGACGGACGGGAGCAATGGGACGAATGTGACCCTCAGAAAGAATATCAGGGGTGACGAGGTTATTTTCAACTTTCGACATGTCACATCTCAATACTTCGCGCGTTCTCTTACTCATCTTCCGTCACCCACGATCTTCTTCTGCCTCTCGTATGAGGCAGGCTTGATGCAGCCGAAGCAAGGAGCACATGGGGGATACGATTGGCAAATTGGAAGACCACCTCGGAGTGACACATGATACTGCCGGCGATTAGCTTCCGGATCCGACGAGTCGTTCGTAGACCGTCCAACGCGGATCTGTGCAACACTTCGACTTCACCCACTGGGGAAACTCCAGCCAACCCGCGAGCACTATTCTAAGAACAGTTCCCTCGTCATACCTTACCTTCATCAATAGTTATCAGGCGCCGCACGTTTCGGTTTGTGAAATGTTCCGAAACAACGAGCATGTTTCAATGGCCGCAGACATGGTGAGGCTTAGCGCGCAAGCAACGTCAGAACTTGCAACAACCAACGGCACAGGGGGGCGAACATCATTAGAGAGTTCGCATCTGAGGTAAGGCTGCGACACGGAACGTATGTTGCTGGGGTTGGTCGATGCCTCAGAATGTCATGTCCAAACTACCCAGCCGCTCGGTAATTTTCCACTCAGCTTCAAATCTGGTTCGCCGGTTGCTTTTGTTTACCAGGCATCTCAACACGCGCTTTGATTATCTCTCTTTCGTGCGCACTGGAATTCGCAACTCGTATTTTCTTCGTTTTCTCATACCCAGTGTCTTCGTCACGAGATCACTCGTTTTCTTGTAGCACAGTCGCACCAAGTCTTATCAAACTTCTCGTCACTTGTCACTCATTGGACGTACACACGGCTTCGCGCTTCGCGCATCACCATTACCACCCTGACCCATTTCAGACGGTTACAGGCGCATTGAAAGACAAACCTGCACGTTCCAATCGGTCTTGCGCTTTCGAATTCTCACCGGCAACGCGCCATACTGTCGTTCTTACTGCTACTACGGCTCAGGAAGCCCGGGTACATAACGACTTGACCGAACGGTTCCCAACGATACTTTCTTTTTACCCAACGTCCCAAACGGTCAAACTGAACAGAGGGACCGAGCACTCTTTCCCCGCTCGATTCGACGTCATATCGCGCAAAAAGCTCGCGGTCGTGCATCGCAGTGACTCCACTGCACGCGTTTGTTTGTCAACAACAACTCATTATATTCACGACACTCGCTCTTACTCGAAATCTCACACTCGTTCATTATCCTTCTAAAGAACGATCAATCCCTCCACATTCTTTTATCCGCCACGCGACCATCACGCCAACCCATCTGAACACCATATCAATCACCCCAAATCGCGCAACTCCACACAACAATGAAGTCCCTCTCCATCCTCACGGCGTTTGCCTCCACCGGCGCCTTCGCATCTGCAATAAATTACGCCAACCTCCAAGACCGCGCCATCGATCCCGCAACCATGAATCCAACACTCCTCTCCGTCCTATCAGTACTGAAAACGGCTATGCCCACGGGCCCCAACGCCCCCATGCCAACAGGCGATCTGGAGCCGAATTGGTACCGGCAATTACCTGGGGATGTTAAGAGTCTATTGCCGGAGTTGTATCCCGCTGCTGCTGCGGTTGCGACGTCGGAGGTGGGCGCGGGTGTTGTGAGTCAGGCGCAGAGTACGGATGCGGTGGTGGTGAGTGCTTCCTCTTCTGCCTCATCATCTTTGTTATCGCTGTCCGAGTCTTCTGTAATCGCGCCTGCAACTGCATCTGCATCTACGTCTGCGATCGCATTTGCATCTGCGTCTTCCTCTTCCAACACCAGCGATACTTCCCTCACAACGTCTTCATCAACACCGCAGACCACACTTACTAAGTCATCACAGTCGGCGTCCACAATCACCAATGTGGTGTCGCCTTCGTCATCTATACTATCTCCAGATAGCGCTTCGCCCACAACTTCTTCGGCGACCCTAGCCAGCGCTTCAGCTACGCCATCGAATTCCCCATCTACTGGCAACCGATTCGCGGTCAAGACAGGGACACTAGCTGCGATCGCCATGTTTAGCGTTGGAGCCGGATTCTGCATCTTTGCATAGCCTTATAACGATCTAGGCTACGGCATTTGATGAGACTGCGCTGCGATCTGTCCGCACTCTTTCTTCATCTTTTCACGGGTATCTTTTGGAGTTGTATGTCTAGGAAAAAAGAGGGGTATTTGTGATTATTGGACGGACTGGATACCGACCACATGATGAGATGACATCCTCTGCATTGAGCGCTATACGACGAGCGCTGAGCGGGCGCACAACTTGCGCTTCTACTTGTTCATTTTTTTTGTACATCGTTCCTGAGATATCCCCGTACGATACGATACGAATGTAATGTAGCTTACTGTTTGATCGTGCAAATAAAGACGTTACCATGAGTGCTACAATCCCATCAAACCCGTTGATTATGTCGAATATGTCTCTTCATGTCCCGCACCCAGTATGCTTTACAGAGACATAATCCCCATGAGAGCGCCGTTACTCCCTCAGAGACAAAGCACCCCCGCAACCCTAACCCCCAAATCCAGCACAGCAAGATGTTCATCCCCACCATCAACAAGCCTCTTATCCGTCTCACTAAACACGCCTGCAAGCCTAACCTTCTTCACATCCTCAACCCTCTCGTCAAACATGATCTGTTCGTACAACTGGCCCACAGTCTGCGACGCGCTCCACCCTTCTGCAATCATATTCTCCACCACCTTGGCAATCTCGTTGTAGCGTATCGACTTGGTAGCCGAAGACTTGGGGAAGAGCGAGTCGCTGAACGAAGATAGCGTAGCTGGAGGCAGCACACCCGCGATCTCAGCGATAATGGGGAGGGAAACAGCGGGTGTCTGAGTCGGCGCCGCCGCAGCAGAATCGATATCCATCTCGTCTTCCTCGGCAACAACCTTCTTCTTCTTTTTGCCCCCCGCACCCTGAGCCTGGACGACAGCCCCCACAAGCCTCGCCGCAGATTGCAAGAACGTAATCGCTTTCCGCAAATCGCCATCTGCGACTCTGACCAACTCCTCCGCAACCCCTTCTTCCAATGCCACATTTTCCAACCTTGCGATGTCGCCAACGCGCTTAACCGCATTCCCCTGATCCAAACTCTTGAACCTGAACTTCGAACACCTCGACGCCAGCGGATCGATAATCCTCGTGACGTAATTACAAACGAGACAAAACCTTGTCATGCGACTGTACGTTTCCATAGTCCTACGCAGCGCACTCTGCGCATCCTGCGTCATGCTATCCGCCTCATCCAGCACAATGATTTTGAACGGCGGACACGGGTATTTATCTCTGTACCGCACTGTCTTTGTTTCGCCGCTGCTCGCATCTTCCGTCATGACGTTGTAGGTAGGCGCGACGCTGAGTTGCTGGCGCGCGAAGTCTTTAACTTTTTGGCGCACGATGCTGATGCCGCGTTCGTCTGAGGCGTTTAGTTCTAGGACGCGCGATTTCATGAGTTCGGGACCGTAGAGTTCTTTGGCGAGGGCAAGGATCGTGGACGTTTTTCCTGTGCCTGGCGGGCCGTAGAAGAGCATGTGCGGGAGGTTGGACGATTGCATCGTGCGAGACAGGATTTGGATTGTGTTGTCTTGGGCTGTTACCTCGGAGAGGGTTTTGGGGCGGCTGTGATGCTGTTAGTATGGGTGCTGGAGGATGTGTTTAGGTGTTGCGTTCGTACTATTTCTCAACCCATGGCTGCATGCGATTGGGCTCTTGCTTCGTTGTAGGCGCTTTAGATGAGCTCGCTTTTGCAGCGGCTTGTTGCCTCGCTTTTACGTTGAAGAAATCGGCCATTGTGGTGGTTGTGTAGAGATTGAGGTGTTGAGGTTGGGATGTTGAGCTCGACTGCTAAAGTGCGACGCGTCGACGCGAGACCGCGAACTCACGTTTCTGCACAGACCACGTCGTCTTTCTCCAACCATGTCATCACTGCTGCATGCGAAATAGCCCATTATGCCCTCAATTATGCTCAAGAGATTGGAATCTCATATAGATGTACCCATAATTCACGTCGATGTCGAACAAATCAAACCATTAGCGCAAACAACGGGGGACAGCGACCCCTGCGGACAGGTCTCACGGCAGTAGAAGATGTCAAAAACACAGTTCAACGGATAAATTGCACATCTTGGTTTCTTCTCGACCGATCACCAGATGTCAGAAATCTGCGACGACGCCAGACAATGCATGCACTTCCGCTCATACCGAGCTCCTCAACTCCATCCAGTATGCCCACCACATCTACGCACCATGCGCGTTTCCATTGTCGCTCGGATTACAGACCTATGGTGTCAGAGGTCGCGCCCCAGGAGTGTGACTAGCCTGAACTAATCTACTTCCCAAGCTTAACCCCCTTTACCCTCTTAGCCAACTGTACTGAATCGGAATCTGAGCCATAGGAGGACTGTCGCATCGTACCGCGGGTGTGGTCTAGGGCTGCAGCCCCCCTACTGGCCGACTGGGAGAGGGACGAAGATTGATAGGAACGTTTCGGGGGGCGCTCACCACTTTCTTTGAGGATGGTCAGAAGGGTTGCCCAACCTCCGGTATGTTGGAGCGCTGAGCCTTCTGAAGTGTCGTGCGTTGATGCTACCTTGAAGAGCAGTGACTCTTCATCCTAATTATACAGTTAGCAACGTATCCATGCAGTTTTGCATTAACGTACCTTTGATAGAATGCCGAGATTATGAATGAAGCACAGCATATGGAAATTCGAAATGGCGTTGAGGCCGCTGGTCGTGTTGAGTGCCAGCCCGTTCGCTCGAGCGTTGAGAGCTTTGCCAAGATGTGAGATCTCTGGCATCTCGCCCATAGCCTCACGGTTCTCAATCGGAAATTTGCCACCGGTGAAGAGAGGATTTGGCTGAGTAGGGAAACCGTGTGTTAGTGTAAGCAGCAGATATTCCACAGGGAAGTCGGGCTTAGCAATTTCTTGTACGTTCGCGCCGTGCTCGTTGATCCTTCGGTAGAAAACTTCGGGGATGTACCGCGCGCGGTTCAAAGCTTCGTTATCTTCTTCCGATTGAACAAGCATGACTGATGGCTCGGCTGAAGGCTCGATGATGTCGGCGCGAACCATCTCGACGGCGTCGTTCGAAACCTGGTATGAGGAGATGCCAATCTGACCTTGGTCATCACCGCTGATTACACATGTAACAAAGTTGGATCCGTGTCGTCCAGTGTCACTCCACTTGGAAGGCCGGGGGTACCTTGCTTGGTATCGTGCTGCGAATGTGATTTCGAGGGAAGAAAGGTAGTATGAGTCCATGTGCCGCTTGCAGATAACGGAGCCGTCGCCCTTGTCCGCGTCGAGCAGATCGGTAAATATCACTCCGACCCGTTGCAGCCCACACTGTGCGGCGATCTCGTCAATCTCCTTCTCGTTGTCCCACTCGCCTAACGAGATACCGTCCGCCTCATTGACTTGCGGTGGCTCGTAGATGGTCTCGACAACAGCCTTTGTTCCCAGCGGCACCTCAGTATACTCCTCGTACCTGCCGTACAAGAAGCCCAGTCGCTGACAGCCAGTCTGTCTCCAGAAGTTGATCACATCGTCCACCACCTGTATCGAGGCGAACTCGACGTGATCTACCATGCGGTACTCTTGTGGCTTCAGCGAGATGGCGCTAGGCATGCACTTGGTGCAGATACCCTCTGGAAATGGCTTGTGTCCCGATGGACAGTCGGGGCGTACGCGGTAGTAGGGTTCGGTCAGCGGTGGCATGTACGAGCTACCGAGCTCTGGCCTGTTCTTCGCCGAGTTGACTTTGCGGAGGTATGAATGGAACGAGAGGTGCTTGATCTTCTTCTCGGCGAGGTATGCGGGCGAGTAGGGTTCGAGGGGCATACAGTAGTCGCACATGCCCTTGGGTCCGTGGGAACACATGCGAGCGTCGCGTTTCCTAGGGATTTTGCCATCTTGTCTGTCTAGCCTGTCGTCGAGCGGGGACTGCCTGACAACCTCCCATGGGTTCTTTATGGTTTGCATGGCATCGCCGATGGGAACGGAGCCCATGTTGGTCTCTTCGACGGCCTTGCCATTTAGTCGTGCGCCGCCGGTCGAAGGTGCAGCATGGCCGTTCGGTGCCGCAGACTGCTCCTCGAAGGACAGGAAGAGTTGCGCGCCGTTTCTATGGCATCATTAGCTGTGAAGACGAGCTTGGGTAAGCTACGTACGATAGTCCCACTTTCTTGAAGCTTACGCCCTCAAGGCCAGCAAGCTTCCTCGCGTCGCCTCCCTGCGGCTTGTTGCTAACACTGATGCTCTGGATGTCGACAGTCTTGGGCAGCTTCTCGGCAACCTGGGGCAGGATCGACGAGAAGGTGTCCTCGGGCTGTACCGTCAACCTGAACTGGCCGTCTTTGCTGACGAACTGATGCAAAGTTAGTAATATATCGCAGGTATTCCGCATAACGACATACCCTCAATATCATGATCGGAACGCTATGAATTCCGGGGTGGAGTTGATAAAGTCGATGTAGGTGGTAGGGTAGAGGTAAGAGTTTTGGGAGGAAAGCGCGATCAGAAGAAATAAGTAGACAAAGGCGAGGTGCAGTCGTGAACCTTGGTTGGTGTTGGCGATTGATTCGAGAAGGCGCCTGTAGCGGAGCGGACATGGATGACGCAGACGCGCTAGAATGGCGCTAGTCGAGCGCGGAACTGGACAGATATTCGAATGTATCGATAAGTGAGACAACAGCGACTCACCCTCCCACTTGGTCTTCACCTACCCCGTATCTCACTACCGAGAACACCGTCGCTCCTTCATATCTCTAACGCCAGCACCTGCATCGAAAAGCGAGCTCGCCAAACCTCTTCACACTCCGCGCAAACAACCCACACACAACATTCACCATGTGGCCCTTCGACATAGTCGACTGGGTAATGCTTACCGTGCCCATCGCTTACATCGGTATTCTCGCCGGATCATTTACTGTCTTCACAAACCTCTACCGCAAGCGTCAAGCCGCCAACGCCGCATCCCTCGAACCCTGGTTCCCCACACATCTCCAGCGCAATGTCTACCTCTCCCTGCTACACATGGACGAACCCAAGGTACCGGACAGCGTACTCAAGGCTGCGCTATTGCGCCGCGCAACCGAGGACATACATAGGATTGTGCAGATAAGAAACGCGAAGCAGGCGCTGCAGGCATTGTTGCAGAGGGGTAGTGTGGGCGATGATCTGTGGCAGCGATTCCAGCGGGCGGAGAAGGAGATCGAGGAGGAACTCAGAGATGTCGTCAACGAGGTGAGTCCTAAGAGTCGAGATTGAAGTCGGATGGCTTCGCAATTCTTTGAGCATGACTGACATCAAGACAGGCCAATGCCTTCGCACCGAATTGGGGCCAGACCATCTTCCAGTCCGCTTCAGAAATGGCACAGAACAACCACATCCGCGAGCGTCTCGGTGAGATTACGGCAAAGGCACCAGCAGAGAAGGAGTGGTGGGAGAACCGCAGGGCTGGCATCCAGTCCGAGTTCATGAAGGAGTTGGACGAGGAGAAGGCTAAGAGCGACGACGGTGTAATGGTGGAGAAGGCCAAGGCATGAGCAGTGTAAAGTCATGATGATGCGCGCGTTTATTTCTAGGGGTCGAACATGTGGTTGCTGAAGATGTCTAGGGCCATGGCCTTTGCAGCATTTGTGTAGCTATCCATTACGCCTGTTAGATGTCTCAGACGCTCTGTTTTGATGTATTCAGGAACATGGCGTCTGCGACATTTGACAGGCATCCTGGACAGCTACACATCAGTAGCTACGTGAGCGAATCAACACGTTGTCATCACCGTTTACGGTCGAATTACTGGACTTGAGCAGATGGTGAACACTGTCAGACTTGTATCAACTTGTTCAAATGCTAAATTGCAGTGCTATAAACGCCATTATCCCATAGAGTACAAGCCCCATACTGCTAACTAACAAAGACTGTCTGTCGTACACCAGATATACAATGCTCGATCTTCCTTCTCCCTCCTATCTTCACCACTTCCTACATTCATCAACCTCCTACTTCCTTGTGGGACCGCTGACACCGGCACCGATAACACTGGGCAGCTCCTCGGCGCCCATGGAGTAGAGCATGCCGATACCAGCAGAGATCAAGAAAGCCAGAGTGACACCGGCACCAACAAAGAGCCAGAACTCAACCGAGATGTCCTTCTTCTGGCAAGCGGGGCCGCCCCAGTAGGTGACTTTTCTCTGGCCCTCCATGCCCTTTCCGTCCTTGTGCTCGACCGTAGCGGCGCAGGCGCATCCGTAGCAGTCAACTGTCTCCTGATCGGAACCGGATCCACGTCCCTTGTGGAGGAGCTTGCACTCGCCGTGGCTGGAGCAGTTGTGGGTCTGAGTCTCGCAAGCCGACATGGACTTGAAGCAGCTAGGAAGGATACCGCGAACAGGTCCCTTGTTCTTGTCGGCCGCGATGATGACAGGGAAGTCTTCAAGGTCAGGCACCTTGGAGACAGCAGGTACGGGCTGCGAGGAGAGGATTGCCTCGGGATTCTGGCGGCGGGCCTCCTTGGAGGGGACATCGTAGGCGCCCCACGGTTGGGCAGCGCGCTTGGACTTGGACTTGGCTGAACGCGGCATCATTACGACAGTCGTGGAGAAACCCGTCTCCTCGGCCTTCTTGTTGACGTTGCTCAGCACTTGGGCAATCTGCTCAGTCGATAGGCCGTCTTTGGTGCCAGTGGTCCAGATGTTGAGGTAGCCATTGTAAGCGTCAGACTTCTCGTTTGGCGGGAGCGCCGACTCAATGTCGAAGTTGGACGTGTATGTCCGTTGCTGGGGGTCTGCGAGTTCCGGCAGCGACTTGGCTTGTACTATGAAGTCCATGACCAGGCGTTGGTTATCCTCGATAGATGGCGCACTGGATATCGCAAAGTCGTGTGAGCGGTCTGATCCATCGTTGATGATGACTGATAGCTCGGGTTAGTCGGTATCCTTCGCGATGCTGTCGTCACGTATGCCCACCTGTTGCCTCATCTTGCTCGGCGCCCTCCACCCACATCAGCAGGTGCGCCTTGGATTGCTCTGCATCATCTGCGCCAAACAGCTTCTGGTGCCTTCCTCCATACGTGTTGATGTGTCTGATTGTCTCGGCGTCGGGGTGGTCGACAGAGTGGAATCGCGATAGGCCCAGGCGCTGGGCAATGATGAGACGCGCTGTCTCGGGACTGACAGTGGGGCGAGCTGCAAGGACGGTGCAGTACAGCGATGAGGCGACAAAGGCCCCGGATAGCTTCATGGTGGCGGTGAGGATGGAGTTGAGGTCGTTCCGCGATGATGCAGGTGCATCATCGCCATCCTGAGCTGCGCTGCGACCTAGACGGAACTAGCGCCGAACCTGCCTCACCTCCGCCCGCAACTATCAGTGATACAAGCCGTGGGGCTCTATCAACTGCATGCACCTATTAACGCTGCACAGCTTCACGCGCATTCTTTGTTCTAGAAAGACCTAAATGTCTCTCTACTTGATCTTGCGTTCCTCATTCTCATAACACTCGCTTCCCGCCTGCGCCAGACCAATGTCTACGCCACTGGTGCTTCGGCGCAACTTCTCCCTCTTGAACCGGATACCACATGCGCGTATAGTCCGATCGGCAGCACGAGATGGCCACGAGCAAGTCATAATACAACGAGTGCGTATAGGGCGACCATTCCTCAGCAGGTCGTGAGTCGCTTCACACATCCCCGTACTTTCCATGTGCTAACTGTTCACAGACGATTAGTCGGTGCCGTCGCTGTCGGAGCGGCCTTTTACGGTGTCTCAAGATACGTTAGCATAAGTGTTGAAGTGGAAGAGGTCAACGAGGGCGGGTGGACAACGGTTGGTCGAGAAGCAGACGATGAAGACGAAGACGACGACGAAGAATACGACGACGAAGAATACGACGACGCTATACTATTCATACCCACCGGCTTTTCGAGGCTACAGCCAAAGAGGTACTGGAAAGGCTCAGATCCAGAATGGCAACAGTTCAAACAGCTGGCGACGGATCGCCCAAGGGTTGACAAAATACGAGGTGCGATATCCCCTGCCGGGCATATTGTATGTGTACTGACGAGATGACAGGGGAATTAGTATACAGAGTACGCAACGCCTTCGCCAAGCACCCAATTCTCGTCGCAAAAGCCGGCAAAATCGACACGAGCAAAGGCAAAGTGTGGATTGAGATCAAGTTTCCAGACACCACGCCAGACGAATACGAACAGCCCGGGATAGAGCTGTTGGAGGATGGAACGTTGCGGAAGGCAATCCGACCAGTCGACAGCACTATTCACCACCGCTTGAATCGGCTACTCTACCCCAAGGAGGCAGCGAAGGCCCTATACAACAACACAACAAGCAAACTAGGTAGTTCATGGAAAGGTTTCAAAGTCTACATGGGTTGGAGTCCAGAATCGAAGACCGAAACTGTTCAAGAACTCGTTCAGCGGATAAGCGCCAACCCGCGGTCATCGGTTAACCCCACAACGAGCGTCACTCCAAGCCCTTTCTCCACATCTGCGACACCTACCCAGCAGCCAGGTGCGTCGCCCTCCGTCGCACCCGTCGACGGCGCGACCAAAGACCTCGACAGCGTCCAAATTGATCCCAAGAAGTTCACGCTGGACCTATCGCAATTCCAGGCCGACTTTCGCAGAACATTCAAGCCGTACCCGCACCCTGTTCCGCGCGGCGCCTTCATGGTGATGGGCCTCGTCGAGGTCTACGGCGAGCGAGCGAAAATCACAGTCAATGTACATGCGGTGTACGATCCCAAGCAAGGGCGCTATGTGGGCGTGAGTGCAGTGCCGTACAATTTCGTGGAATTTCGTCAGTCTCCTAAAGGTGGGCCGTAGATTTGGCTGGTGGGGGTTGAAATCGTTATACCCGGTGTCAGGGGCGTTTTGAGCGTTAGATATCACGTCATGTCATTCATTGTGTGGGTAGCGTCTGCTTTCGTTATGCGATCACGTTGAGCGGCATTTGTAGGTGTTTAGACTGCATTGAGAGAAGAACACAAATTCGGAAAATTGCCCATGATGTCTTCGCTTGTCTCAAACATAACGTGGCACTTGCGTCTGTTCATTCACGTGCTCATCTCATCTCTGATTTCCGTCTACATAAATTCAGTTCGTCGCTCCTGTCTCTTTCCAATGCACATACTTTCAATTTTGTTCTACTAAAATCTTTTGTCCAATATGTGGATGAGCAGGTACTTTCTTTCAGAAGCTACGGTCATGCTGTCGATGTCCTTCTGCTCGCCAAACGCCTACTGAAAGTACATGATGTACGTTCAATGGCTTCTTTCCGCCAGAGCTTCTTCCTCGCCTTCATCGAAAACCACCGGTCATAGTTCTGATGGCCTTGTTCCAAAGATCGACAATTCACGAGATCCAGAAAGTTCAAAAAATCAACGCCTGATAATCCCATGACACTCTCATTAAAACGAGAGTATAAACCCTCGTATTGCTGTCCTTCTCCTCTTCGACACCAATACCTTCTACAAGTACCAAAAACGGAACCCAGCCGATTCCATGAGAAGACTGGAGGAGGAGTTTGGTAAATCTAAAGAATAAACCGGGAGGTGACATATCCTGCGTGGCCGCTTCCAAAAATTGCAGAATATGGAAAGGATGTCTCGCCCTCCAGATGTCGCCTACCAACATCACGAAAAGAATCTTGACAATCTCCACATGCGCTGAAAGAAGCCTCGGCACTTCTATGATCTACCAAAACCCGCTACACTTAGCACGATGTGTTCTTCGTCGCGATAGAGCTCGCAGTTTGGAACAAAGAACATTTTCGTCTATAGAGTGAGTGAGCACTTGCTCTGCGCTTTACCAAAAGACTTTTATCCGGACAGCATGATTGGGACGACTGAGACGTGACTCATACACTGAATGACGACAGGTGCAAGGTCATGAACGACTCTCGTCGGTACAAAAGCTATCTAGTCATGCCCTCCTTCTTCTCTTTCTTACTCCATCATACCGATCCTTCATCTTACCCAAAATGATGATTAAGATCGTGCATGGTGTCGATTCCGGCTCCTTCTCTCAAAAACGCGGCCTTCACGAGCGATGGAGTTCTGTCGCTCCTCTGCTCGTTCAACAGAATGAAAAACTACAACGCCCAATGACTTGTTGGCGGCTGCCCGTCTTTCCAAATCGACAGTTGAATCAAATTTCATCGGTCCACCAATATGACCGCGGCGAATTTGCTCTAAAAATTCCACAAGACCATACCATGGTTCTTCTTCATCGGGTTGCGCGCTACGAGGACGTGTATATAAAGCCTGCCCTGTCGGCCTTTTACTTCTCTTCCAATCCACTAATACTCCATTGCGGGAACAAAAGGCCATCCTCCTATTACCATGTGCTGCGCGTGTGGATTTTGTCTATCAAAATGACAAGGGGGAGTTGTCATGTCTTTTTTCTCCCTTCCTGGTCCTCGAAAGCAAGGCCCAATCAAGACGTGAGTGCAATCAAAGTCTTGTAACAGAACCTCACACAATCCAAGAGTTACTCACTTCGAAAATCATTAGGTGCCTTCCCATGTTCTGTGCTCTCGGCAGATATCTACAAGATAAAAGAGACCTTGGATGCTGCTCTTCTCTTCTCCTACTATATTGGCTTGTTGCACGATTCTTGTTTCTAAAAGCACTCTTCGATTACTACTATGGGAAGAACCTGAGCCGACTTCTCTACTCAAAACTTTACTATTACCGACAAATGTTGGCAGAGATCGCGCTTGCTGTATTCTACTACTCAAAAGTGCGCGCAGCTACTTTGACGACCACTGTTCGGTGTTCTGCTCCAAAACCATCTCAACTAACGCATGGCGCTGCAGAAGCATTGTTCTGGGCGATTACAGCTTTTAAGCAACTGAAACAACAGTATGGACGCTGCATAAGCCGGGAAAGAGCCAGAACAAAATGTAAATACCCTCCTTGCTTGCTGTTATTCTTCCTTCTTGCAACATCCACTCACAGCAAAAGTGACGTTTTCCAAAATGCAAGTGTACACCTGCGATGTGTTGCTTTCACTGAAGTCCACATACGTTCACGTCATGTGCTGAGGTCCCTTCGCCTTTTCTGAAATCGATACTGTCGATTCGATGTGTTGCCTCCAACAATATTATTTCTCGTCTTGGTTCTCAAATATCGAGCACAAGCCAAACCTCGTTGTCCGTGTTCAATACCATATCATCTCGGAGCCGTTCCAAAAGTGGACGGCAATATCATATGCGGATCATAATGAGCGGAAGATTCATTGTATACGGCAGCTAGGGGGCTTAAGTACAAAAGCTACCCGCTCGCTGCCTTCCGTTACCTCTTTACTTCAACGGTGCTTGCAATTATCAAAAGCGACAGACAAATGATCCATGTGCAGAGATATGCGAGCTGTCCAACAACTAAAAAAAAAGTTATACATAAAGCTATGAGAACTGTTTGGCAAATTTACCGATAAGATGTCAAGATGAGACTCGTGTCTCCAGTTCACTCAAGTGAAAGTACTGCACATTTATTACTTCAGCAGCGGAGTTGCTTGCGCAAAATAAAATAAAATGTATATGAAGGTAGCATGAGAGCGCGCCTCGGCGATGGGGCCACTGTATCGGAGAAGTATGAAGCCTTTCCTCTGCTGTTCGCCTACCGCTTCGTCAAGAGCGCAGCATGTGACAAAACTCTTTCCAAAGGCCATCTGCTTCAATGGGATGTGAGAAACGAGTCTACCTCCGCTAGCAGGCTGGCAGAAATTGCGTGTCATTGTTCACCTGCGCATCCCATTATATTTCCAAAAGTATCGCGGTAGTCAGAAAGACCTGGGGGTTCGGAAGAGTTGATGCAATGTATGCACACCAGTGGCATGCAGCCCCCAAGGCGTCTTCCTGAATATGCCGTGCGCGAGGTAGCAAGCGCGAGCCTTGTATCTTCTGGTGGTCAAAAAGATATTCTCTTACCAATGCTTGTCAAGATTCTATCCCATGTTCATCGGCGACAACGTTAAAGCCGACGTGTATAAATAGCGTCTTCCATCCATCGAGTAATGTCCATCCATGCCTATAGCCACGTATTGAGACGTTCAGGAAAGAACACAGACTGTATAGGGAGAGCCGATGCAGCCTCCGATAGAAGACCACCGGAAGTATTTCGTATCGACCGTTGTCGAGACAGGAGCAAAGTCCACATCATGGCCTCCTCCGCACGACGCACAGTCTCCCCCAATGATTCATGCCAGCCTCGCCGTCTTCAATAATAGTAAGATCGCGATGGAGTTGCTCCTTGGCAGCAACACGAGTTCGTACAGCTATCGGTAGCATCTGTGCTTCCTCTGTGCTTTCTCCGCGTCGTGTGCTTTTTCTCGTCAAACGAGGCGCACCAAGGTCAAAGCCACAGACTCCACAGGGGTAGTGGCTGATAAGAAGCAGTGTTCAAGCGACTGATAATGCTTTTCCCAACCGATGCGCATACACTAATTGTCCAGCAACATGACGTAAGTACGGTAGGCTTGGACGGGTGCTCAGACGCAAAGCGTCGAGGTACGAGGATGTCGGGCCGTGAAAGTGCCGCGCGGTCAACGGCGCCGTCGCAAAATACGAACTGCTCGGTTCTCCTGCTGGAACTGTGTGCTGCGAGGCAATGCGGCCAACATGCAACGTTTTCATTCCATCTTTCCGTTTGCGGGCGGGGAACTGCTGTTGCGCCTGCTACTGCAATGCAGTCGTTCACGCTAGAACTCAACGAACGGCAGCTCCTTCACCCGGTGCTTGCACTGCGCGTGCGTTAGCGCAGCGTAGTCGCTTGGTTACAACCGACATTTACGTATGGTAGTAAAATGTCTGCTCCGTCTATGCTGATACGTGGAGACTGTCGGATGTGAATCCATCTTTTCTCAAGATTCCCGAGGCCGTTCATGTAATGCAAGTGCCGGTTCCGCTCAAACCATGGTACTCGAGCCCGGCACGAAGGATTCGTAGAAGGCCCAGGTCTTCCTTCAGACATGCTTAGGTCGCAGACGTCTCTTTCTATCACAGCAGCCGACCGTACTCGGCATCTTGCTGAGAAAAACATGATTTTCAACACGCTCGTGGAACGTCTTACGTGCTGTGAGCCCTTGGAAGCGGGGACGAAGCAGAGTTTTGCGTACAACCTATGATCGGTGACGGAGTGGAGAACTGTCAAAGTCTGTTCTGTAGAGGCTGACAGAAGTTTGTGGACTGCAGCCCAAATCCCAGATTCCAGAGTCGCCGTCCGACATCGCGCTGACATGTGAGAGCGAATGAGGCGAATTGGTTGAAAAAGGGTCTCGACCTTTACAAGTCGTCAAGTGTCATCCACCTCGGCGTTCAGAGGTTACAGTAGAAAGCCGTGGAGTGCCTGCCGTGTTGGGAGCGCCACATGAAAATGTCAAAAGCACGCGAGGCGTCGACGCCGTCGTCTGCGGCAGCGTGTGAGGATGCCGCCGAATGGACGGCATGCGTTCCTGGTGGTTGACGGAAGATTGCGGCTCGGTACGGGCCCATGGCATTTCTAGGCTTGTCTCAAGGCCATGATTGGTGGGCGCATCCAAATTATGAGAAAGTCAGAAAAGCAATGTCTTGTTTACTTTCTGTCAGAGAAGGTCCTTGCTGCAAAACAATGCTCAAAGCGCGCGCATTGTTGTCGCGACCTGCGATGAATCATGACGCACCTCGTATCGTCTCGATTGGCATGACAGCATTACACGTTGTCGTTGGTGATTTGTGCATGGGTAGACTCGAAAATGGTGAGGATCTGCGCGGGACGTTTTTGTTGTCGGGCAACGCCTGCCTCAATCTGCTTAGTGCCCTCCACCTCAAGTCAGTCCGGAGTCCAGAACAATTCATTGTCCGGTCACCAAAAACTTGTTCCTGTTTGTTCCTGCGCTGTTCCTGAGGAGACAGCTAGCCTAGACATGGATCCTGCGTTAGGTCCCCCAACGTCGCTCTCCAAGCCCACTACTACGCAAGATCTTCTTGTGCATATGCCGCGAAAACCAACGTGGCTCCAGCGACTCGGCGAGCGACGATCACTCGTCAGCATCGTGATTTGACGGCTACCCGACGTGTAATTTCCACATCAAGCTTGGCCCCTACAGCCCTACCAAGATTGACGAATAACCAAACCCCACAACCGGCGCCGTCAGACCGGGCTTGCGGGAGATAGTCTTATCGCACGTGGATTTTCGGAGTTGGCAGTAGGCTTGGGTGAAACGCTGCAGGAAAGGCCGAGAAGGCGACGCCATGCGCTGGCTCGCACAGGCGGTGGGCCACAGTGCTAGTTCCGTTCACTGTGGGCGCTTCTTAATTTCCGTAAATATAAGTAAGTCGAGGAAGGCACCATGAAGCGGTATCTCACTCCTTTGAAGATCCAACTCAACCACGCTCTCTAGCAACCCCACAGTCATTCCTTGATCAACTGATCAGTCATTCATTCATTCATTATGCTTACCTCTACCTTCGTTTTGGCCCTTGCTGGCCTCTCCTCTATGATCGAGGCATCTCCTCTTCAGGCACGCGGTGGAAGCAAGCGTGGTCTTGCGTTCCCCAAGAACCACAATGGTGTTTCTGGATCTCAGTGGACTCATAAGTTCGCCGGCTCCAAGGTCTCTTGGATGTACGACTGGGAGGCAGTCATCGATGGAACCCCCCTCGACCTCGAATATGTTCCTCTTCTCCACTCCAACCAGCAGTGGTGCACTGAGGGCTGGAACACCAACATCGCCAACGCCAAGAAGAACTATAAGGTTTCACACGTGTTGAGTTTCAACGAGCCCGACCAGGTTGGTGGTGGAGGTTCCAACATCGACGTCGCTACTGCCGCCGCGACCCACAAGACGTTCATCCAGCCCCTCGCCTCTCAGGGCCTCCGTATCGGCTCTCCTTCCGTCACCAACGCCGACGAGCCCAACAAGGGAATCAACTACCTCAAGAAGTTCATGTCTGCCTGCAACGGCTGCCAGATCGACTTCGTCGTCGCCCACTACTATGCCGGAGACAACGCTCAGGACTTCAAGAACTACCTCACCAAGTTCCACCAGACCTTTAACAAGCCCGTCTGGGTCACTGAATTCGGTGTAACTTCTGGCAACGCCGACGAGTTCCTTAAGCAGGTTCTTCCCTGGATGGATGCTCAGCCCTGGATCGAGCGTTACGCCTACCACATGGTCGCACCTAGCACCGACCAAAAGTACCTCATTTCTGCTGATGGTCAAAGCCTGTCTAGCATTGGCAAGATTTTCGCCAATGCTTAGACGTTTGCTGTCTTGATAGACGCATCACGAGTTACGACCTTTTACCTTTTACCTTCTTGATACCACGTTACCTTCTTGTCTATAGACTTTGTCGAGACTTCGGTCCATTTCTAAGATTATCATTCATTTTACTATTAAAATTGCCCACGATTGTGATACCATATGAGTTGTCCGTTGACTGAGGGTCTATACATTAAGTGATTAATTTCTGTAATGATGTCTACTGCCATCAACAGCTCTACCATCCAGCTCTGCTACATTGTACCGAGCTTCAGGAAGTTCATGGGCGGCTACTGGCAGCTCACTATACGTGGGTAATTTCACATCTGCTAATTGCGACTCGGACTCTTGCACCACGTCAGCCTCTGCGCCGCCTGATCCTCGTCTACGATACAAAAAGAAGCCAATGGCGCCCAGCAAGGCAACGCCGCCCACCGCACCAGCAGCTATGCCGCCTATCGCGCCACCTGATAATTTCGAACTTTCTTTTTGTGGCGGGGGTGTGGCGGAAGACGTGGGCAAGGGTGTAGCTCTAGGCAAGCCCCCTGTAGAGTTCGCGCAGAACTCGCTGACCATGTTATTTTGCTTATCCACTGCAACGATGTCGGAAGTCTTTGATCCGGTGTTTGCTTGCCAGATGGAGAACATCTCAGCATCTTGATTGACCATTAGGTAGGCAGAGCTCATGAACAGGCGGCCAAGGACTGGTAGATCGTTGTCATTCTCGGATTGAAGGGAGTTGATTACAACGTTGCGGACCGATGTATTCGTCTGAACCGCGCCATCGGAGGCAATGTATGTGTCGGGAACAACTAGTTCGGTGTTGGGGATCTTGACGGAGATGCTGTTTTGAAGCTTGATCGTTAGACCGCCGTAGTAACTACACCTTGAGCGTTAGCTATTTATCTTTTGGATAGAGTTGTTACTATACTTACACATTGTTTGGCTCAAAGAGCATCGTGAAGTAGTTGATACCGAGGCTTCTCGCCTCGCTCTTGTCATCCGGTGGCGTTCCGCCGGCGAGCGACCAAAAGTTGTTGTAATAGCTTAGTGGAAGAGACATCAGTCCTGCGAAACTGGGACTGATGCACGCTTGTATAGCCGCTGATTGTGAGCCCATGAAGACGCTCATGTCGGTACCATTGGGCCAGTTCAGAAGGATGTCGCCAATCGTCACCACCATGCCCGTTCCACATTTACCGCCATGGAAGAGCGACGCTGTGAAGTTGTCGTTCTGATCCACGATCAAGGATCTGTCCAAGCCACCGAGAACTAGCGAACCCGGAGTTTGCTTCTCTGCAGGGCCACCGACCAGTCCCCAGAACATCGAGTATGCTTTCGTGCCTATGTCGCCGGCGGACAAGAGTGCGTTCATGAAGGACGAGTTGCTGCCTAATCCAAGCTGAGACTGGCTAGTGAACGCTTGGTTGAGATCTTGTTCCGAAACGCCGAATCCGAATGAAGATAGCGTGGTGTTGTCGCCAAAGTTGAGAGTGTCTTCTATCCAGTCCGCTTTGAAGCCATCGCTGTCCTTTCGACTGCCGATCGACTTGTCCGTAGAAGACTCTGATGTGTCGTATGCGCCGCCACGGAACGTCACGCATGCTGCAGATGAGTAGGCTTTTGTACAAAATCCATCTGTTCCATAGATGTAGGTCTCGTTGTAATCTCTATAAATGTGCTGGTCAGTCATGCCGAATCCTCGAGCTGTTCAAGACTCCGATACATGTTGTTTCCCCAAACGAGGTAACAAAAAGGTCGATCGTAGCAAGACCTGTGAACAATACTGTGAGACTTACCCGCTGGCGAAGAATGAGATGTTCTGGTCGTTAGAACCGACTGTCATGGAGATCCCTCTCACGGAGGCTCCATTGGGCAAAGACACATTATGGATGGGTGCGACGATGGGATGTGGCTGACACTGACTTTTCGCAAAAATCGCAAAGTGTAGAATCCCCAGAAATAACGAGAACAGGCCTACCGAGAGACCCATTGCAACGTTTGATGTTGCAAATTTGGAAGTGACGACGTACGGGAGGACTGGAAAGCTGAAAATCGCTGGAGTAGGGGAACAGCAAGGCTGTAAGGTACTTTCAAGTGATAGCGCTTAAACGATTCGTGTAGCATATCTGACCGAATTTGGTGTTGTACTACGCTCAATTCATGCCTTGCTGCATCTCAATCACATGGGGTTAGCGCACATGTGCGTGAGCCTCACAAATTCACCAACCAGCGAGTGCCGCTTAGCGCCGATGGCATAACCGCGCGCAACTCCTTGTACGTGTCTTGATACTAAAGGAGCTGTGCCGCAATGTCGCATCCTCAGATTGCCAGCTGCGACGGAAGATTCCATTTTCTGTCGCATTTCACGATATCCCTGTGCGTGTGCTTTAGACTGCGCGGCGCAGTTGCTTTCACGATCCGGTAATCGGTAATTTCTCTACGCGTTCGATATCGCCTGTGCACGCGCTCGCAATACTATTCCCGAACAACTTCTTGGAACAAGCTGTCGCATACCCGATCTCACTACCTCTCGTGCCCTCAACCCACTTGCCATCAAACGATGATGCGTTCCCGCAGACAACTCGAATTTTTGGTGTTGGCAGTGTTCCTGCTCTGCTTCTGGTATCTCTTTGACGCCCACTTCAATGTCGCCGAAAGAGGATCCGCCGAGACCAGCGTTGATGAGAAGCCATGGCGATATGAGGCAACGGAATTAGAAGAGAAACAAGAGATATTAGAGCAGGAAAATGTGAATGGAGGCGCGAAAGAGGAAATTTCGTCGACTTCCACCACCCCTCAATCTTCAAGCACATCGACGCAAAGTACTGAAGTCGCGATACCTACCCCATCCCTACCTGATCGCGTCGTGGTAATGGCAAAGCTTCCCAGCGACGAAACAGATTGGGTGCACACCGATCTACCAGACTGGCAAGCAGCCATTTATGACATCGACACCGAAACTCCACACAACATATCGACCCTGGATCCGATGACTAACCGCACTCTACGCACCCTCCGCAACAAAGGAATGGAAGCGAATGCATACCTCGCATACATCGTGCAGAACTACCACAATTTACCTTCAACAATCGCGTTCATACATCCGCACAAGGACGGCTACCCGGTCGCATGGCACACCGACAACGAACAGCATTCCAATGTCGTCTCTCTGCAAATACTCAACGTCAAATTCATCCAGAGCAACGGCTACGCGAATTTGCGCTGCGTCAACGATCCAGGCTGCCCGCATGAGGTAATGCCGTTCCGAGATCCGCCTGAGGAGCATCGAACAATCGAAGCAGCGATGCCAGATGCGTGGCGGGATTTATTCAACAACACGGACGTACCGCATGTACTAGCGACGCCTTGCTGCGCGCAGTTTGCTGTGTCGAGCGAGCAGGTACGAAAGCGGTCGTTGGACGAGTACAAAACGTATTACACGTGGTTGATGGAAACGCCGCTGAAGGATGAGACGAGTGGAAGAGTGTTCGAGTATCTTTGGCACATCTTGTTTGGCCAAGATCCCGTTTAGTAAGTACTCGATGGATTAAGACTATAATACGCGGCTAATAACTTTGATCAGCTGTCCCACATATGAAAAGTGCTATTGCGATGTATACAACCGATGCTGAAGACTTCCTGTTCTATCAAAGATTCAGGGATGAATATAAGTTCACATTGAATGTCCAGCTCGTAAGTGAGTCCTCCTATGCTATGTGAAGCCGCATCGTCGAGTGTGCGCCGGCAGTGGGCATCAGTTGAGTCTGCATCGAAGCCGAACGGGACCCCGGATCGGGATTGAGGCGGGTGACGAAGTGCATCGCTGCCTGGATTATGCTGAAGTGCTTCTTTCTACGACAAGCACGGCAATGTGGCCTTCAGTACTGCTAGGTCGAGGCCTGCTCTCTCGATAGGACGGACGTTTCTGTCGAGGTACACACAGTCTCCACTTAGGTAGAAGGAGACCGGACATTATGAGTAAGAGACTTTGTGACTTCTCCTGTACTACTTAACTAACTTGCAAAAGATACCCTGATCCAGAAGGACAGACCACAAGCGTCATCAAAGTTGAAACACGTCGACATCCATAGCCTATGACTGAGGCAGGTCCACAGAGACGGCATCGTTACAGTTAAATGAGTCCGAGCGACTAAAATGCCCTCGGATAGCTTCACCAAGCCGCTCTCAGCAGAAAAGCATTCTTGAACTGTACGCCACCTAGGCCTGGTTAATATCTTACCGCAGATTAACCCACAACACTAAGGTAAAGAAGCGAACTGTAATAATAGTTAGACCTTATCTAGGTCGGAATACGATCAAAAAAAAAGGGGGGGGGGGGGGGGGGGGGGGGGTGTGGTCGCAGGCCAAGCGCTATTGGAAACCTTGTTACTAATAACGCCGTGCGATGACCTTTATATAAGCTCAGCTAGGAGGTTACAAACAATAAAACACATACACTCTCTTCTAGCTATTCCGTCTACAATACCCTCGCCCAACCGTGCGATACATATACAACGGTACGTTCTGGAATTCAAGCTAGCTCTGCCTCAATAAGACTTTCCACAGAGTGAGGTGGCCTCCAGATGTTAAGCACCTTTAATCCCGCACTCTCAACCAGCGCCTTCCACTCAGCCTCCGTCCTCTCCTTCGCACCAAGGCACGCCATCATGGTGATATCGGACGTTGTCACACGAGCGAGCGGCTTCACAGAGCTAACCAAGCTTTCGTGAATGAGAAGCTTCGAGTATCCGGGTTCCATAGCTTCGGCAAGGTGAGAAAGGATCTGCTTCGCCTGTGTGTCTTCCCAGTCGTGCAGCACGTTGTGCATGAAGTAGGCACGGGCACCTTTGACGGGCTGTGGTTCAAAAAAGTCATGAGGGTGGATGGAGATGGTGTCATCAATAGTCAACTCCTTGAGAATATCGGGCAGGTCTTGGAGCACCAGACTGCCCTGAGGGATATCAGGGTGGCGCAGATGGAATTTGGTCAGGTCGTGGCCCTTGCTACCACCGACATCGACGACAAGGGCCCGGTCAGGCTTGGACTCTTTCACAAGAGTCTCAGTTGGGTAAACATCAACCCAGGGCGTCAGGTTATGCTTGGAGTGACTCTCCATGGCATCATTGAATTCCCTTGCGGCGGCAGGGTTCGCGCTAAGGGACTGGAACAAATTTTCATTTGAGCCTCTCATGAACTGCCAGTTGCAGTCGTTGGGGTTAGTAGGGACCTTGTATCCCGTCTTCTTGAGGTAGTCTGGCAAAGTTCTGAACATGGGGGAATTGACGAAGCCATAAAGTTCACCATAAACGTTGGCGAGGGCCTGATCCTCAGCTAGAGCACGTACCCATGGTGTAGGCTTATAGGTGTCCTCGGCGGTCTCGATGGCGAGATTCTGCCCAGAAATTTGCCGAATCATGCGTCCTGCATCGCCGTCAGAATGCTCATCATGAAATAAAATGAGCAGATATGTAACGTACGAATAAGCACTACATCGGCCCCCGTTAACTCGGCCAGTTCAGCGCAAGTCTTCTCTCCGCCTCCGATCTCGATCCATTTGCTGAAGACACCCGCATCAATCAACGTCTTGACGCATGCATTGGTGGCCGGGTTGACCCAACAGTGCTGCCAAACAATGTCCCACGGCTTATGTACTTTGCTTAAGGCCAGGGTCAGCGCATCCATGGCACGGACGCGCTCTGCTTCGTTAACGAAGGAGTCCGCGTCGAGGCCCTCCAGGGCTCCGATAAGTTGGTCTGCTGATGCCATGTTGGAAATGAGAATTTACTTTTGGGGAAAGATGCAGGAACAACGGAAACGACACGTGGTCTACTACGTCTACCTTGGCAGTCGCTGCCGAGTCTGTCCGAAGATCACCCACCTTGGCAGTCGCTATCGAGACTTTGGGTACCGACCACGGGTTACAACATTTACGGTTGAAGAGCTGCTTAGGTGCTGGTGATACGCTTGACGCAAAAATACCCATCAACGTTAAATATAGCTTGTGTGCACGATAAAGTCGCTTTTTAGCTCTTAACATCGAGTATTCGTCTTTTACCAACTATTACTAAAAAGAGAAGTTGTTATTACTACAGAATGTAGAGCTATGCGTGGATAACAAAGGATATGTTAGTTGCGAAGATGGGTGCTGAACAAAGCAGAATCAGAAAGGCTTTCAAAAGCAACTTCCTACTGTCAAAAGTCAGCCTCAACAGGGTTCGGCACCAAACTTTCACTCCGAACCCATTGCCTGTAATTAGATATAGTTGCGCACATCTCGGTACCTAGATAGTTAGGCTGCTTGCCGCAAAAACTGATAAGAGCAAGCCCCCCAGGAACTAAATGAGAAATCAACAACACAAACTCCTCCGACTCAACTCATTCACCCGCATCTACAATGAGAGCCTCTCTGTTATTGCTCGTTTCCGTCCTCTACACAAATGTGCATGCCTATGATACCCAAGAAGTCCTTGGCTCGCTCGACGTTTCCGGAAACTCATACCAGTGCACGAATGGCAAGTAAAACCGCATACTAGCAGTAATTCAGCATTGACTAATATCGAATTTCAGGCGTGACGCCCTCAATCACCTGTACGGATCCGTCGTCCAACAACTACAACTGCTCGTGCACTTGTACAAATGGCATTACATTCGAGCAGCCCCTCCGTTTACCCTCTCAGGTGGGTGGCGGGGAAGGGGGCAGTTGCGGTCCTTCTCTCGTTGCCTGCCAGACAGCCAAAGACGAATGTTCGCTGCGAGAGCAAGAATTGCTAGATCAGCTTCGCCAGAAAGAAGAACAGTACCAGCAGCTCGAGCGCGAATTTTCAGAAGCAGCAGAAGCAGCAAAGCCAAAGCCTTTCAAGTACCAAGGCTGTTACACTGAGAACGCTGCTCCAAACCGCGTGTTACGCGAATCTGAAATCACCCAGTCGACAATGACGATCGAGAGATGTGCCACGATCTGCCAAGACTTCAACCATTATGGCCTTCAGGCTGGGTCGTATTGCTTTTGTGGGAATTCGTTCAAGTCGTCGTCGTCCCAAGTTGGAGAGCATGAGTGTAGCTGGCCGTGTGCGGGTAATGCGACGCAGAAGTGTGGAGCTCATGCGAGGAATTCGTTGTACTCGAAGACTATGTAATCTGGCGGTGGGGGGTTCTAGTGGCATCGTGAAAGGGATTATTGGAACTAGGGTTTGATGGATAGGACACTCATTTTACATGATGGAAAGAGGGTAATTCATCGAAGTTGAGAAGGTGTTTCTTAATATAGATAATAGTGAAGGCTCTGCACAAACAACACAATATACACATCTTAGTTAAGTTTTATTTGCGAACTGAACTGCGCGTATATCCTTAGAAAAGATAAACGCGAGACAGTAGGCGCGACGTAGTAGAAGACGAGAGAGTAGAGCGTAATTGCAAAGGCTACTTTTTAGAAGTGTAGTGGCAGTGTCTTAAACAAGAGCCGATCTACGACAGGCTTAACATACTTAATTAGGCCTTTAGGTCGTGGGAAGAGGAACAGGTTATGTATTGTCGCTGTCGCTTTTTGTGTGTGAGCGCGGAGGTGCGAGGTGTAAGGCGTGGAGGCGTGATGTCAGTGCGAGCGGTTAGGGTTGCGCGCGGCGGGCAGGAACGATCCAGGGTCCGATCTAGCGTGTTACTGAGGAAGGCGGTGAGGGAGCTGACAGCGGGAGGGGCGAGGCATGCAGGAGAGTGTCCTTATAGTTAGTTAGATACGAAGGTGCAAAGGGCGGTGGCGGCACAATCATGCAAGCCCTCTTGGCTAGAAGGGTGCGGATGACGACGTAGCTTGATGCCTAACGACCGTAGGACACTGAGAATTAGGCTTCCCGTCCGCTCACCCATATGCAAGCAGTGTACCGGCAGATTAGTAGTATGTGAAGAAATAAGTAATCTAGCCCAATATAAAGTCAGCCGGGTGTCACGAGGACACCAGAGAATGAAGATCAGCTTTGCCAAGCTACCGGCTACTATATGACGTTGTAGGTCACACATAAGAGAGGAGGTCCAACAGAGAAGGAGAAAGATACAATACGGTGGGCCAGCGGCGCCAGTTGAGGCACATGTTGGTACATTGGGTACATGGGCTTGCAACTCATGGGGTAGTAGTTGATTGCTTCAATATAGATGCGTCTGTCTCCTCTGTTAATAGGCGTAGAACATAGTAGTCTCAGAGTTCGAGCTCTTGATCCTCCTGTTCTCCCGCACCAACCACCAGCGCATGAACCACGCGCCCGCCGCACACATGAGCGCCATACCTGCACTCATAGACAAGGGGAAGACGAATCGAGGCTCCGACCACTCCGGCCAGATATACTGTTCAACATTAGCTAACGTATCCTGACGGTCGAGATGCGAAACTTACTGGTGTCCAGATCAGACTAAGGGTAGCCGCGACGTTGGCAATAGCCAGCGCCGCAGATTTCTTCTCCCTCGTTTGTCCGCAGGTTGAAGACACCCATCCAAGGATGATGCTGTTAACGCCATAGGTGCCGATGGTAAAGACGCACATGGCGAAGTACCTCGCGCCCACGTTCATAGTTGCGCAGCCGAGCACGAACCCAAAGACAGCCACGCCTTTGGCGATGGTGATGTGCCAGGTGCGCTCGTTGAAATGACCAGATGATATAGCCCATGCGACGGAGAATACGCCCGCAATCAAGTACGGTGGGCATGTCAATACGAGTGTGACTTCCTGGGAGAAGCCCAGCGTGTTGACAATCGTCGGCATGAAGTTTTTGAATCCGTTGGTTGCAATGTGACTAGACGGTGTTAGAAATGGTATACGTAGTGGTATCGTGGAAACGAACAGGTGTTGCATGTAGACGAAGACCCAAACCTTGGGGTCGCGGACAGCTTCCTTGAGACCAGCGAGCATGGAGACGTCGGCGGAGTGACCGACCGTGTCTCTTGCGACCCGAGCGTGCGCAAGTTGGCGTTCTTCGGGGTTGAGCCACCATGTAGTTAAAGGCTCGTCAGGTAGGGTAAAGCAGGCTACTACAGCGATGACAAAGGTGGCGACACCCTGTATTATGAACAACCAACGCCATCCGCTTGATAAAAGTCAGTGTGTGTCTTGCGAGGGCTGCGCAGAGCGTCATACCTGATACCATGCACACCATCGAGCTTGAAGACGCCAAGAGCAATTAGTCCCGCAAACGATGACGCGAGGATATTGCCAGAGTAGAGAATGCTGATGCGTGTCGCAATCTCCTTTCTCGTGTAGAATATGCTCAAGAGGTAGAGCGCTCCTGGGTAGTATGGTGCCTCAACTACACCCAAGAAAAAGCGCACGAGTACGATGCCTGTGTAGTTGTGTACGACAGCCGTAAGACCGCTTACAATCGCCCACCCCATCATACAGATACCCATGTACCACGAAGGTTTCACTCTAGTAATGATCATGTTGCTGGGTATTTGCCCTAGGATATATCCGACGAACAGAATCGAGATTGCAGTACTGTATTGGTTGCTAGTGAGTCCAAGGTCTTGTTGGAATCCATTAAGGCGAGCGAGGGTAATAGCGTTGCGATCTAGGTAATTGAGCCAGTACATGAGCCAGAGCATGGGCTGTATTGATATTTAGTCGGGTTTGGAAGGTATGCTGAGAGCTGACTTACCATGATCCAGATATCCAGCTTCCTGACGAGCTTCTTCTCCTCGGGGCTCGTCTTGGCCACGGCCCCGGAGTAGTCACCTTTGACTTCAACCTTCTCATACTCCATATGCTGACTTTGGAATTTCTCATCAATGGGATCCGTGTTGTGAGCTGGCACGGGAGATCCTACACCCGGCATGGGCTCATGTTGCTGTACCGCCATGTTATAGTCGATAGGAAGTGTTACAACGTCGAGAGGGGAGAACGCAGGGTAGAGGGAATCCGTGGAGGACGTATGGCCCTGCCGACGGAACGATATCTTATATTGGATCTTGCCCATTTACCCCGCGCATCGCATGCTAGTCATCTCCCCATGGGGTTGCCCCGGATAATGGCGTCCTCACACCAGATATCGACATGAAAGACAGACCTGGGGCGCTAAAATCCCGATTTTGGTAGCTTGGCTCCGACGCGCTGACTCGCCGTGGCGGGCCTCCACCCGTCGGCGACGCCGCCCCGAGCAAGACTGCTGGTAGACTGCTTGGCAACGACGCCGCTCGGCGTGCCCACACCGAAGAGCGCCCATTTGACTATCCTGCAGCAAACGGATCTTCCGAGAGACGCAAACGTGACAGGCCCGTTACGAATGTGGTGTCGATACCCCGATTCATTGTTACGACCGACTTTCGGCACTCACAAAACTGTCAGTCAATTGCTTCGATGCGCGCAAGAGCGGGCAGCCTCGATTGAAGCTAGATTTGGCAGCGGTGAAAGCATGCCAACATCAAAGATGTGTATTCATTGTCATGTCGTTAAGCTGCGGCCCCATACCACCGTACAGATCGACGCTGTCGAACCAAGCCTGAGAAAATCGATATACAGACATATCGACTTGCTGTAGGTCGTACATTTGTTGCAGATCAAATGCCGAGCCCTTGAATTCATTCTCGATAGCCAGTGGTGATAGGTTGGACACCATTTGATCGGTTCCCTCAGGCGGAAGATATGTTGCATGGTTCCATTGAGGCTGAACCAACCCGTTCGAGTGTGTATCGACCGCGGGATCAGACCTGTCGCTGTACTGCTGGTCGCCGTCTTCTGTGTTGTTGGTAGAGGAATGGGTGGCGGCGACAGGCTGTGTACTGAATTTAATGACGTCAATCAGGATAGCATCACTCAGCCTGTTGAAGACATCAACGCAGCGTTGTAACGACTTCCATCTTTCCGAGACCGCTACAAGGACGTTTGAGCACGTTCGTGTGTCGCTGATCACTTCCATGGTGCTTGGGTTCTTGATCAGCAGCCCGCTTGGTTGGTGACCCTGCTGTCGACGGCTGGCTTGGTAGTGCATCGTTACAGCGTACACATATGACAAGCCTGCCATGAACAAAGCTTGCAGTGAAAGCCAACTGTGATTCAAGAGCCCAATACGATGGAGACTGGCATACGAGGATATGGAAGCTTTAGACGAGGTGAAGATCGCTTGTACGGCGGCTGAGTCTCTTGATGTGTCCAATGTCGGGGATGGCCGATGAAGCATTAGCACTGCGTTATGATATATCATCTCAAACCAGATAGAGGATGTGAAGCAGGATGAAGACCTCGCGTCGTCCACAGAGCCCGAAAGAGCGACTCCTTTGGCATTCAGCCGCCAAACATTAAGGTCGGCTACGAATTGATCTCTGCGGTGGCGGAGCTCATCATGTGACTGGTCTTTTCGACGTTGATTGTGCAGAGTCTCGATGATGTCACCACATAGTAGGCGATACCTGATGATCTGAACAAAGATCGCAATGCGGCGGCATTTGACTAGGTGCTCGGCCATGGGCGTCTCGACACCAGAAAGCAGGATCTCGTCGCATAGGTCAGATGGTAGTGCCGTGTCCACGTCGTCATTGCGAATCGCGAGGGGTCTGCCTAGTATATTGCTGACTATTCTGTAACGCTGTCAACCAATCATCCCTCCCGCATATGCTCGCGTTAGGATTAGAGAACATACCTGTCCATGGCCACAATGCTCCAAAAGCAAAGCCTGGAAACTTCCTGCTGGACAAGATTGACACTCGGGACTGAATTAGAACCATCCGATGGTTTATAAGGATATGCAGTTTCACAGTGAAGACCGAGTTCTAGAGCAATTCTGCTCCCCACTCCTACCAAATGCCACATGCCTGTGTAGTCGTTAGATGGCTTTTGCGATCAGGCAACGTCTGCTCTAATGCATAGAAATGTAGCAACATACTGGCTGAGGTGTCTTGCATGGAACTGCTCATGCGATACTGAGTCAAGAGGATAACTGCCTGAAGTGCACCGAGTCCGCCTTTCTCCAAGACTGTCGATGCTCGCTTCATCGCCCGTGTGTAATGAGTATGGGCACTTGGTAGCCCTTGCCAATCGGACCGGCAGATACTGGCTGTCGCGATAGCAAGAACCATGTCAAAAATGAAGGTTTCGCTTGCGGAGCGCGTAAAGGAAGTCGCATTCGAGCTGTATGTTTCCGAAAGCATCGCTCCGAGAGTAGCAGGGAGGACCACAGGATAGCGTAAGTGGTCATGGTTGAGATAGGATAGTACAAGTCTTCTCGCTATCTGTTCGGATGGTAAGTCGCGAGCAAACTCAGTAGCCGAAGCTGTCGCGTTTGTAGCATCATCGTCAGCAAGTGGTGTTGTGGACCGCGTTGAAGTTTCAACGTCCACATTGGCTCTGATGAAGTTCGCGAGTAGAATGCCGCTTGAGGATCCCAGATAGTTCCTTTCTCCGGACGCATTAATCGATAGGTATGATACTTCACCCGCAACATCGGTAGATGTATGATGCTGCGAAGTGCCACTGTCGTTCCTGGGGTGATTACTTTGGACAATGGGGGTAGAATTTTGTCCTGTCGAGGATACTGGATCCGCCCTATTTTGTTGCGCAAGAGTCCTATTCTGAACTTCTAAGCGCTTGATTCTGCGTTCAAGCGTGTCTACGTGGGCCTGGCTATAGGTGCGTGCTTTTGTCCGATCCGTGTAGCGACACTCCGATCCACTGAGGCTGCATCGTCGGCATGGGAGAAGCTTATCGCATCGGACCTTCCTCTCATGACAGTGGTCGCACCTGCACGTCGATGTTAGCGTTCTATACGCGTCGAGACACGTTGTGACCAACCGGGTAATGGGCTACGAAGACATACGCTTGCATGGCTAGGATTGTGCCCTTACGCACGTGGGAAACTCGGTGCCCATATCCGAGGGTCGGTGTGTGGGAGCGAGATGTGGAGTACGAGGAGATCGGCTGACCGAGATGTTGCCATGAAGCAAGTGCCGGCACTCAGAAGCGCGTGAGCAATAGCGTGGTTCGGCCTCGGCGCTCCGCGACCGAAGATCGAGTCATTTTGCGCGAACGGCTACGCCAGCATGATGGCTGCGATTTTTGATTCGAAATCAAGCACGCTTGCAATAGTCACCATAGACTGTGGGAAAGCATACTTCTTATCACGTGGACATGCAACAGCCTGTACCTCGCTCACGTGCCTGCGATGACGTAGATTAGAACGAACTACTCACACCTTCCGCAGCTTCAACACGACAAGAAAGCATGCCAATGATCAATGATGCGAAAGTAGCGGCAAAGTCAGGGCAAAATCCTGACGGCAACGTCAGGCGACAGCCAGTCTGAAGGTCAAGACCGGCGATAATACCGCCAAGACATTCCCACTGCTACCGCGTCTATTCCAGCCCATACTTTAACATTTACGAATGTAGGCTATCTTTTCTACAAATTAGAACTGTAGTTGATAGTACCTTAGAGGCCCCTCTGGCTACATCGCAATTGCGCGGGCAGCAGCGAGCCAGCCGGGCCAAGATCCCGGCAGCAGCGACATACATTACACCCGCAATTCAGCGCGACTTACGACGCGCAACTTCTTACAAACACCGTCCTTGGTTTCGCTCTCAATCACGTCTCCGATTCCTGCCAACGAAGCCCAATCTACCACCATGGTAGTCAGCCCCCTCTTGACGGAGCCGATGTCCTATGAGCCCATCGAAACCCGCCTTGCCGCCATGCGCGCTGCTCTATCCGAAGGCTTCTCTCCAAACGAACTCGACAAGCGCCCCCGCGGTGTAGGCCGCCCACTAGACTGGGCAATCGAAGATGGCGCTCCCGCCGACTTTGCCCATCTCAAGCAAAATCTTCCTATTGTCCATCTGCTCCTCGAAGCCGGGGCTGATCCCAGGCTTCCTTCTCGGGATCCGCGTGGCCACTCGCCAATTGATTCCCTAGAGGCCTGGTTCAAGCAGTATGAGATCAGAGGGCATAAATTAGGCCCTGAGCATTTGGAGCTGAAACCGTTCTTTGAGAAGGCTTTGGAAGCTATGAAAAGAGTTGCGGATGAGCTTAATGGTGAGTTTGCTACGCTATCGTGTTGTGTATTTTTGTTGTTCTTTAGCTAAGCCAAAGCGCAATTAGCAAAAGACGCCGCTGAAGCTGCTGAAGCCGCCAGGAAAGCTCAGAAGGAGAGGTCATTGTTCGAGAGGCTGAAGTTTTGGTGACGCGATCGATGTAGCTACAATAGGTGGCAACATATTTATCGCGGATACATCTCTGTTCCGTAATCCAACGTCTGGGGTTTTGATTATGAGGGTAATCAGTTAATCAAACGTTTCATTGAGTCTCAAAATACCCCAGGATGGTCATATTCATAACATAATTTTGGAACGCGTTTTCATGACATCAAATTGTCAAAACTCTCACTCGCTTCTTTGCTGCTCTCATCTTTCCATGAATCATCTGCCAGATCCTACTCCGCTACCAAAGCTCCTATAATTCGTCCCTCTTACGTTTCTCATCACCTCCTTTTGGAATAAAATCCCAGTTGGTACCAAAGTCAGGTGTATCAAAGTCCAAATCCGGTAGCACGTCTTCCTTTTTCTTGGTGCTCACGGAGCTCAAAGCCGCCAACAGGGAACCGTCATCTAGATCAATCGCCCATATCATAGTCCTGCGATTGGTGGAAATATTAGCATCCGTCGAAAGTACATAGCGAGTCATTTGGAGTGCAAAGAGGGAAATGAGACTACCACGCCGACTTACCCTCCCAAGCACCGCTGATTCGCATAATCAAGCTTGAGCTTCAACGTCTCAGCATCATCAAAACTCGCCCACTGATTACCATCCCATGTGACTATCTTCGCCGCGGCCTCGAGATCATGCGACACCGTTGCGCCGTTCTCGATGATCTTGTTGATTTCAGCTGCTGATAGCACACCCGGTGTTCCTGTGCACTCGCCACCCTTTGCGCCCTCGGTGAATTCACAACCCGCCTGCATGCAGTTGGGATCTTTCATCGTGAAAGCTGAACGTGAATGTTAATCGCGGTGAGCGCAGAAGCTGGAAGGGAAGATATACTTCGTCCGTAAAAGCCCAATCCCATAACTACCCGCGCGGGGTTAATATTGTTTCTCCATAGCAGCTCAAGGCCCAACTGAATCTCGGTAAGATTGGTGTGAGCGAAGGCGTATGGTCCAATTGACTTGACTGTGCTATCCCAAACGCCATCTGGAAAGATGATATCAGCTTCTTATGGCTTGTGAGGGCAAGAATGGTGCTCTTACGGATATCATAAGTCATAATGTTGAACCAGTCTACCCATGGCTCCAACTTGACAATGTCGAAACCCGTCATATACCAATAGGATGCTGGCTAAGGGGGGATCAGCTATATTGTCTCATAAGTTCACAGAACAGTCGACTTACGAGTGTGAGTGTAATGCCATAGTATCGGCCACTACCGTTGAGATGGTTGCGCAGGTTCTTCAGGAAGGTGACATAATTGCCAAAGTCTTCTGGTATGCCTCCACGGTCCTCCGCAACGGGGTACTCCCAATCGATGTCGACCCCGTCAAAGTTGTTCGTTTTCATGAAAGTCACCAAAGACTCAAAGAATGAAGCTTGTGCGGACGTGGATTTCGCAAGATCGGAGAAGGTGGTTCGGTAGGGCCCGGGGTCATTCATTGCCCATCCGCCGATAGCTATAAGAGGTATGATCAGTAACAGATGAATTAGAGATCGGATTAGACTAACCAATCCAGACCTGAAGGCCGGGCTGTCTCTCCTTCAGTTTGGTCACTCTCTTATACATCTTGGCGGTCTCGGTATCCATGGCATCGATGCGGAATGTAGTCGGGTTGACAAGCGCAAACGCGAAGTTTATATGGGTATATGCCCCAAGTGGAATATCTTCCGGTGGCATGGCTTTGCAACTGTCAGTATCATTCGGAAACTAGATATTGTCAGGTTACCTACTTCCGCAAGGTCTTTGCATATTCCACCCTTCATAGTACCCGATAAGTTTCTGGTCTGCAGTTCTTGTGCTACACTGAGGCGAGGGCGTGACAACGCCTTTGCAGAAGCTTGCAGTTGTTCCACAGAAGCCATACTCGCTGCAGCACACGTTGAGCGGGCATGTTGAAGCATTGGACCACTGGATCCCCCAGCCAGGATCACATTCGCTTTTGTAGTTGCATGTGGAAATACAGCCATCACCACAGAAATCAGGACCGAGCCCACAGACACCGTTGCCGGTTGTTTCGTCACTAATGTCTCAATTAGTAAAGCAGGATATCTCCTTTGCGGACATACACACATCGCTCCACAACATCCGATGTTGCAGCCTTTGGTCTTGCTGCATACGTAATCGTCGTCCTCGGCTGCTGCCGTGATACCACCTTCAAGAGCGAACGTTCGGAGGCTGAGGTCTTCTTGAGCCAAGACCGAGTGGAGGAAGCTGAGTAACAATAGCCCTCTTGTGAATGGCCCAACAACCATTCTGGCGATAGGTACTCGATGTACACTGAGTTGTGGTATTGATAGTCTCGTGATCTACGAAAGAAGGAGAGAAGGTAGGCGTCCACACCAATGGTGAATAGATGGATACGGCAAGAACTGTCTCGCTGAGCTTGATTTCACAACCACCCTGACCACTGCTCCAGGTCGCAAACATGATTACTGATCTAAATCATATGTTACACTAAGAAGAAATGGCTTCTGCATTCCCCTGCAGGTAGTATCGCGCTACCTAGGTAGTTCGTGCACCAACACATTTCTCACAACCCGCAAGCCGCGGCGAACATGTTGGGTTTGTTTTGAGAGTAGTAACTATCCCGCGATATGAGATTAGCCTATTGACCATCGGTATCAGCAAGGTCAGGGCGAATCCATGAATGTGGACCTGGCACCTACCTACCTAGGTAGGCGCCAAGTAAGATTGCACCAGCTCATGCTGGCCTGACGGGCGTAATGCCAAGTATGCAATTTGAACAATTGCTGGGCTTTTTGGATTCGCGTGATCTAATCTTTAGATAGACATATCAAGATTATAGTGAGTAAGCCCGCGATGAGGCAGGTTCAACATTGAATATCGACACGCTAGCCACATTGGACGTGCCGATAGCATAATCCTTCTTTGCCGAGACCCCTGCGTCAAAGCTCCACAATGCTGACCACCTCAGCCGCTACTCCATGTGCCATCATCTGCATCTCGAGGGCTTGCAAAGCTACTTCATGCAACCGAGATTGGATCTTGCTCCCCTGCCGCCCAAGGCGTGCCATCGGTGGTCACCCAGTGCGCGGCTCGGGTGAACTCTGGTTCGGGTATGCCCGAGGCTGCAGGCAGGGCTGGAAATAGCTCGAGTTCATCCTAACTATCGGCATGTGAGAATATTCGTTGTCGCTCTATGTACCCAGGTACTCTAAGCGGTCAGCAGACCATCAATACTATTTGGACTAACTCGGCATTCGTCTAGTGGCAGGCTCACCTTGGTATCCCAGGTTCAAGTTCATACCAGCTTCCGTCTGAGTCTCCAGGTGTCTGATGACATACCCATACGTTTCTGCGATGTTTGCAGTATCTTTTTGGCGTGGCTTCATTGCCGCGTCGTTTTTCTTCAAGTTCAGCAGTGCACAAGATGGCAGCCCGACAGGTCCTACACACCCCAACATTGCCAAAAACTGCAATGCCTTCCATACCATTGTTGACGGTGATGGCTGTTGGTCGTTGGAGAACAAATATGCAATCTCGCATGCCGATTTCATCAAATGGAACCCTGATGTTTCTGATGATTGTTTGACCAACTTTTGGCTGGGTTCGTCCTATTGCGTCGGCGTTGGCGCAGCTATCAGTACCACTACCAGGAGTAGCTCCACGAGCGTACCAGTCACGAGCAGCAGCTCGAGCATTTCGTCGAAGATTTCATCCGCAATCTCGTCGAGCACAAAGAAGCCCGTTACCCCAACTGCTCCATACTCTATTCGAGAGCCGGTGATCACATGGAATGTTTCAAGCACTACGGTCGAGTCTGTCTTTCCGCCCAAGAAGACGCAGGAAGGGCAAGTGTCCTACTGTAATAACTGGCACTTGGTTTCAGCTGGAGAAACATGCCAGCAAATCGTTGGAGCCGCTACGTGGGCAACGATGGCACAGTTGTAAGCAAGACCATGTCTCTAACATTAGCTGTGTGAAGAGAATCATCCGCTAATGGATTATAGCCTTGAATGGAACCCGGCGTTGGATAGTGACTGCTCCGGGCTCTATGACGGCTGGTGGGTGTGTATTGGCATACGGCCCCAGTCCGTGACTGTGTCGTTCGATTACACCACTACAGCGATCCCTGTGGAAGTTCCCGAACCTACGGAATATACACCAACAACATTTCCTGCTGTCGACTCCAGCTTCACGGCTTCACCGACTCAAGCGGGTCTTGCCTCAACATGCAAGGCTTTTCATCAAGCGAAAGATGTAAGCAACTAATATCTTATATGAGTAAAGGTGCTAATTACATCATTCATCAGGGCGAAACATGCAGGCAGTTACTTCAGTATGGGCTGTTCTCGCAAGAGCAGTTCTTTTCCTGGAACCCTGCGCTGAACGGTAACTGCGATGGCCTGTGGTTGAACTATTACTACTGTGTAGCAGCAGGCGACTCTCTACCTGCACCTCCCACCGAAACGAAACGGCCGACTTCTATACCCCGGAATCAGATCAGCACATGCACTTCTTGGTATCAAGCAGATGGGTCTGAGACCTGCGAAGAGATTGTGGGTATGTTTGGCCGATTCTCAAAAGCTGACCTCATCAAATGGAACCCCAGTGTTGGGAGCGACTGCGGAACCATAAACACCGACGAGTACCTGTGCGTTAGTATTCCTGGAACACCAACTACTCGGACAATTGGTGTACCTAGTACGACTGCTCCTCCATCCGAGGGGCCAACACAGAGTGGTATGGTGGCCGGATGCAGTGAGCTCTGGCTCGTCTCTCGGTTAGTGATACTCCCGCGGCACGCGACCTTCCTATATACTAATCTCATAACAGTTCGGATACATGCTCTTCCATTGCCAAGAGCAAGGGCATTACGGAGACCCAACTTTTAACCTGGAATCCAGCGCTAGGCACATCCGCGTGTACGAATCTCACCCCCGACTTCTACATATGTGTTGCTGCCGGGGGCGGAAGTGCAGGCACCACAACAAAGCCTCCGACCTCCGGTTCGCCATCAACCGGCAGGCCTTCTTCTGCACCTGTCTCTTCCAGCGCAACAGTCTCCGCCGGTGGACCCATCACGACACCTTCTCCAATACAGGCGGGCATGGTGGCCGGTTGTAGAAGGTTCTACTTTACGCAGGAGGGTGATGGATGTTGGGCAATTGCAAACTCTGCTAGCATCAATTTGGAGTAAGTGAACCAACCACTCTCTGGTCGAAGAGTATTTGCTGATGACATGTTCTAGCGACTTCTACAAATGGAACCCAGGGGCTGGTAACGATTGTTCAAGTCTTTGGTTGAGCACCTGGTACTGTATTGGAATTTCCGGACCAGTCACTACGATCTCTAGCGGGCCACCTGTGCCGACGTAGTTTGACAGGCGCCCGGTGTAGTATCTATGACCGCGCACGGATGGAAAAGGTTCTTAGTCATTATTGTGTACATCTATATAATCGAGCGCAATGGTATATTGAAGCTTTAATATTTGCATTGCAGCCTATGTAACTTCTTCGCTCGTCCTTGTTTCCATTCGTATTTCGAAACATGCTGAAGGTATCCTGTGTCTTGAGAAAAGGCCTCCCAAACCATCATTATCAAGAGCACATGAGTTCGCAACGTTACTTTGGAGGAAAAGAAGTCAGATTGGATTGGCAAAGCACTCGGTGACTATCGAGATAACAAGAGAAGAAGCGAATGTTTGTAAAAAAACAGTAAATCAGGCATCACTTCCACTGCACCCATCTGTAAACCCTCCTGCACCTTGGACAACCTTATTGTTCTCGAAGCACCTTGCTTTGACCCAGATTGGAGTGCGGAAGGTGGCAGACCACTCGTTGCCATTCTCATCCGGCTGGTCAAAGTAGTCAAACTTCCAGTTGGTGATACCCAGGCCCAAGCAACCCTTCATCTTGGGGATGATGGTGTTTTGTCCGTAATCCCAACTACTGAAGCCGGCGCCTACAGCACATCCATTAGTAAGAACCATGGTATAATGTCGGACATCAACATACCTTGGATTGAGTAAGAGCTGAAGAGAAACTTATAGTCTCCTTTGCATTTACCATGCGTCTCTTTCAGCGGCCATGGCCTGTTGGTACGCTTGACGTTGATCTCATAAGTGTAATCATCTCGGCGCCATCTTCCGCCGAACTTCCAGTTCAGTGGGTTCTCTGGATCGTTACCGTCGCAGCTGTTCACAATCCTCTGGAACGATTCCACGCAGTTGTCCTTATTGAAGTCGCCGACGTCCTCGCTGAGTTGCAAGACAAACGTGTGTTCATCAGGCGTGCCGGTGAAATACGTATATTCCCTCTTCCAGCCGACTTCATGTTCCGGCGCGTTAACGTCTTTGCCGCAGAAGTTTTCGATGTTCTCGTTCATCTTATTGGCGGTGGCGTAACCTTTGCGGCCTTCCTTTTGCCAGCATTTGAACTCGTCCGTGACGGCGCATGTCTCGGAGTCTTGGCCGAGGACTTTGGCGCGAAGGTCGATGCCTTTAGCGAGTGCGAAGGAGGCGATGGTCTCGTGGCCTAGCTCGTTGGGATGAAAGAGTTTGCCGAAGCTGTCGGGTAGTCCTAAGCCTAGTGTCGGATCGAACCAGTCAGAATCTCCTGGACAGCCAGGTGGTGCTGGAGCTCGTTTGTTGAGTTTGTGGAGTACTTCTGCACCAGGGGCAGGTGACTTCCAAAGAAGACTGTCGTAGATGCTTGGGTCGATTCCACCCTTCGTCAAGGGAAGTGTACCGTTCGCCTGCATTTGTCTGGCTTCTTCTTGCCTTCTCTTAAGCTCGTCATGCTCCCAACTGGGTTTGTTGGTGGCTGGCTTGAAGAATTGCAGATCAGGCTGATCATTGTCAGGGTACTTTCCACTCGATGATGGATCGCACATCTGGCCTTTGACGCCGTCTCGTACCCAGGGATCCCAGTTCGAGAATCCAATCTCATAGTCGATGGATGCTTCGTCGCGCAAGATGTATATAACCTCTCTGATTGCATTGTTGATCTTCAAGACGAGTTTGTTAAACTTCTCTCGGCGTTCTTTGGTGAGAGTAAGAGCAGTCCTGAACCAATATTTGGGAAGCAATCGGCTGAGCGCCCAGTTCTGATTGGTTGCACAGTCATCAGTCTCAGTATTGAAGAACTGGGAATAGCCGTTATAGACGACGATCCCATCTTTGGACATCTTGTCGTTGAGGGCCAAGAGGATTTGTTTCAAATTGGACTTGAGAATGGTTTCAATGTTCTCCTGGGCCTTGTCGATGATTGCATTACAAGTGTCTTCGCCCTCGTAGGGAAGCATAACGCATTTTTTGATCATTCCAGCCTACCGCCTTTGTAAGCACATGCGCCAATGATGAAGCAGATTATGCCATGAGAAGACTCGGATAACTTACCAAGCACAGGTCATTTCCACCTGCCGTCATGATGACCATGTCAATGCTCTCTTTGAGTCCATCTATCTGCTCGAAGATCTGCACTGAACGATCTCCGCTACATGCGGAGAATTGGAAGTCTTTGACTGAGGCCCCAATGGTGTTGTAGACCAGCATTGGATACGATAAGTCATATCGAGAGCACAACCAACTATCTGAGTCGTGAAATACGTCACCCAGATGGTTACCGGACCCGATGCCAGCAGTGAAGCTATCTCCTATGGCCACCAGGTTTTTTACCCAGGAGTAGTCTGTTGGGTCGCCGTCTCTTCGCCGACGGAGCACCGGTGCGGCTTCCAAGAGTCCAGTAGTTTTTCGTTTGTGAACATGTCGTCGCGGGGACCTTAGGGCAGCTGCGGAGGTGGTAGGGAGAAACAACGTGAGCAAAGCCGCCCAAACGAGTAGGGGAGCCATGATGCCGTCAACGAAAATTCCAGATAACTGCGGAGCGCTAATGAACACTCTGTCAGTAGTCTGAACAGAACAATGTTGCAGGATGAGACTTTTGCGGTAGCCAGATAGCTCCAGGCCTCAAGGTGCAAGCAAAGTCGCTAGTTCTTCGCTCAGCGACTGGTGGATAGGCTGACGGTGTGTAGACCTGGTAGGAGCACGTTTTGCATGGAAGCCGAGGCATGCCTGGAAAGCTTCATTGCCGTGTATTGATTTAGGCTTGTATCACAGTGAGATTCCTGCTTGGCATTCCCAAGTCGGCATGTAGCCCGCACTTTGTAAAGGTAAGCTGCATGAAATTAAGACGCAGGTACGTACATGGACGTTTGCACTAGCGCCGGGCGCCCTGCATGAGCCACCAACATGTGGGTGGTAATTTATGAGGCTCACGAGCTGACGGCTCGGGCGGACGGCGGGTGCTCTAGGGCTGGGCCGGGTAAAGTGCAAGCATGGTGATCCGCACCCATCCCACTTGGGTAGTCTACGCCGGCTATCCCTGATACCTACACAACAATACATGCACGTTGGCTCACCCTAAACGAGAGCATCAAACTAATGATACCGCTCTTGATACGCACGATTACTGAGCACAGCAGATTCCGTGTGGTATCCACTCTAATGATGGTCTGTTTTGCTCTGGCAATCTTACTCCGTAGCGCGCCCGACGGGTGTGACGACAGGGGCAGTAGAGGACGCCACATTCGAGAGCATATCGCGGCGACGATTTGGGTGGGGTATCATCTCATCTCTGTCTTGCTGACAGCTGTTTATTGAAAAGCGATTATCGAGACATTATCCGGCCGACCCCTGTGGTGAGCTACGGTGGCGTATCGTACAGGCGTTACCAAACACATTGAGTGAGCAGACTGCCCGCGTCCATATCGAACATTGTCGATTTCTCCAGTTCATCGTGCGCGATGATGCTTTCGCTCCTCACTGTCGTTTTTTCCTGTACTTTGGCGGCTAATCCAGTCTTCGCCGGGAGCCGTACATGGGAATCTTCTATCGTTTACACTCATCCTAGCTACACTGAACTTTATGGCGACCCTTTCACTCTTGAGAAGGCGAACTCTACAATCGGCACGGCCTCTCAGAGGTCCGTGACTACACTCAAGAAGCGCTATGTGACCATCAACCCAGGGACTGGCGACTCCGACGATCGCACGTGGCCCAATGGCAAGATCCCATACTGTTTCGAGAGTTCTGCGACCAAGGAACTCTTCTTCGAGGATCTGCTCGAGGCGAGGAAGCTATGGGAGAATTCAGGTCTTGGATCTGGATTCGATTGGGAAGAGAAAGACGCTTCTTAGTAGGTTGGCCCTGATGTGAACCTGCTTTAGACATAACCATCTAGGTACCAATGCTGACATAATCTTCGCAGTTGTAACAATGACGCAAACAGGCCAAACTTCCTTCTCATTGCCAAGAGTGACGGGCTATCCTGTACCGTTGGTGTACCGCCTCGTAACAAGATGAGTGATGGTGCAGAGAGCAGAGGGCCTCTGATGAGGCTGACAGCTGATCTTGACATTGGTAAACAGAACTTGGTTGCCAATTACGCTCATCAGATGGGTGTAAGTACTTCATCATGTCGACTCCATCAAAAGTCACTGACAAAAAGCTCAGCATGCCTGGGGCCTTCACCATGAGCATCAAAATCCAGCCTTTTGGTCATCCGACTACGCTGCTGCCGGCGGGAATGTTTTCAGTAGCTCGAACTTCAAGTGCGAGAATCTGAAGGACTACGCCAGCGTATCCGCTACACTGTCTGCCGAGCAAATGAAGAAGGCTTGCACTTCGAGAGCCTTTGCAAAGTCTTATCGATTCAGCGCTGCGGAATACCTGCCATTCACCGATTCGACTGCATACAGAGCGAGCAAATCAGTCTCGGAGCCTGATTGGGACTCTATCATGATCTACGATAGTGGCATGGGATCAGTCTTGACCAAGCCGAACGGAGAGCAGATCAAGCAAGTGCTGGCCCCCAGCCAGCGTGATGTAGAGGGCCTGAAGCAGCTGTATGGCGTTTCGCCTGAGTCGAAGTTCAATCCACTGGGAAGCAAGTCTAGTTCCTACAAGAACAAGTTCAATGACATCCGCAAGAAGGAGAGAGACAGTGGATGCGGAACGGTACCTGACGATGATCCAAAAGGGGAAGTCGAATGTAGCCCTGCTACCTGTGGTGGTGGCTCTTGTCCGGCGAAGAGAGCGCGAGCTGCAAGAGCTACAAGCGATCTAAAGTCGTCACCTCGTGCGATCCCGGCAACGGCCGACAGCAAGTGGGGTTTCTTGAACAAACCATCCCAAGGCGGACTGGACGCCTTCGTCAAGGACTTCATCGCCACCAAGCCATTCTTAGCGGATTTGGAGAACCTCGATAAAACCTCACCTTCAACTTCCATATTCCTGGAGTTCAAGGATGGTGCATTCATGGCAGGCGTCAGGGGTCTTTACGGATGCACATCCGTAGTGCTGACTTCGCATTGCGGAATGTTTATGGTGAGTGCATGCCGCTTCTTGTGATTACTATTCTAAAACTAACCTTGTGAAGTCGCATCATTGGGAAAGGTGGTGGAAGACCAAAGAATCGACTGAGGAGTTTGAGAAAGCGGTTATTAATCCTTTGGTAGATGGCGATGTCAACAACCCCTCGTTCTTGGGGTTCCCTCAGCTTCCACAAAACTGCTTCACAGCGGAAAAAAATCTCAAGGTATTTCTTTCCACACCATGCATTCGACAACATTACCTACTGTGGGCTAACACAATCATAAAGGCAACTGTATTTGCGCCAACATTTCTTGCTGGTACCTCTGCAAAGTACAAGGATCGCCTAGCATTGCTCGTCTCAGCTGTTGCCAAATCGATGTCGCTCTCAGAGTCTGATATCAAGGTCCAACTATACGACGCAAGACTGGAAGACAATTACAATGACGAAGAACAGGAAGACCCGAACGTTGATACAGCAAACGGAAAGATCTTGTTAACCTACAACAACGACATCTTCAGAGATGGAAATACGGCTGCATACCAAGTCTGGGCTGGCGCACAAGTCATCGACGGCGTGAAGCAAGCTAATAGCGCTCTCAACTCCGCAATGATGGAGGATATCTGGAGACCGACTTTCTCGAGGAAACGAGCAATTTTGAGATACTTGGGCTGGGCTTAGCCTCAGCTTCATATTGTGCTTCAGAGTGGGGGCGTTTCGTCACCGCCAAAGCCGTCTACTACCCATATATTCAGTTTCGTCTCATACCCAACCAAACTTTTCGTCTGAATTATGTGTGATGTCTTCAGCATGTGCTTTTCGGGTTGCGTTCGCGCTTTTAGCCCACGACGCCAGCTCAGGACAGTCCGGATCGAGACAAATGTCTCCGTCTCATGCGCACGTGGTTGCATCGATTGTATGAGGTGATTCTTTGTTTCAATATACACATTACAAGTAAGTATATGGCTGCTCTCCACTATGCCATTCCTCGCGGATCAATCCTCGATATCATCATCGCTCAACGTGAGACTGGCGCCTTTGTCCGCCAACCCAGCAATCGCTGTTTCCGGTTCTTGCTCTTTGCTCTCGAACTTCACCCGTCCCCTCTTCTTCGGCGTCTCCAGACTTGGTTTGTCTGTCGCCCACTGCTCTTGCTCGCCTGGGCGAACGTCGTCTTCGGGGCCATCTTCTTCAGTGGCACCGGAGAGAGCGTTTCCAGTGAAGGCTGTAATTTTCCGTATCTCGCGCACAGTGGCTGCTGTGGACGGGTTCGACATGCGTGATTTTCGCAAGATGGTGGTCAAGTAAGGGAGACGTTCCAGAAGCATTTCGTTACGCGCCGAGCCGCCACTTCCGAGGAGAATTGAAGCTGGTGCATCTTCTTCCGCGTCTTTCGAACCGAGTGTCGATGTGGGCTGTGAGAATGAGGCATTACCTTTCCACGTCTCGACTCCTCCGCTTGAGAAAGCCGGTTTCGATACACCTGGCCCTGTCGAAAAAAGTTCACCGCGTTGCGCCTTCGATACCCACATCTCCAGTGAATCTTCAATCTCTTCCTGCTGTTTCCATATTCGCAGCGACGCCGGATAGTACATGACAAAAGCGTTGCCTTTTGCTGCTCCACCGCTTGCCCCTTGGCCTTTTGCTTTGATACCCATGATGTCTGGAGGCGGTGCAATGCGCTTGACGGGATATGGCAGGTTATACAGGATCCCGCGTACGCTTGTCTGAAAGCACATCTCGTCTTGACGTAGATTATCCGCACTCGTTCCTTGAAGGACCCGCCGGCCAGCGCCCGCACCAAAGCGGTCCGGCGATAGAAGGTCGGCATCGGAAAGAGCCTCTATACAGCCCTCAATGGAATCCATTGTTTCCTCGCTGTCGGCAGCACCGCAGGAAAGGACGTAGTTCTCATGTAGAGCAGCGACAAAAGTTTGGGTATCGGTACCCATCTCGTCTATGAGTGTGTCGACATTGACCTCCGAGGCCTTCGGTCTTCGCCTCTCGGGAAACCAGTTCGGTGGATGTGCAACGGGTGTGTTTGGGTCCTCCGGTAGACGCTTGTTGTACACAACCCTTCCAACAGCATGGAAGATGCCGAGAGTGCTTTCCCTCTGCGTCACCATCTCGAGCGATTCCTGCTCGATCTTCGTCATCGGCACGTCTTTCGGGCCCTTCTTCTTCGTGAAGTTGACTTTCGCGCCCCAGCCTTCCGCCTCATCGCCTCGCAGGCAGAGGAACTCGAGGGAGGAGACAGCGCTGCGAATGTCTCCAAGTTCTGCAAGACGCTGAATTGCCTGTGGCCCTAGAGTCTTCTTGCGCCCGGATTTGCGCGCCTCCTTGACAACGATTGTTTCTAGCGCCTTTGTCATGTATGTGGGGGCGATTGGATTGAATTCGAGGACAGACACTCCAGGGTGGGTCAGGATCTCAGGGCCTAACAGCCGATGTGCAGTGAAGCTGTCGGCTGCCGCCGTGTTGGTAGACAGTAGAGTCTCGGATATTATCATTACGATTGGGGTCACTGCCTGCTCGGGATCGACCTGGGTCGAAAAGAAAGCAGTAGCTGATTGCGTATTGGCAGCAAGATAGTTGAGGACGGAAGAGCGAAAAGATTGAACGGCCGAAGAAGTACGTGTGAATGTATTCGGAAACTCCTCTACTAGGACCAGTTGCTTCTGTCTTTCAGTCTGACTGTTCGACGAAGCCGTCTGAGCACTCATTGTCGGCTCATCGAAGGCCAGACTACCAAAGGTTCCAGTCCTTCCAACGAATTCTTCGAATTGTGCAGTAGCAGAGACAAAACTGTCGGAGGTTGACATGGAACCTATAGGGTTCTTCCACTCATGCATGTGGATTCCCAGTTCCTTGGACAGCAGGGACATGGTGGTGGTCTTCCCACTACCAGCAGGGCCTTTGAGCAGCAGCAATCGCTTGCGTGCCTTGCCACTGAAGACGTCTGTGAGCCATGTCCGCACGTCTGCCACCTTCCTCTTATGTACAGCGAGCTCATCGAGCGACACTGGGCCGTACTTTTCAGTCCACGGCCGCCGGTCTTCTGTATCCTGTCGCGCTGGCTGGGAAGATAAAGGTGTTGTAGATAGCGGTGTTGTACTACGCGCTCCGCTCGCTGTTCGCAGGAACTTCTGCCTGTTGCTCACGGCATTGCCAGGGTCCGTTGGCGCTGTCGCGGCGATCGGTCTCTTACGAACGGGGAGGGGTTTCGGGGGCTTGAGGGATGGCGCATCGTCTGAGGAATCAAAGATATCGTCCACATCTTCAATTGACGGCGCCGGTTTCTCAGGGCTCGGCGTGGGGTGCAGCGACTGCGAGCGCGGTATATTACTGAAGAAAGAAGTGATAGGCTTGGATGCTGGCTTTGCTTTAGCCGGCGATTTGGCTGGAGACTTCTTAGTAGGAACTGCTCTCGATCGCATGGGCGAGGCTGCACGTGTCTGGGATCGGGTAGCCTTCTTTTCTCCATGCGCCCCAGTCGAGACGCCTGTTAGTGTGCCCCTCTTGGGACGCGCGGGAGGCGGTGTATGTGAATCATCCGCCTCAGACTCGGATGAGACGACGATCGGCTTTTTCCGCGTGGCTCGAAGCTTAGCCATGCCGCCCCAATTTGATGGACCTGGAGAACACTCGAACGCAGAGTGACATACTCAGTGCTAGGCCGGTTGGGGGTGCAGAGCGCGTGATGTGAGCTCCAGCAGCCGTGTCGAGTCTACGTCGCGTCGGAGCGCGGAGGAAGTTCCACGGGCCCAAGCGCGCTAGGCACAGTGGGGCCAAGAGCTACTAAGGCTGTTGACAACGCACCTCTTTTCTGCATCTTCACACACACCGCTGCTCTTTTCCCGCTAGCACCCGCTGTAGTGCGCTCCTTTCGAGGCTCATATGCAGCTAACTTGTCCAACCGGAGACCGCCACAACGCCCTCCCTGCCACTGCTGCATGAGGTTCAATTTTCGTGCTCCAGCGGCGTCATCGCGTGCATATCGGTTCGTTGAATCGCTGTCCGTCAGTAAACATCAACAAAGAAATCGGTCCATGGCCTGTGGCCGGTCCACTGTCGCTGGCCGCCGTCGTCGTACAGAGTGAGCAGCACAGCAAGACCATATAGACGTAATTGTACCAGACACGCGAAGTCGCATACGATGGCTGGTAACGTAACGCTCGGGGCATATAAATTAGACCGCTCGAGTTTACGATGAGCTGGCACTTCCCTGCCAATCTCCCATTGGGCGGGAAGGCGTTTGCAGCTTGTACTATCCTCTTCCATCCTTTTCACTGCCGCATTCCTTATATACTGATTTTGCGCGTGCTCGTTGTTTTTTGACATGTTTCCCGTCGTCATGCCCCGTTAACAGGCGCCTAATTTAATTTTCGCAAAAGTCTGAGCTTATCGTGAGAAGGGCAAGCTCCAGTTCAGGATTTGGGAGTTGTTGGTGTCTTCCACACTTTTTACAGGAACCATCGCGTTTGGCGGCCGTTATGGCAAAGAAGAAGAAAAGCAGCAAGAAACCGGTGGAGACCGCTGCTCCACCTGACAACGTGCCAACGAATGCTGCGGAACCAATTCCTAATGCGCCTGAAGTTCCATTGACAACAGAGGAATCAGCCACAGAAGCAGAGTCCGGGGAGCAGTCTATGCCAACCGCTTCCGAAGTGGAGCCCGACGAGGGTACGGTTCCCACGCTGGTGGAAGAGTCCACATCTGCACCTTCACAACACCCTGAGACCATAGAGACTATACCAGACGAGGCTGCAGAGGCACCGGCCACTGAGATCATACCTGCTGCAGAGCTAGATCCACCTATGGGGGAAGAGCAGGAATCTGGATCGCCAGCGGATACTACCGAGGCCGTGGAGTCAGAGATTGCCGGGCAAAGCGCTGAAGACATGCATCATACTACAGCAGAAGATGAAGAGTCATCAGTTATTTGGGTTGGAGACACGCACGACCCAGAACCCGATGCAGAGCAACAGAATACGCCAGAGGAACAGCAGACCCCACAACTAGTCGAAGAATCTACACCCCAGCCAGACCTTGTTCCTACTCAAGATTCTATTGAACCAACAGACACACCGGTTGAAGATACATCCGCGCCACAAGAACCTACAGCAGAGCTAGCACCCGAAGCAGAACCTGAATTAATCACTACCACCACAGAAGAAGTTATCGAACTGACAAACCAGATGGATGGCGATCTCAATGGGAACGGAGCTGAGCAAGATCCGACGGAGACAGTCGAGGCACCAGAGGCCCCACAGGCACCCGAGACACCGGAAGCACCTGAAGTGACAGAGATATCTGAAGCGCCAGAGGCACACGAAGCTCCAGAGACACCCACAATACCAGAAGCTCCAGAAGCTCCAGAGGCTCCTGAAGAGCCAGAATTACTAGAGGTGCCCGAGGCTCCCGAGGCTCCCGAAGCGCCAGAAGTGCCAGAAGCACCAGAAGTGCCAGAAGCACCAGAAGTGCCAGAAGTACCAGAAGTGCCAGAAGCACCAGAGGTACCGCAACCGCCAGAAGCTGCCGAAGCGCCAGAAGTACCAGACGCACCAGAGGTACCAGAAGCGCCAGAAGCGCCAGAAGTACCAGAAGCGCCAGAGGCTCCCAAAGCTCCTGAGGCTCCATCAGTGGTTTCAGCTGAGACTGATGAGGACGATATCATCGAAGCTTTTACAGTTGAGGATCTATCAGCGCCGGAACCAGAGCCCGAGGCCCTTCCAATAGCAGTCGAACGGTCGGTAGATGTTGAGCTACCAGATGCGCCTGTCAAAGGAGTATCAGCATTAGAAGCCCCCGAGACGATCACACATTCTGGGTCTGTTCCCGAGATTTCATCTGCAGATGCCCACATTGAGCCGACAAAAGAGCTCATCGTACCTGCGGAAGATGAAGTACCAAGACGGGATGAGGAGCAAGAACAAGAGCGGCATGAGGCCGAAGCAACGGCCGTTGCTGAGGCTCAAAAATTTGCCGCGCTAGCAGAGGCCGCCCAATCCCAGGAAGACGCACAGCAAGAAGAACTGAAGAGATTAGAGCAAGAAGCAATCGAGCACGAGAGGTTAGCGAAGGAAGCCGAGGCCAACAGACTACTGGAGGAGCAACGCGCAAGAGAGGCCCAAGAAGAGCTGGAAGCCGCCGCAGCCGTAAAACGGGCTCTAGAAGACATGAGAGCTAAGAAGGAGGAGCAGCACAGGGAGACCGAGAGGCTCGAACAAGAGCGACTGGCCCGTGAGAGGCTCGAGCAAGAGAAGTTAGAACAGATCGTTGAAGCGAGGAAGCTTCTGGCGTTAATGGAAGAAGAACGGAGGGCCGCAGAGATTCAAGAAGAGGCCGAAGCCGCTGCAGTCGCCGAAAAGGCTCGGAAAGAAAAGGAAGAGCTCGAAGCTGCAGCTGCTGCCGAACGTGCTCGCAAAGAGAAGGAAGAACTTCGGCAGGAACAATTACGACGTGAGAGAGCTGAAGAGGCTCGAATCGCTAGGAAAGCACGAGCAGCTGCGGACGTCCTTGCAGAAGAACAAAGAGAGGAAGCAGAACGGTTGGAACGGCTGGCCCAGGACGAGTCACGTGAGCAAGCTGAAATACCATTCATCGCACGTCGATCCATGATCGAATCAGCACGTGCTCCGTCACCTCCTTCGGGAGTACCTGACATGCACGATCGTTCTCCAGTCTCTGATCGACCATTTCGATCGTATCGATCTTTCGCGCCACATGCACCGAAGCTTAGAACACACGAAGCGGGTCCAAACCATGCACCGAAGCCTTATGCTGTGGCACAGCTTATTGAGGATAACAGACCTGCGGCCCCGAGCCCGCCAATGAGTAAAGCTCGACCAAGGTATGTGAATTCCATTTCTCAGTCCGGTGAGGTAGTCGCTCGGCGCTTCTTCGGCGGCCGTCAACCACGACGCCGGACCCAAAGCGAACATGCTCGAGATACATAAGGTTCCTGGCCGAACTCTGATGGATTGCTATACTAACTACATGTTTCCCATTAGACACGCTCCCACCTTTGACAGCGACGACGATTCAGATTCTGCTCTAGTACAAAATAGGATAGCGTCGAGGCGTCCATTTAGCGGTGAAGCGCATGAAGTGTCGCGGTCCCACTTAGGCCCACATCAACCACGTAGCGCTTTTGCATCCCGAGTGCCTGTTGAGCCCACCTATCCGGCCCCTCCACCAAATTATCATCCCAGCTACTATGCCCCGCCAGCCCAGCCGCCTCACCACTACCCAGATCATGCCTACGGCATGAGTCAGCAGGGTTATCCCGCGCCTAACCCCAATCCTTACGGCCCTTCGTCGCATTCTTCCTCCCCTCCCTACCAGGAATCATGGAGCCAATACCCACCCGGGTACCCTCCTTATGGCAGCCCACATCATCGACAGGACTCCTCTGGTTCTAGAGACCTTCATTCGCATGTTTTAGCCAATCGACCTGCAATCGAACACGTGTCTGGCGACGCACTCTCACATATCCCGCAGACTGATCTGCACGTTCTACTTGCGCATTACAAAGAGACTCACAACCAACTGCGTGCTAGGGAGGACCTGCTTCGTCGGCAAACTGCTGAGCAAGAGCAGAAACTCCGCGCAAAGGATGGTGAGATTGGTGAGCTGAAGCAGAAGATTCGCAACTTGGAAGACAGGCATTCAGCCGAGGCAAGCAGACTACACTTTCAGATCGGGAATCTGGAAGAGCAAGTCAGAGAGCTCCGAGAGCTGATTGCTGAAACCAAGAAAGCTAGAAGAGACGCTGAAGAGACCAAATTGGTACTGGATGCAGCCATGAGGTCTTGGGAGGACAGGTACAAAGAATTGGAAGATGTGCATCGCACGCTGGAGAGGACATCTGCCGAGGAGAGGGAAAGAGCATGGAGGGATTTCGACGAATGGAAGGAGGCCACGAATACGAAACACGACGCGGAGAAGATCGCCCTTGCTATCCAATTCGACAAGAAGCTGAAGCAAGCTGGGCAAGATGCTGCCGAGGCAGCTGAGCTCAGGGCCCAGCTTCAAGCAGCTCTTAACCGAGAGCAAGAACTCATCAGGGAGCGCGACGACCTACAGAAGATGCGAGAAGACTCGGACAGGAGGGCTGGGGAAGAAGCAGCGAGAGCCGATCAACTGGCGAGAGAGAAGGATGAGCTGATGAACTCATTCGACCAACTCAGAGCCGAGAGTCAACGGGAGAAGGAGGTCATCAGGAGTGTTGCCAGCAACCTCGAGTCGGAGAAATCCAGACTAGAGAAGATGATGGAATGCTATGGTGATATCGCCGAGATCAAGAGCAAGGGCGACAACTACTAGTAAGTGATTCCCCGTTTTCGCACATTCGCTCTTGATGCCGGCATGGTGGTGGCAGAGGCTGCATCGCAGCCAGTGTTGGGTAGACCGCGGACGGTTTCGGTGCGCTTCGTCATCCTTCAACGGACAATGAAGCGCACCGAGATCGTTTGCTTACCTTCTGGCCCGCGGCTGTGATGATGTAACAGAAGCCACCACGTATTGCCATGCACACTCTTTATCGTCCACCGCTCGTATAATGCAATGTTTGCCATGGCATCATGCCCCTCTCATTGTCGCTTTGTTACGTAAAGAGTCGCTCGCTAACATCATCGCGTCTAGCCTGGTTTCATTCTCTCAGCTGCAAAGGCAAATCATCGATCTTGCTACAACCCATTTCGTTCACCTTCCAGTAAGGCCGCCGCCGGAGGATCTTGCACAAGTACCGTCCAACCTACCGTCCTTCCTCGGTGACAGCATTGCTTCCAGACAAGTCCGAACAGCGTACATCGCCCACACTGTATCGAAACTCATTACTTTCCGTGTCTTTGGCCCATTCTTGTTCAGTCTTGGACGTCGCTACGACAAAGCCGACTCTCTGTTCTCCTCGATGAGCCACCACATTCGCGAGAAGAGCACGCGCAAAGAAGCGATATGGCGACAACAAACACTCCTTGCTGCATTCACCAGCACCGGCGCGAAGCAGCGCATCAATACTGCTGCTGGAACCGTTGTCGAAGAGATTGTCAACGCTATCCGACACTTTGCTGATCCAAAAGAGGAGGAAGGCATCAAGATCGCCGTGAAGCGCATCGTGAAGGTCGCTGCGGAGACATGGAGATTTGCTCGTCTCGAGCGCGAAATGATCACAGCCGTCATGCCTGCGCTACACGACGAAGAGCATCAATTTACCAGCAACCAATTCTGGCCAGCTTACAGCTCAGAAACAGGCTCAGCGACAGATGAGCCGCCTCCCCCCGATTCGCAACGACAATTGTTACTTAGGATCTTCCCGGTTGTATACCGCGAATCGAAGCACGAGATCTTCCAGAACAACGAAGAGCAGCGTGACGAAGGCTGCATTCTCCACCATGGGCTGGCTCTGTATGATGATGCAGAGCCAGTCGTGACGAGAATGGAGGAGCTCAAATCTGCTGGTTTGCCTCCCCATACCACTGCATTAACGAGTCCGACTGACGAGGGCAAGTTTCCGCCGCCGGTACGTAACACCACCCGCGTGTTCACCTTACCCCAGCGTTCCTAGCACCGCTTTCGAGCTTCCTTCACCCAGCCTCTGACAGGCTCGCGATATATCGAGATCTACGTAAGATGAAAAGACTGCTTCAGATCACTTGGCTAACACGCTGGCTTTCCAGGCTTGCCCGCCTCCTCGCGACCCAATACCACCTCCCCCCTCTCCCCCCGCCCCTCGATCTCCGACGAAAGCCGAGACGAATACGGATGAGGAGTCCCCGGTGTCACGACCGATGTCACCAGAGAAGCCAGAAAAGCCCAAGAAGCTCTCGGCTATCGAGCGAGCGTTGAACCTCTTCTCTGCTCCTTCCTCGGACGACAAGCCGAAGCCTCCAGGCTCTACCTTCTCACGTCCGCCGGCGCCCCCGACTTCCGTGTTCACGTCGCCTAGGAACTTTATTGGCATGCCTGTGGAGAGTTTGGCTCCCTCACATGCCCCGAGTACAAGGAAGAAGCCGCCACCACCGCCGAAGCCTGCGTCGAAGCCCGACATACCTTCCACGGCCGCAGAAATCGCGGAAGCCATACGCCATCGCCAGTCTATGGAAAGCGCGATCCTACCGCCGTCCTTCTCACGAACTACGACGGATGATACTATTCATGAGCAATCCGAATCGCGAGCTCCTACGCCGGTAGACACGGTCTCTCAAATGTTTGATGCCATCGATGAGATCGAAACGCTCGTGCCTCAACGTACGCGGACTACGTCAACCTCTACCACGCATTCGCGACGCCGCTCTACGCACACTCGCCGTTCTACCGAACACGCCATTGAGGACGAGCTGTTTGACATCACTCCTCGACCGGATCACACTCGCAGAAAGAGCGGTTATGCGGCAAGCATTCGCACGACCAAGTCTGCCGATACCGAGCGCACTGATCGAAGTGAGCGTACCGACAAGAGTGAGCGCACTGACAAGAGCGAACGTACCGAGAAGAGTGAGCGGACAGATAAGAGTGAACGCACAGACAAGAGCGAGCGGACGGAGAAGAGTAGTCGCAGCCATCGGACAGAGAAAAGTGACCGTTCGGATAAAACCGAGCGCGAAAAGGCTCGCTATGTGTACGAGACTCGTGGTGCTGCTATGAAAGCTCTATATCCCAACACTCCAGTGAAGGGCTCTCATGGCAGCACTAGAAACTCCGAGAGGAGTGTGAAGAGCGAGAGAAGGAAGGAAAGAGGCAGCAAGGACTCAACGAAGGAATCGAACTTAACGAGAGAACCTCGAGAGTCGAGGGAGGCCAAGAGAGAATCACGAGAGGTCAAGAGACAAAGGAGTATCTCCGATGCTGGCACTTGGGATACCAACAGCATCATGACTCACGACTTTGCGCCTACGACCATCACGACCAACGCACCCTATCCCTTCATGTACGACTCAAGACGAGACTCGAAAGAGTTGAAGCGAGAGTCTAGGGAGATACGGCGGCAACGTAGCATCTCTGACGCTGGCACCTGGGACACGAGTACTGAGATCAGTCAGCGTCCTCCGCCCACCACTGTCTCGACCAACGTTCCTTACCCTACGGGAATGCCTTGGGAGCTGAAGCGATCAAGAAGCATTTCCGACTGTGGTACCTGGGACACCAGCAGTGAGGTCACTCAACGTGCGCCTCCTACCACCGTTTCGACCAACGTCCCCTACCCTATGGAACAACACGTGGACGAGTCGGAACGATGGTCCATGCCACCACCTCGCAACTCAATGAGAATGGAGGTCTCCGACGATGAGGTGTCTGACACTGGGACCTGGGATACCAACACTGAGATCAATACCCACCGTGCTCCCCCTACGACCGTGTCTACGAACGTGCCCTATCCTTCCTACAACGCTCCTTCTACCATTATCTCTACGAACACTCCTCGGTTCACACAGCCCCCTCGACAGCTGCGGAGACCCAGCGTTTCCGATGATGACGCGTCTGACGATGCCGTCTCCGACACGGGGACATGGGACACCAACACCGAGATCACCACCCATCGCGCGCCTCCCACGACCGTCTCCACCAATGTGCCCTACTCAAGCATAATGCACCGCCAGCTGAGAAGGCTGAGCGGCAGCGACGCCGGCACATGGGACACCGCCAGTGAAGTCACTCAACGTGCTCCCCCTACAACAGTGTCAACAAACGTACCCTACCCCTCCGCGCAATTCAGCGACCTTGGCCCCTCAAGCTACCCACCCGGTCCCTTCGAGCAGCTCAAGCGAGTCGAACAACTCCGGAAGCAGCATGAGCACCACAGCCTCTCCGACGACGGTTCCGACTCTGGTACTTGGGATACAAGCAGTGAGATCACTCACGCTAACAACGGACCTGCTACTGCTACGGCTGTGTCCCAGAACAAGTCCTACCACCGTTCCGAGAGGCCGAGAGCGCCGCGCAGACAGACGAGTCCTGGTCCTTCAGAGGCGGGGACGTGGGACACCAACAGTGTGATTACGAATAACGATATGAAGACGACTGTTTCGACAAATGCGGGGTATGCGTCTGAGCGAAGATCTCGATAGGCGCGTGCGAGAATGGTGCGAAGACGGCCTAAATGGCTCGCAAGGTACTGCTTCTTTTCTTGAGCTGTTGTTGCTGTGCTTTTTTCTTTCTTTTTTCTTCTTTTTGGTTCCGCTCTATGCGTATGGTCGCATCTGCGAGATATTGTAGGAACTCGCGTTGATGATGCGAATGATGCAGATGAAGGATGAACACGAGTGAAAGTATATATGGTTTACGGTCGAACAAATGCATGATGATGAAGATGGTCTCGAGATAGTTGCATTTCTGTAGCAGGGCGTTCTGGTTTCTTGCTTGTTTGATTCGAGCAGACGAGCTTGTAAGATAGTTATCATATCATCTGTTTTCAAGTACAACATACTGCTCTCATGATCAGACGTGTGAAGCAGCTTGTGTCTTTGGTTGTGCCTGGCATTAGGAACGTAGCCTCATTGCCCCTGCTGTGTCGTGTAGCTACATAGTTGATCGATTCACTCCGAATGCTACAAGAATGCGTTATAATATCAAAAATGTGTTCTCGTGTACATTCCGTTCGTGGTGGCACGTCAACCTAGGAAAAGGTCGAACACCCTAGAGCCAACATTAACGTTAGGCCACCTACTTTGCATGTTCTTATAATAATGTAGTCTCTAGACCTGTTTAGTTTGTTTTTTTCTTGTATGAGGTGGTGGTGCCACCGAAGAAAGTGAAGGAAAGCTCCAAAACGCCGAGGCTAGCCCGAACATCGATCGCGTTCGAAGCTCAAGCTACCAAGACGCTCTCAAGAAAGTCCAACTTGTCATCTCAACGCCACAAACACCAGATCTCACTTACTTCAACCGCGTCAATTCGCGCCAATCACCTAGAAGAACTACCACTGAGCTTCCGAAATGGCAGAATTATCCCCTAACCCAGCCGTCGCAAACCACGACATCGACCCAGCGCTCACAAACGGCCCGGCGCAAGAAGCACAACAAGCACCCGCAGACCAATCCGCAGACGTAGAAATGGCAGACTCAGGTTCAGCACCAGCAGTAAGCTATCAATCTACCTATCACCCACACAAACCTCACTAACACACCCCTCAAGCCCACCACACTCGACGCCTCAACACCCGCCCACCAACCAACCGTCCAGACCGTCCCACCCACACCCAGTACCTCAACTCCCGCACCGCCCTCCGCACCCACTCTCCCTACCACTACCACCGCGCAAGCACCAACACCTACGCCCGCAGCCTCGTCGCGCAACTCACCGCACCCGACTGCACAAGCGCCCACACAGCCCATTCCGCACGGCAGTCCGACGCGGGTGTATTTGAATCAGCATGTGACACCACATTTACTCGAGGCAATGAAACATCTTGCTACTGCGGAGCCGGAGAAGCCGTTGAAGTGGTTGAGCGAGTTTTTGGCGGGGAAGAGTAGGGAGATTGAGGGGACTTAGGGATGAGATTGTTGAAGGGGTGGATAGGGTGTGGGATAGTGGAGGAAGAAGCTGAGATATCTGAGGACGAAGACGAAGAAGTTATCTATGTGGGCTGTCGCACGAGCGGTAGTTGCTTGAACACTCATCTCATGGACAAGCACGAGACTGCCATGTGCATGTGTGTTTAGGCAGTGAGCTTTGCCATGTACCGGTCGAGTTCGACTATCAGACGAGCAGAATGGCTTTGAAGGGTTGGCGGCATCAAGGACCGAAGCACATAGGCATGTGTTCACAAAAGTATAAGACGGCGTCAGGACGATACCCAAGTCAATCAGCATTCCAACAAGCAGAAATCAGACTTTGACACTTTGAATTCAACTTGGGTATATTCAGTTCGAGGTGATGCTTTTGATTGATTCATTCCATATCGTGATCCTGCTAGGTATCCGCAAAGCATCCATGCCCGTGAAACTCCACTTAAATGTCTACCATGACGACTACCATCCACACCAATCCGACATCTGCTTATGCGACGAGGGTAGAGGCGGTGGCGCTCTCGTACCTCCAGGTAGGGGGGAGGGCACCGACGGTCTTGTAGTAGCGGGAGAGCTGGAGATGATTAGCACATGCTTTTGGTATGAGATCAGTCTGAGTAAACTTACACGGTGGATACGGGACTCGATGAGAATGAGGCGGAACTTGGAGTCGCGGTCCTTGCGGTTGGTCTGGAGGTGCTTGCGGACGGCAACGGCCTTCTTGATCAACATGTAGAGGTCCTCTGGGATGTCGGGGCTGAGGCCTTAAGCGCAAAATGTTAGCCTAGACCAACAAATGCAGTTTTGTATAGCGCGCAGATACTCGCGAGGAGCAGAGCTGTGTCGACATGCGCTTTCATGTGTATAGGGCTATCGTACCGTTCGACTTGAGGATTCGGAGGATCTTGTTGCCGGTGACAACCTTGACCTGAGCCACACCGTGCGAGTCACGGAGGATCTCACCAATCCTGCGGTTCTGTTAGCCATCCAATTCCGTATATTGTCCTTTCCATGCGATTGTCTTACTGAGATGGTGTAGCACCCTTCTTTGCGAGCTTGCAGATCTGGTCGACAACCTGCTCGGGGGTGGTCTTCAACCACGCCGGGGCGCTGCGGGAGTAGGGGATGGCGGAGGCTGATATGCCCTTTCCGTTGCTGTGAAGACGACCCATTTTGAATGAATGTTCCGGATGGCGACCTGGTCGATTAGTACGGAGACGTGTTGGTGGGCTTGGAGTCGTGGATGTGAAGTTCGCGATCGAGGACTCCAATTTCTCGCGGCTCGGCTAGGTCTGTGGTGGACCGTGCGTAATTAGTGTCAAAGCTCCAGCCTGACAAAAAGTCTGCGACGACCGACCTCGTCTTCTCACACCTCACGATGTCAAAACATTGAACTCAGCGTGCAAGCGCGACGCTCCCTGGCTATGTTGAAGCCAAACGACGGCGCATTGGAATGTGATTGATATCTTTTTGGAATTGCTTACCGTAAAGCCAGCTGCAGCAGCTTACCCTCAACGTATGTTTAACCCTACTTCCCTCTTCCGTCACAATGATGAGATCCAGTGCAATCGACGACTCTTATTTTAGGAAAGTTTCTAACAAGAAATAGACATACACATCATCTCTATCTGGGCTTTCTCTTGTATCTCATATTAGGTACGTACTTTCGCCGTTCTCTTCATCGCACAATGATGACACCCATATTACTTTTCGGTACCTCTTATTTTAGGCGCGCCCGTAAGGGCGTTGCCGGTGCATTCAACTTATACTCTGATATGCGATTTTCTCAACTTCTTTGTTACATGACACATTACTGGCGACATGGACTAACGAGAAGCAGCTTTTAGTGATACTTAGGCTCATCACATTCCGTGTCGGTCGGATTGCTCTTTCTTGTCGGCCTACATACACGCGGTTTCCCTTTCATAGCTCGTGGCTTCTGCATGCTACATACACTCAGGCCATAGTAGATACGTCAATGATAATACAACGTCTTCAAATACATCAAAACTACATCTTGCAAACAACATTGTCTCACGCCCCATCCATTGCTCGTACATTAGCCTCTTTCGATTATTCAGCATGAAGCATACAATACTAAGCACGATCATCCTCCTTCCCCTCGCCTACAGCAGGACCGCCAAAGAGCTATGTAGCGGTACCACTGAACTATCCTCCGATGGCAACTGGTACTGCTCTGAGGTCTGGGCCATCACCTACCGCAACATCAGTCAACCCGGCGCCTACAACCGAACCACAGCTGTCGATCCACAGACAGGTCTTTGTGGTCATGAACGTGTCAGCTACCCTAGCACAGGGCCATTGGCGCCATTGTTCGGACAGGTGTGACTTGGTTCGGGCTTTACATGTTGCATCACTGACAGCACCAGGTGTCGATGCACCTCCGCGGACCAATGAATGTCTCTCAGCTCGCCGTCTACCAACTCCCGGGTGAGATGCACACTATGAAGAAGCGAACTACTGTGCCCTTCTACAACCATCGGCGATCGTTGGAGCAGCCAGAGACAACAGTGGCCACGGATGCCACTACCAGGCCGACACAGTCAACATCGTCTGGCTGGTTCAACCTTTTCAACAGGAATGCATGCACTACGACGGCCAGCTGCACCTCGACGACAGTGACGCATACGGTCACAGTCAAGGCAGTCTGCTCCCCGACTAGCATCCCACAGTCTGCACCAAACACAACCTACGTAGGTCCCCGACTGCCGTGCTTGCCTACATCTGGTGCTGTACCAATCCCTGGCTCCACACTCCCAAACCCAAACTGCATCTGCGATGAAGATGAAGATCTCGATGCCATCCACCAGCGACCCAATGGGCAGGTTTATGTCAGTCGGACAACAAAACATGCATCGAAACCATCATTAACACAAGATACTTTGCCTGTGTCTCAGCATCCGGATGGACAGCCTTTTGATGTCCCCCCACCATCGTCATCGCCCATGGTGAAGAGACAGGCTTCAGATTGGGGGCGGATCGCGTACTATACCTCGACATCACCGGCTCAAGCAACTGGGTTCAGCTTTATGGCAAATCTGGGTGACCCCCAGAAGTCTGGTACTTTTGACTAGTAAGTCATTCCCAGTCTATGAGGCTTCGAGGCTGACATGTTCAGTGCATTCGGAAACTCGCTCAGCTACGTCACTCCCCGGGGTGACCAAGTAGCAGCTGAGAGTCAGCCGTTCGAAGGTACGCTGAAGACGTCTGAGAACGAGATCGTGGTCCTTTCCGATAAAGAGTGTGACGCAGAGTGTCCGTACTGGAGACCAGATGCAACATCTCACTACGGCTGGTCAGGCTCCTCGAAAGCCTTCTTCATTGAATTCCAGATGGACCACTACGACAATGTAGGCACAGACCAAGGTCTCCTCTCCGACGCACCGGCCTACTGGTTCCTCAATGCAGCCATACCACGCATCCTTCAATACGGCAACGATCGCAACAACGTCCCCTGTTCGTGCTGGACAACCGGCTGTGGCGAGTTCGACGCATTTGAGCTTCTTAGCAAAGGCGCCGAACGCGCAAAGTCGACTATACATCGGCAGGGCAATCTGGAGGGTGGTGACTCCAACTACTTCAGTAGACCGGTGGGCAAGAAGATGAAGTTTGCGGCTGTGTGGCATTATCCGCATATTACGGCATTGGTGTTGGACGACAACTTTGATTTTTCAGAAAGCATGTCGAATGATGCGATGGAAAAGTTGGTGGCATATGACCCGGATAGCTGGGTACATTCCCTGTATGCTATCGGAGACTGAGGGTTTCGAAATTCGTATGAAGACATCATGTATGTAGTTATACACCTAGCAGTACAATCGAAGTGGCCTCGAATTGCACAAGGACCCATTTGTTAGGTTCCGACGCGTGAGCGGTGCGACCGAGGCAGGCTCATGAGCAATGCAACAATCATCTGAAGACGGACATGGGCGATGCAGCGGAGTGGGCCGGCGATTGGAGTGGTGGCAAGCTGACGGATAGGCCTACCCAAGCGGGCACGAGAAACCGAGGTCTGTTCGCGACTCAGCGTCCGTGAACGACGACCAGCCGCATCCCGGCCGACAACATTGCGCATCTACTCATCGCCTCGACTCCCATCTACACACAATTCGCATCTAATCCATCCCCCGAATTCCTGCTCGCGTGCAGCCACTGTCGACGCGGATCCGCCCCTTGAGCGATTGCCAGTCTCGGCCGGCGCAGTTTCCCCGCAAAAACTCGCAGCCCCGATCGCCGCGAATTGCCAGCCTCTTGACGTTTGCTGACGACATCCGCCATCGTCTCTGCACAGTCACTCTCTGTACTGCGCACACAGCGCGGAGGAGGCACCCACGGAAACATGTCTGCGCCATCGCCGCCAAAGCCTTGGGAGACGAGCAACGGCGCGACGAGTGCCTCGGTTGGTGAGTCCGCCAGCCATCCGATACGTCAGGGACATCGCGACTAACAACAACACAGGCCTCACTGGATCGAATAGCAGCACAACACCCACTTCGACAGCCACATCCTCGAGCGCGCCTCCGCTACCATCCGTGCCGGACTCGCTCAGCACCGTCGCGAACCGCAACGCGTCCAACTACTCGGGCATGAACAACCGATACGGCTCCCCCTACAGCAGCGGATATGGGGGGATGAGCAGCTACAGCTCGCCCTACTCCAGCATGGGCGGTGGTTACGGCTCCATGTACGGTGGCATGGGCGGTATGGGTGGCATGTATGGTGGCATGGGAGGTATGGGCATGGGTATGGGCGGAATGTACGGCGGAATGGGAGGCATGCCGGGCGACCCAAACAGCAGCCTTACACAGTCCTTCAGCCAGAGCACAGCAGCGACCTTTCAGCTGATTGAGAACATTGTCGGCGCATTCGGCGGCTTTGCACAGATGCTTCAGAGCACGTATATGGCGACACATTCGTCATTCTTCGGTATGTCCGCCCCTTTCCAACCTCCAGCGATATGCTAACATCGGCAGCCATGGTATCCGTGGCAGAGCAGTTCGGAAACCTACGACAAACGCTTGGCTCGGTATTGGGCATCTACACAATAATGCGATGGATACGGACGGCAATCGCAAAGCTCACCGGACGACCCCTACCGGCAGACGCGACCGCCCTCACCCCCGCAAGTTTCGCAGCCTTCAACGGACGTATGCCCGACGGCTCGCCAGCCCCCGCTAAGCCTTCCAAGAAGCCATTCATTGTTTTCATGCTCGCTGTTTTCGGTCTACCCTACCTAATGGGCAAGCTCATCAAGGCGCTTGCACGATCACAAGAAGCCCAAGAGCAACAGAAGATGCTCGAAAACCCACAAGCCGGACAGCCGCTCGACCCCAACAAGCTCGAATTCTGCCGCGCACTCTACGACTTCACACCCAACGCCAACATGCAGGGAATGGACTTGTCAGTGAAGAAGGGCGACATGGTCGCTGTGCTCAGCAAGAGCGATCCCATGGGCAACGCATCAGAATGGTGGAAATGCAGGTCAAGAGACGGACGCATGGGCTACCTCCCTGGCATCTACCTCGAGACTATCCAGCGCAAGACCCCCGCACAGATTACAAGTGGTAGCCAGAGCGGAAGCCCAGCTGGTAGCAGAACACAAACAATGACGAACAGCAGCGCCGCAAGCAGGACTGCTACCATGACCGGAGCCCCAGTACCAGAGAAGGTCGGCCCGAAGATGGAGAGCAAGGCGGGCGATATGGGTGTCGAGAGTTTCCAGAAGGGCGCTTTTTACTCGTAGGCTTGGAGCGACGTCCTTGAGCGTATTCTTCTTGGTTCTACATTGCGTTTCTAGTAATGATTTTCGTTGCAGTGTTGTCTGCAGGTGTGTATAACTTGGCTGGGAAAAGCTACGGTATGGCGTACGGCGCGAGAGATATCACGGGTCGATCGAATACTATTTCGAATATTCAATAAATTATCTACCATGTTGCTGCATACACAGTGCTAAATTTTGATAAATGGTCACTTCTTAAGGTGACGTATAGTTCCAGACGCCGTGTTCCGTCCTCGCATCCGCGCGCCGCGTGAATCAACCTTCGCAACAAAGCCGAGCACCGAGACATCAGGCAGCGACCGCGCAAACAATTCACACATCCTATCACCTTTACCTCCAATCTTCCCGCCTTTTCCCTGTCGCCCACTCCAATCGTACGACCTGAATTCCAACCGCTCTCTCAATCCTAGCCTGCTACCCGATACGCGCGCGGTTGCCCCTCCCCCACACGTTGTCCACCCGCCTGCAGGGTCACCGCTTGTACATGAGCTTGTGAGCTGGACTGCTACCGAGGAACGAAGCTACGGTATACGAAGTGTGCACTGGATACGCTTGGAATCCAGCGTTATCAACGTACACCTACGGGAAGACTCTGAATTGAAGGACGCGCTGCTGCTGCATATCTCGAGATGTTCGCGTCGAAACGGTTGGGCAAGGTATGTCTTCTTGGTCTTGAGCTCTGGGATGGAGCTTGAGTGCAACGCGATTTATGTAAAGACGGAGAATCTAACGTGTATGATAGGAGCTCGCAAAGGTACCGTAATCTTCTCGTTCGTTGTCCATCGCCTGTCGAACCACGTTCCTGCACGCCAGACGCCTATCGACGCGCGAAAGTCTACCTACACCACCCAACCCCGATATGAACAAAACGGATGTGGGAATGTACATTCAGAGGAATAAAGTCGCTAATGGAATGCCGTATAGATGCACGAGAAACTCCCACCAGGCATCACGCTCATCAAAGCCGACGACTTCCAGACCTGGCTCATGGACATTCAAGTTATGGACTCGAATCCGTTGTACGAGGGCGAAACGTATCGGTTGAAGTTTAGCTTTACGCCGCAGTATCCTATTGAAGTACGTCTTCCCTTCCCATACTACCTGCTCACCACACCATCTCAAATCCTCCCTTCCTCCCCTCCTTCCACCCGTTCTTCCCATCCGCACCCTCCCCCGAAGCGACCCTTACTAATTCCCCTCTCCCCAGGCCCCCGAAGTAATCTTCCTCCGCGACGAAACCCACCCCATACCCTGGCACCCGCACATCTACTCCAACGGCATCATCTGCCTCGACCTGCTCGACCGCTCCGGCTGGTCCCCCGTCCACAACGTCGAGAGCGTGTGTGTGAGCTTGCAGAGTATGCTTACGAGCAACACGAAGAAGGAGAGGCCGCAGGGAGATGAGAACTTTGTTAGGTATAATACTCAACGGCCGAGGGATATTAGCTTTGTTTTCCACGATGAGAAGGTCTGAGGGGCAGAGGGACGAGGTGCTGGATGAGCATGAAGCATGGGATGGTGTTTATGGCGTTCATGATAAGATCAATGGGGGAGATTTATGGGAAATGGATATGATGTTACGGCTGAGGTCATGATAATCGAGTATTGAAAGTGATACTCTATGTGCGGCTTTTACTGTTCCCAAAGTCGTGAAAAGTCGCTCGCTATTGAGTACCATACTGTCGCCTTTGATGCCATTTCTACCAAAGAGTGCAGTCCATCACTTTGCGAAGTCGACAACAAGGAACGTGGCCATCTTCTATTCTGAGGTTCTACGAATACATCTTCGTAGTCAGGCTGTGGGGCCTATGGCTTTACTCATCTTGTCGACTACGTCGTCTCCTCCCACCAAGCTACGCTCCATTTTCGAACCATGTAGTCTGCACAACCCTTTTTTCCTACCAAGGATTGTAGATCCGCTCACTCACAGCTCTACTCTAAGCACCATTCCTCCGAGAAGAACCACACTTCCCCACTTGACCTTGTCAAAGGGCACCACAACATACCAACCGAGGAACTCGAGGAGATAGCGACTCTAACACGTGAGAAGAACCTTGAGTATCTGAGGAAGTACTCAACACAGGAGAGAGAAGACACCACCTCAGAGTTCAAGGCATCTCAGAAGACCGGGAATGCAAAGCACTATCCCAAGACCTACGCCAATCGACAAAAGGCTATCACAGACAAGACTTCTCATTGCGCGATATGCAAGATCTCTTGTGGTGATCAGGCCGACTTCGATGTTCATGGTGCTACGACAAGGCACAAGAGGGGGAACCGGGAGGAAGGGCGAGGATGGAAGTACTGCGCGCCATGTGGCAAGAACTTCAGGCGGGCGTTATATCACAATCTTCTACTCTACCCCCTTGTCAACCACAAACTCCTTGACGTACCAGTGATGTCTCAAGATACCCATCGTACCCAAACCAGCCAACTGCTGTGACACTTTGAACTTCGCCACCCCATGCCTACATCCCATCTTGTCAGTCCATGCTTTCTCATCCTTCCAGTCGTGACCCCTCTTGCGCTTCATGACTTCACATGCTGTCTATGCATCATCTGCGGTGCCCGAAATGGCTGTTTCGACAACATCGCTGCCAGAGGCGTCCACGGCGACGAAGACGGTCTGAGCAGACGTTGTAGACGTGCCGACGATGTCGCTGTGCTGTGTGACGATCTTAATGTCGCTGTTGTCGCCAACGTATTTGATATTCAAGGCGTCGGAGTAAGTCCGTACGTAAACTAGTGTAATCTTCCCGGCAGAAGTCATGGCTAGGGCACGAGTGGAGAAGACATCTAGGACGCGAGGGGTGAATGTGTCGAAGAATCTGCCTTTGTTGTAGATAGCGTAGTAGGGTTGGGCCGGTTGGGTGCGAGGCATTGTTGGCCGTGGTAGCTGGCTAGATAATGATGTGGGATCTCTACGACTAAGGGAGAAGGTTTAGAGAAAGGTTCGAACATATTGAATGGTGATCGAGATGTATCGTTGGGTATGCGGGTGGTAATGGTGTGTTACTCAGAACCGTGCCGTAAGCAGCCTTCTTGATGTGGCAATGCATATAATGGCAGCTCGCATGCACTGCTGTTACTAGTTGTAGGCCAAATTACAGTGAATAAATGTTAGTATCGTTCGGATCCTGGCAAACAGTCGGACTGGTACCAACGTTTCTGACAAATACATGGCAGTCCAAAAGCTTGGAAGGATCGATATGATGACCCTATGCGTATACGTAGGTATCAATGTGAAGCTGGCCATGGGTATAGCTTACCGTGAAGGAATTCATGGTTTCGTATCCGAATTCCAAGGATCTGGCAAGGAGATCGACATCTGAGTCTGGTTATGAAGATGGTGCCTCAAGTAGGCACCCTCGGCGACTTTGCTGGGTGGAAACTATGATAATGAACGCTTCAAGATCCAAGGGATGCTGAGATCCGAAAGTCGGATGCGTACCGGTGTAAATTTCCTGAGCTGGGGTGGATATACTTCACGACGAAGGTAGCCAGTCTTGGATCTGGCGTCCATTGAGCCGGCAGGAGGGGCAAGAAGATGGCTCAATTTCGAGACCTATGGCTCACTAGGATAAGTCTGCTGGACAACTACCGTACCACTCCACGCTCCAAATATTTTGGGATGATAGTGCCAGACATATACCAGCGTAGATTTGCAAGACAGACGACGATATAGGCAGGTCTTGTTTCAAACCTTCCCAGTGGCTGTCAAAGCTTGGCTGCGGGGCACCTTCTCTACATGTCACGGTCCGGACTCTTTTCTTTCTCAGCGGGCCGAGGCTGGGACGTATGTTGATGTTTGATGGGTGGTTTTTCATTGAGTATCGATAAGCGCCGCGCCAGGTTAACCGAGTTTGCCTAGCGTCATTCGCCGACACTACGAGAGATCCCTGCCAGGCCAATTTTTCTCTGATCGCTCGCCTTTAAGCAAGCGCGAAAAAGATTCCCAACCCTCTTTTCCACCTTCTCTCCAACACCTTCCTGCTCTTCAATTTTTCAGGTTGTTCCTTATACACATACCGCAATCATGAGCGACGAAGTCTACGAGGGTGCCATCGGCATCGATCTTGGTGCGTAATATTCGCGAATTACCCCACAGTGGGATGCGTGTGTGCTAACAATATCGCAGGCACCACCTACTCTTGCGTTGCCAACTACGAGGGCACCAATGTCGAGATCAGTATGCGCCCGCCACTCCTGCTATGAGAAGACCATTGTCTAACAATGTTTGCCCACAGTCGCCAACGAGCAGGGTAGCTTCACCACTCCCTCGTTCGTGTCCTTCACCAGCGAGGAGCGTCTCATCGGTGAGGCGGCCAAGAACCAGGCTGCTATGAACCCTGAGAACACCGTCTTCGATGTCAAGTGAGTTCTGCCATTCAATCGTCGCACGCGCACGATCAGCCGACTGACTTTCGCAGGCGTCTCATTGGTCGCCGATTCGAGGACGAGACCGTCACAAAGGACATCAAGTCATGGCCATTCAAGGTCGTTGACCAGGGCGGTAGCCCTCTCGTCGAGGTTGAGTACCTCGGTGAGACCAAGCAGTTCTCTCCCCAGGAGATCTCTGCCATGGTTCTCGTCAAGGTAAGATCTGCGCACACACTTAGCATGGCGGGGCAACGGCTAACAAAATCGACAGATGAAGGAGGTCGCTGAGACCAAGCTCGGAAAGAAGGTCGAGAAGGCCGTCATTACCGTTCCCGCCTACTTCAACGACAACCAGCGTCAAGCCACCAAGGACGCCGGTGCCATTGCTGGCCTGAACGTTCTCCGTATCATCAACGAGCCTACCGCCGCCGCTATCGCTTACGGTCTCGGTTCCGGAAAGTCTGACAAGGAGAGGAACGTCCTCATCTACGATCTTGGTGGTGGTACTTTCGATGTGTCTCTTCTTCACATTCAGGGTGGTGTCTTCACTGTCAAGGCTACCGCCGGTGACACACATTTGGGTAAGTTCTGGCTGTACGAGTTGCATGTGAGACATATACTGACTTCGTCACAGGTGGACAGGACTTCGACACCAACCTCCTTGATCACTTCAAGAAGGAATTCACCAAGAAGACGAAGAAGGACATCAGCGGTGACGCCCGTGCCCTCCGTCGTCTCCGAACTGCTTGCGAGCGTGCCAAGCGTACTCTCTCCAACGCCACCCAGACCACTGTTGAAATCGACTCGCTGTTCGACGGTGAGGACTTCAACGCCAACATCACCCGTGCTCGTTTCGAGGACTTGAACCAGAAGGCCTTCGCTGGCACTCTGGACCCCGTTGCCCAGGTTCTCAAGGATGCCAGCATCGCCAAGGACAAGGTTGACGAGATCGTCCTTGTTGGTGGTTCTACCCGTATCCCCAAGATCCAGAAGCTCCTCAGCGACTACTTCAACGGCAAGAAGCTCGAGAAGAGCATCAACCCCGATGAGGCCGTTGCCTACGGTGCCGCCGTCCAGGCTGGTATCCTTTCCGGAAAGGCCACCTCCGCCGAGACTGCCGACCTCCTCCTTCTCGATGTCGTTCCCCTCTCCCTTGGTGTAGCCATGGAGGGTAACATCTTCGCTCCCGTCGTTCCCCGCGGTCAGACCGTCCCTGTATGTATCGCCATCGCTGAAAAACATGACATTCGCTAACTTCGAATTTAGACCATCAAGAAGAGGACATTCACTACCGTTGCCGACAACCAGCAGACCGTAGGTTTTCGCTATGTATGAACTGCGTATAAGGCAAATACTGACTTCGTATTCAGGTCCAATTCCCCGTCTTCCAGGGTGAGCGTGTCAACTGCGAGGACAACACCTCTCTCGGAGAGTTCACCCTCGCACCCATTCCTCCCATGCGCGCTGGTGAGGCCGTCCTTGAGGTCGTCTTCGAGGTCGACGTCAACGGTATCCTGAAGGTCACCGCCACCGAGAAGACCTCTGGCCGCAGTGCCAACATCACCATCTCCAACGCTGTCGGCAAGCTCTCGTCTGCCGACATCGAGAACATGATCAACGACGCCCAGAAGTTCAAGTCCTCCGATGAGGCCTTCAGCAAGAAGTTCGAGTCAAGGCAACAGCTTGAGTCCTACATCTCCCGCGTTGAGGAGATGATCTCCGACCCCACCACATCCATCCGCCTCAAGCGTGGTCAGAAGGAGAAGATCGAGTCTGCTCTCTCTGACGCCATGGCTCAGCTCGAGGTTGAGGACGCCCCCGCTGATGACCTGAAGAAGAAGGAGCTTGCGCTCAAGCGCACTGTCACCAAGGCCTTCTCCACCCGATAAGCGCATCACATGACAGCAGCGCCACAAGGGCGTGCAGGAAGGAAGGAAGGGCGCACGTGCAGGATACCCAGACTGCGAGCTGCGAACGGAGTTTCATCTATTGCGGCATTTAACGATAGACTTAGTGTGTTTGGTTCCTTATCTTTCATGGGTTCCCGGTATTCAGGAACGCGGAAAAGTCTTCTTTGTACTTTCACGACGATGCCTGACGAAACGATCGTAATGGATGTTCTGCAAAAGTATGCCAGCGGTCAATGTCTCTTATGTAACTCACGAGGTAGCTACATGGAGAGAGTGGAAAGGAAATTGAAATGACTTCACTGAATACATCTTCGTTATGATTGTTGATGTGACTGCTATATTGTTGTGTTAGCCTCAGATTGTCTTTGCGACGAATAGCGAATACCTCCTGGCTCTATCATGGTTATGTACTACCATGCCATTCCAACACACTTCGAATCACATCAGGCTCTATCATGATACTTTGCCTGTCGCTGCCGATTGCAGTGAGTACCTCCAGGTCATACCGTAATTGGCATCTCGACGAGATGATGAGTCCATGTATTCTGCAGCTTCGTTAGCGCCCTTGACTGCTATTCGTGGGTGCGTACAATACCCACCAAGTCTTGGAGGCTTGCAGGATATCGAGCAGGCCATTCGCGAATTGAACCTCAGCCAAGTGAAAGACGTCAGACATCCCAGAGTAGGAATTGTGGTGCTAGATGCGGCGGATGTGCAGCCAAGAGCCCGAGTTGAAACGGGCCCAGATTAGACTTAGGATGAGCTGCACAAGACCTACTGGTGCGGATATCATCCTCTCTGGCGATGTCGTGGATCAGGGTGATTGTGTCGATGCAACGAGGGTTGCTAGGGAACATTCGAAGGGAGAGAACGGGAGCACAAGGAGAGAAGAAGTGACCGCTCTCAAGAAAAGGGACTTATTAGGAGAGTTCATATCGACACCTACGCGCTATCACATACCACCACCACCACTATCTCAAGCCTTGAACCTCTGCTTCTCAATCGCACTCCCTACCAACCCCTCCCCTTTAACCACATTCGTCGCACAAACCACAATCCTGCTCCCCCTCCCTTCCCCACCACTCTCCTTCAATTTCTCGCCTACAAACCTTAACGCCGCAATCTCAGCCCTCGTGACACCACCCAGGAAGAAAACGACGATAGTCTTGTTCTTCTCACCTGCACTCCCATTCAACAGCTGTCGCGCTTTGACGGCCTTCTCCTCGCCCTTTTGCGTCTCATCAAATGTGGCGCCGCGGATGTATTTGCTTGCATCGTCGAAGATGCGGAGGCCTTGGGCGAGGGGGTTGGCTTGTGCGCTTGCGCGGGGGTCGGAGGGGGGTTTAATGGCGTTGGCGAGTGTGTGCTTCTGGATGATGGATTGGATTATGCGGACGCTGAGGGGTGCGTAGCCGGAGAAGGTGTAGCTGATGTCGTTGGGACTTGCTTCGTTTACATCGTCATCCCAGAGCTTTAGACTCTTTCGCAGGGGCGTGTAATTTGTTACGCTACCGGGCTTCGCTGGCGCGCCTACTCCGCCTAGACTCACGCCGCCTCGTGGGCCTAGTAGGCCCATCTTCTCGAGGGAGGCGAGGGTCAGGATGTGCTGCGGACCGTAAGCTTGGATGATGGCGCGTTTGAAAGCCTCGAGATCTTTCGGACGAATGCCGGCGTTGGTGGTGGACTCTAGGCAGAGCAAGCGGAGTATAGCGGGGAGCGGTACATCGCGGTTGATGAGCTCGTTGATGAGATCGTGCTGTGTCGTTGGGTCGGCGCCGGACATGATGTTTTGTTGCACTTCGAGGCTTCGCGTGAAGATGTCGGTGCGTGTAAACTTGATAATCTCCTCAGCCAAGCTAGTGTGTAGTTTCAAGCTTGCTTGCTCGGCCTGGTAGCCCGGCAACTTGGCGACGAAGTCACGAAGCTCTGAAGTCGTCTTTGTAGCAAGCTGGTCACGTCCTGTGCTGCTCTGCAGACGACGAGCCGCTTGATTCAGCAGATTGCCGACGATAGCAAAGTTTGCATCGCCCAGATCGGCGTATAAAGCGTCTTTCGAATCAATCATGATTTTGCGCTTCATACTCGTAGATGCTGATCCAGTCTGGCCTTGCTGAGGTTGGGCACCGCCTGCTATGGAAGAGTCGACTTCCGTCTGGTTAGCGGTGATGTTAAAGACCTCATCGATGAGGCCTTCGTACGTCAACTGAGTCAGTAGCACTGTCGGGAAGTCGACTTCCCGATCAACGATGATGAGGCTGTCAATGTTGGAACTAGGTGCTAAGCCCAGGAATGATGGTCCGCCGCCGGCAGAGGTCTCACCAGCCGTGACTTCGGTACGCATACGGATGAGTAGGTCGGCAAGCCGCTTGCCATTGTCACCTTTTCCGATGATGCGCGGGAAGAGACCATACTTCTGCTGCTGAAGCATGAGTGCTTTGGCCGACAAGTAAATTGCAGTAGGATCTTTCTTCTACGCAATATTAGTAACACATCCACATCAGATGCAAGACGCACATACAAGATATAGGTCCGACACAGCATCTTCAAGTTCAAGCGATAGCACATCATCTGCAAGCGGCACGAAGAACAGCGGCCATTCGCTCACGCTAGCTTCACCCAAGACACCCGCTTCTTCAAGCAGTTGGTCCGAGGTCATAGTACGGCGCGGCACCCAGAAGATGGAGAATTCATGTTCAATTTGGCTGTCTCGCCGTATACGTTTGATTTGATCTATCTAGTATGTTAGCACCGTACAATAGACTGCTCCTACATGGAGATGAAGGGCAATCCAAAAGAAGTGCTATGTTCAATCTAGGGATCAAGACTGGCTAGGCAGAGTGGGTACGATCTGTCTAGCCTACTTTTTGACCCAAAAGCTCCGAATGCCGCGAGGCAAATGGAAGAGAACAAGTAAGGAAGCCGAAGGAGCTTCACTTACCAGCAACAGCCATTACAGTCTTCGCTTTCTCGCCTCTAACAAGGAAGACGATGTTGCGCTGAGAAGAGTCGACATTGTCGTTCTCAAGGAAGAAGGGCTTGTCGACGCCATATTCCTGGAGCGTGGAGAACTTGACAAGCAAGTTCAGCGGGCCTGCGAGAGCTTTCTCTAGCACGAGGTTCTTCTTTCCTCTGATCTGTCCGCACGCGTTAGATGGTGCAGCGATCTGCGACGTTGATATTACCTTACACCCTCGAGCAGAAGCAGCAGCTCCCGGCGCGCTTTTTCAGTTATATCCGCCGCATTGAGAGGTGTGATGGGCGCCATCTTCGCCGCTGTATCATGAATTACAGCTTTTACGAATGAGCCTCAGATGCATGACTACATGCAGTCGCCCTTGTGATGTGAAGGTCGATAGAGAGTGAGGAAGAGGTGGTTGGATTTTCGGCTCTTAAGCTTTGAACTCAAGGCACGTGCACGATGGAGTCTTGGCAGAATTGTGGATATACGGCCAACGGATGCGATCGATGAGCTTCACTTTGGGTTGGAGTTTACAACATGGAGGTTGATTGCATCAGAGTACTAGGGCCAGCTTTTGGATTCTTCAATTTGGTCATGCCTGATCAAAAGCTTATGTATCATTTCAGCTACCTCGGCTCAGTTCTTATAAAGGGTGCATCTATCTATAACACAGGGGTATACATCAAACCAACAAAACACACGAAGGTTGTAGATCTATGCTTCTCTTCTTTATAATTCCACATAAGGATAATCACGTTCCTATAACGCTCCTAGAGCCCGCAAAGCAGTACGAAGCTCCTTCACAGCTGTATCCGCATCTTCAAAGTTCATCGCAGAGATGGCCCATTTCGCGTGCTTTGTGGCTTCCATTATGGAGTCTTCATCGTTCCTGAAAGGGCCCTGCAATGATTGCTGAAGAGGAGGTTGCGGTTGAGCGTATGGATTCTGCTGGGGTGTTGATTGGTACTGCGGCTGAGCAGGCTGAGAGAATCCGCCTTGTTGGTACTGTTGTTGAGGCGGCTGTGGCGAGGGCGAAGCGTACTGAGATTGCTGTGGGGGTGCTCCGAAGCTGGAAGATAATCTCTGAGGCTTTTGCGGGACTTGTGGAGGCGTAGGAGATTGGTATGGGTTTTGAGGTGGTGGCTGTTGAGGAGCCTGCGGGTTCTGATAGAAGCTTGCAGGATCTAATGGTTCTGGGGCTTGTGGTGGCTGGGGGCTCGTAGGCAGAGAAGAGGTCATGGGGTCTACGTCCATGGGTGCGGTTGGTAGGCCTGGTGCTGTCGTCTCTGCTGTAAATGTAGGAGGATCAGGAGCATCGGTCCTCGGAAAGTATCCACCACCGATCGAGACTACGGAGCCTTGCCTCGAGGTGGCAGGTTGCGATATTGGAGAGACGTCGTTGTGCGATGATTGAGTATATCCGGTAGGCGCAGAAGGGAGGTTGGGAGGTGGTGGTGATACTTGGCGTGCGGAGAAGTTGGGCGACGGTTGGGTCGAGGTATTCGGTGCTGTCTCTACGGATGGTTGGTATGGGTTCTGAGGCGGGGCGCCTTGATTTATGCGCTGGACTTCTGGGTCGTTCGGATCTAGAGCAGAGGGCGACATGGGCTGTTGCGATGTTTCCTGTACGGGGTTCGTCGCATTGGGGTCTTCGTTGGCCTTGATGGCTTTGACGATGCGTAGCGCGTGATATTTGGCAAACTTTGTTTTGGAAGTGATCTCTGTGTCGTTGTTCTTCCATATCGACATTATCTCGAGGAATGTGGAGGCGGCGAGGAGGGTATCGGCTGTCTGTCTGGAACGATGTCAGATCGAAGGAAGGCGATAAGGCTGTACGATTGGTACGTACCCATTCACTCTATTCTCAGCCATCTCCCTTTCTGCCTTTGCGAGAGTCTGTAGCGCAAATTGTTCGCAGTACGCGCTCGCGACTGTGTCGTCCAGCAAGGCATCCTCGTTGGGGTTCTCGGCCTTTGCTTGCTCCAGCTTTTCCATGAGATCGGTCGTGTAGGCGGTGCATTCTTGGTCAGCCGAGTGTAGTCCACCGGCAATAATTCTTTGGACGATGTAGAAGCGTACTGCCTAGTTTTAGCATACAATCCTCTTGTCAACGCGCGCGGTACTCACACCAGTAGGTGATGATGGGCTTGAATCGCTCGAGCTGTGCCGCGCGTTTCGCAAAAGACGCGAGCTGTAGGCTCTTGAGCTTTGCCGGTACTGTGTCGGCCATTGTGTCGTATAGTGTGTGCTAGCAAGACGTGGATGTTTAGTCTGGAGATGGATGCGTAGAGATGCAGGCAGCTAGAATGCGGTCATAGGCGCTAGTCCGGACTCTGTACCCCTGTCTCCCCGCATCTCAGCTATGGCCATGTAACTTATGGCAAGCTGTTACAAGTGAAAGAAAAGGCCAACCTGGCAACTCCGCCATGTGAGGCTATATCAACACTGCGGCGGCTCACCTCCTGCTTACTCCCCATCTCATCTACACGCATCTCTACTTACACCGCAAACATGGTCCGCGCAACCACGCTGTTCGCTGCCACGGCCGCGCTGGCCCTCAATGCCCACGCCGAGAGCATCTACGGTAAGAATAGCGCTGTCGTCCAAATATCTGGCATGGACTATGACCGAGTGATCGCAAAGTCGAATTACACTTCTGTATGTGTACCCCCAATCTACTAATAAGGACTAGCTAACAATGCCATAGATTGTTGAGTAAGTCATACCCCATCGTCATCATGTCCCTTCCTCACACGCCCCAGATTCTACGCGCCATGGTGCGGCCACTGCAAGAACCTCAAGCCCGCTTACGAGACGGCCGCCAAGTCCCTTGCCGGTATTGCTAAGGTCGCCGCCGTCAACTGCGATGAGGAAATGAACAAGCCCTTCTGTGGAAAGATGGGCGTCCAGGGTTTTCCTACGCTCAAGATTGTGCGACCGGGCAAGAAGCCCGGGAAGCCTACAGTGGAGGACTACCAAGGACCTCGTTCGGCCAAGGGCATCGTCGACGCCGTCAAGGACAAGGTTCCCAATATGGTGAAGAGGGTGAACGACAAGAACCTAAACGAGTGGCTGCAAGAGAACAAGGACACTGCAAAGGCTATCCTTTTCAGTGAGAAGGGAATCGTCAGTGCCACACTACGTGCTCTAGCGATTGACTTCGCTGGGATCGTCTCGGTCGCACAGGTTAAAAAGTCGGAGAAGGCAGCAGTGGAGAAGTATGGAATTACCGACTTCCCAAGCTTGATCCTCATTCCTGCGGGCTCCGACACCCCCATCAAGCATGGGGGCAAGGCTGACAAGGCAGCCATGGTCGAGTTCCTCTCCCAAGTCGCCCCGCCAAACCCCGACTGTCCACCCGGCAAAGAGAAGAAGTCAAAGGCCAAGAAGGATACCAAGAAGGAGTCTAAATCCTCTAGCAAGTTTGCCAAAGCCTCGGCTTCACACAAGTCAGCAGACTCATCATCAGCCGCGGCGTCAGCAACAGATGAGACTATGGAGAAGCCTGGCATGCCTACCGAGTCTCCTGATCCAAATGTCAAGGACGAGAACACCCCCGACCCGATCGAGCTTCCAGTAGAAGAAACCAAGCCCACTATTCCTCTCGTATTCGAATCTGCCGAACTTCAGACAATGTGCTTGACCGAACAGAGCAAGACCTGCATTTTGGCTCTCCTTCCCAAGGACGAAGCCTCGGAATCTGCAACCACTGCCATTGCATCCCTTGCGTCTATCCACAAGAAGTATGACGCTTCCGGCAGCCATCTCTTCCCATTTGTCGGCGTTTCGTCCACGAACCCACTTGCTGCCACCCTGGTCGCGGAGCTCGGTCTCGGAAGTGCAGATGGCGTCCACCTTATCGCGACCAACGGAAAGCGCGCATGGTACAAGAAATACTCCAGCAGCTCTTTCGGGACTGATGAAGTAGAGCAATGGGTCGATGCTATCCGCATGGGTGAAGGTAAGAAGGAGAAGCTACCTGACTCCCTTCTGGTTGCTGGTGAGAAGCCGGCGGCCAAGGACGAAAAGGTAGAAGAGCAAGTCAAGATTGAGGTTGAGGAGGTCCCAGAAGACGTCTCACAAGATCCGGAGACACCTGGCCATAACGAACTTTGAGTGGGAAAAGCGAGCGTACAGTAGGGGAATTTTCATGTAAGAGGTATACCAATGGATTGATCTATTTACTCTGTTGAACGAGCTGAAAGGTATTTGTTACTCTTGATTTACTTTTGAAAATTTCGAGATCCTTGTAGGATTCACGCTGCGTACAACAGTATCACATCTTCCGCTCAGGCGATGTCTTTGACCTTAGCCGTCCGGTCTGGCCCACTACACAGCCCAGCACCATTTCGGCTATTTACGCACACCCCTGCCACATTCCGCATGAGGGACTATACGAGACGCATGCTATACAGAACTTATCAAACGGGCGATTGCTCCTGCCCATCCAAGAGGCATGTGTAAATGCACGTGCCCTGGTCCTTTACCTTGCACACACTTACTATGCGCATGCCTGCCTCGAGCACAACCTCATCATCAACAGATATCACTCAACCATGTTATCAACTCTTCTGTTTGCCCTGAACGTCGTGCACGGGACAACAGCATGCCAGCGGGAATTGCGCGGCCTTGATCTCGGCCAGCAGTTGCGACAGCTTCCTGTATTGCCTCGCCAGACAGCGCTATTCCCCCCAGTATGGAACGAGAATGAGAGGATTCTACACACATCCTTCTCAACTGCAACTATAGATGCATGGTCCTCTTGCTATACCCATGGCGACCACATCGCTGGACGCAACAAATCCATGGCGGAGAAGACCGCAAAGACGTGGACGGAGAATGGGGTACCTGCCTCACTCGTAGAGTATGAAGTATTCCTCAATTACCCAAAAGAGCAGAAGCTGATCCTGAAGACGGGCAATCTCACTCAACATACGGCTCAGCTGTACGAAGATGCTTTACCGGAGGACGACACGACAAGTTACCCACAGAGCCTAGCGTTGCCAGCATTCCATGGCTATTCTGCTTCTGGCCAAGTAGAAGCAGAGTACGTCTATGTTGGGTAAGTGGCTTATCATCCTACTATGAACGATTTTTGCTAACCTTTTGTAGTCGTGGCCACAAAGACGACTTTGCTGCACTCGTGGCGGCCAACGTCAACTTGGTAGACAAGATTGCCCTTGCCAAATATGGTGGACCGTTCCGTGGTGTCAAAGTTCGCAATGCAGAAGCCCATGGCATGGTAGGAGTCGTCATGTTCAGTGATCCCGGGGATGACGGGCCGCAGGTGGCAAAGAGACAGGCTGCATACCCCAGTATGTCTTCCTTTGCACTTTGATTATCGTACGTACGTATCGCTAACCCCGAGCAGATGGTCCAGCACGCCAACCTTCCTCCGTCCAACGAGGATCTGTTGCGTACATCAATCAGTACCCCGGTGATCCAACAACTCCCGGATATGCATCAAAGCCTGGCGTCCAGCGTGTCAGCACTCCACCAAATCTTCCCAAGATTCCATCTTTGCCCATCTCCTACCGCGATGCGTTACCCCTTCTGAGAGCTCTGGATGGGTATGGCGTATCAGGAAAGTCGATCAAGCGAGATGGGTGGATCGGCGGTTTGGCTGCAACTTATAGCACTGGGCCTGCATCAGGCGCCACTCTTGCTCTCACCAACTTCATGGAAGACAAGATTACGCCAGTTTGGGACGTCATTGGCATCATCAACGGTACGAATGCAGACGAGACTATCATCATTGGGAATCATCGAGATGCATGGATCGTCGGCGGAGCAGCGGATCCGAACTCAGGCTCAGCTATCATGATCGAAATCACGAGGGCTTTTGGAGAACTGCAAAAGACTGGTTGGGTGCCTCGTCGAAATATGCAAGCCTACAAGACCTTGTCAATTCACCCCAAGCTAACTTCTCTCCAGCGTCTTCGCATCCTGGGACGCGGAAGAATACGCCCTAATCGGCTCAACAGAATGGGTAGAAGAACACGCTCCCTGGCTCACCGCCACAGCCATAACCTACCTCAACGTCGACATCGGCGTCGCCGGTCCTCTTCCCGGCGCAGGCTCCACCCCCGAACTCCGCACCATCGCCCAAGATGTCATGAAGAAGGTCATCTATGGTAAAAGAACTCTTTACGATGCATGGTACGATCTCTACCGTTTCCGCCCCGAAGACAACGGCTTCACCAACCTGGGAAGCGGAAGCGACTACACCGCTTTCCTCCAACTGGGTATCGGTGCGCTGGACTTTGGAATGGATGCATCGATTACCACACCGGTTTATCACTATCACAGTAATTATGACTCGTATCACTGGATGAAGAGTATGATCGATCCGGACTTCAGTATTCATGCTACTGTGGGTCAATGTATCACGCTGCTGGCGTACCATCTAGCAGACGACGCTCTTATTCCGTTTGATATGGATACGTATGCCCGCAACATCAATTACTGGATTCGCGACCTTGTAGGCGAGACGATGGGTCGTCCCGACAGTGGTGAGCTTCAACGCCAGATTAAGCTTAACGAGCTTGCGGCTGCGGGGAGAACGTTCCAACAAACTGCCTCGGACTTTGCGGACCGGACGACTGAGAAGGCGTTTTTGAATGACGAGGGGAGGGTACAAAAGGCGAACCGCATCATGAGGGACGTGCAGCGACTTTTTGTGAGAGCAGAAGGCTTGCCTGGACGGCTGTTCTACAAGAACGCGTTGTATGCGCCGAATCGGGATGATGGTAAGTGTGTTGCGCTGGGTTGTGAGCAACGACGACTGACGGGAGACAGGGTACAAAGCGCAAATGCTTCCTGCGAGTATGGAGGCGCTTCAAGACGGGAACTTGACGCTGTGTCTGGAGTGGAACGTCTGGCTTATGGAGGCGATTGATAAAGCGGCGAAGTTATTGGCGACAGCTTGAGAAAGTAGCCAAGGAGAATGGAACGCTATTGCGGCACGTTGGGTAGGATAGGTTCATTGCTGGTATCGCAATAGCGATCATGGAAAGGAATGAGGCCCTGCTTTGCCGTGCGACAATTGTATCGATATGCGCAAAATTGATCATATACGTACCCATGCGGAGGTTCTGCGAGACGCTCCAACAAACGTATGAAACAAAAGGCTTCAGAGGCACTTATCGTGTAAGAGGGACTTTGTGCGCATAAAGAAAACCAACCATATGAAGCGACATGTGCCGCTCCTCCTTCCTCAGGTTGCTACCGACTATCTATATAGCCACCCGTGGGTGTCTTCGCCTCCTCAACCTACCTTCCTACACCCAAGCGTGGCCGCAATATTACCAACATCATCTAAGCGCCTTCAAATGTTCTCTAAAAACTTCAACTTGGATCTGATGTGCAGCTCTTCCAGAATCCCGTTCAACCGTACGATTCTGACGTAGACTCCTTCGATCGCATCTACTCAAAATCTAGAGAAGCCAAAGGCATGCGCTGCGGAAACCTTAAAACCGGCTTGGAGATGCCATGGTTGGAGCCAGTGTGGAATGAACAATCCTATGCTATTGGCGAATGTGCTTGCGCGCACAAACGGAATAGCAATAGCGCTTGGACGATTCCTTGGGCTATATAATGACTACCACACTAGTTATTGCTTCTATACATCCCTACTCTGGAGCGTTCTCCAAAAGTACCATGGTTCTGGTGCATGTGTGACTGAGAGAACCGAGATCGATTGCCATCATGGCTGCGTCTTTTGTCCTGGCTTTTGAGACTACGTCCATGGAAGATGTTCAAAAGTCGGTCGCATACCGATTCCAAAGAACTGCAGTCATCAACATAGTACATTATGAATCGATTGAGCTGCTGAAATGATACGTCGCTGTTGCATGACACACCAAAAGTATATTGGGAACATTTCATAGTAATATCCGTGCCCCGGTGTTCAACAACCTCTCATTACTCATCAGCCATGGCGTCCGAAAGACCAGAGGAGCACAGTCAGACTGCATATACACGAAGTGGCAAGACACGAGTGGACTGCATCGCGTGGAATTAGAAATCGTTAATGATGACGCATCGTCGCTGTCGAAAGACCAACAGCGAGACCGAAGATACACGGCAAGAACATCGACCCTGGATATTGTGTACATCCTTAAACTCCAACATGTCCGAAACCTGTCTCATAGCGTACCGTTAATAGAATTGCTTCCAGTCTCCCCAGATGATATCACCTTCGTACTTCTTCATAAGCTGACCCGTGGGATCTTCGCCCTTGACATGTGCCCATGCGCCGGCGAAATGCAAGACGAACTTGCCTGGCTTCCACTCGCCCTCTTCATTCTCGAAGCAGGGTATGTCCTTTGGAAAAGCGTTTAGCCTCGACTGGGGCGCCACGACGTGTCTGCCGGCATATGGTTGCTCCTTGAGCAATTGTACCATGACATCTTGTTCGCTATAACTCTTGCTCTCGTGGCTCTTCTCAGATTCTTCGCGTATTTGGAGTGCGCGACGGACAAATTCGAGCGATCGGTCGTGTGCGCGGACGATGAAGGATCCGAGATTCAGGCCGTTGCAGTCGTGTGTAAGGATGTAGTCGACTTCGTTCGCATTTTCGGCTTTTTCTAGCTCGTCTCTGATTACGTCGGCGACTGCGACTCCAGTATCGGTGATGAGCGTGTCAAAGTCTAGCCACCATATCCAGTCGTATTTGTTGGTTTTGACCAGCCGCTCTACCATGTCGAACTTCCAGTATACAGGGCTACGCGGCTCGGAGTGCGCTTCAAAGTCGGTGATGAAGTCGTAGCCGTGACGTCGCGAGTAGTCTATTCAGTCTATGTGTCAGTTTTATCACATTTTTCGACAAGGCCAGGCTTACGGTCTTTGTTCTTGAGCGACAAGTGGAGGTAAGATCTCTGATCCGTGACAAAGGTCATAACGGCGATCCGCAGATGCTTCTTCTCTTCCTTAGCCGGAGGTGGAGGTGGTGGTGGAGGCTCCTCATGGCTCGGACCTTGACTGAGTTGCCATCCCAGGAAGACGAGGAAGACAAGCAGGACAAGGAGCGACGGCGGTATCTGTCGCGCTGAGCGGATGAGCATGGTTATGTCGAGCGCAATATGCCTAATGTGTGGAAGGGGTGGAGGAATAATCTCGCTGCAGCACCTATACAGCCGCAAAGGACATAATTATCGTGAATGGTAGTACTCGGGATGGGAGCCAAGCGTGCGAGGTGCGCGGGATTGGATGCGGGACAGAAGGCCAAAAGGGAGCCATCGGGCCATGGTCGAGAACATGCCCGGATTTCAGCTGCGGAGGCGGCCGCGTGTCCAATCCGGGATGGGGCCAGCGGAAGCCAAAGGGTCGAATTTGAATTTCGTTGTAGACGATTGATTGCAGGTACATCCAGGTCAGCATCTCTCCGAGTGGTCGATACGAGATACGGCGGGCACCAAGTGGAGAGCGTTCGGCCCAGGAACGCGGTGCGGTGCCTTAGGTGACCTCACACCCCGCTGGTCAGGGTTCAAGCTCGGACCACGATTGCCCCAGCCGCTCTATTACCAGCCATCTTTGTCTACTTGGATACAAACATGACCCTCCACACTAGTATCGAACCAACACTGACATCACCACGACCTCTTCCTCACTGAATCATCATGTCTGCTTCTAGAGGAGGACGTGGCGGCGGCGGCGGCGGCGGCGGCGGGCCACCCAAGGGCCAGTTCCTAAATGGTGTTTGGCACTGCAAGTCACATCACTTGAAGAAATGAGCATCACTGACGATGATTAGGCGACTGCAATCCCCGATTACCAGCAGTACACTTCGAGACCAAGAAAGCAGGTCCAAACAAAGGAAGATGGTGTATGTCACTCTTCTCTTGCTCTCCAGCTAGCTCTCTAACGCGCACCAGTTCGTTCTTGCCAAAAGCCTCAGGATTCAGAAGATCGATGCAAGTTTTTTCTCTGGGATGATCAGGCGCATACTAGGGAGCAGAGCGCTCTCGCAAACAACTCTCGCACCGAATCTGGCCCTGCCAATCCAGCTCCCACCAACCCGGTCACGCCTTCCCGACGCCCGCCCTCTCCTCCACCACCTTACACTATTGAAACGACCCCGGCCGCATCAAGTCGCAAGCGAACACGACCTAGCAACGACGATTTCGATGATGAATACGGCCTTGGGCAGGTTAACGACGATGATATGAATCAGGCCATGGTCGAGGCAGAGACGCCGAGCAAGGCTGCGAGGACGACCAACTTCACGACCCCTGCACCAAAAAGACAGAAGCTCCCATGGCAGATGGAGACAGGTAGTAGCTCTAGAAACAATGGACTGCAGACGCCCCAAACCGACCGGAGATCCCCAGGAGAAAATCCGTTCGCACCGAGACACCCAACACCAAGCGGCGCTCTTTTTACTCCTTCATCCAACGTTGATGCAAACGAGCACCATCAGACCGCAACCCCGTCAACTTCGTTTGACGCGACTCCCACTCCAAATCGGTTCAGAAATGCAGTGAACGAGGACGTTGTCAAGGACGTCTTCGACTTGCTGCAAAACAGTAGCACACGCCTCGCAGACTCTACCGAGAACGAGCTCAGAACTCTATTAGCCCGTCACGCCAAGAACACTGAAGGATACAAGAGAGGTCGCGACGTCAGCCGTAGCACTGTCAAGGCAAAGGAAGCGAAGATTACGGAGCTGACATATCGCATCAATACACTCGAAGCCGAGCTCGAAGCGGAAAAGGCCATGGTCAAACATCTCCAGTGGGAGGCACAACACGAGTCCGACACCTGATCGCCTCGAAGTACACGATCCCAACACTCGACTTGCGCTCCACAAATCAACCACAACAAGTCTGCAGGTTTCATCGGTCATGTACTCCAGTAGAGCACATCACCCACGTCCATGATGTCACTGAAAAGGCCCACCCCCAGATCACACACTGCATGTGTTACCGAAGTGGTGGGCTGCCCCACTGTTCCCGTCGTGCTGCGAAGCATGGCTCACCACACTTGCATCCTGCGCGAAGCCAACGCATCCGACGCGGATTGCATGGTACGCCTGAGGTCGGCTGCGTCGGCTCTTAAAAGGGGCTGTTGGGCGTTGCCGCAGGTCCCCATTCACGAAGACACGTTCTATGAAGGGACTCAATTTGCCCCGTGCGGTGGTTCCTGAGCACGCCATCAGAGTTTGCGATTTTCCATAAGCACTTGGATTGCTTGAATGGTGAGCGCGAAGTCAACGCGGATGAAGGAGCGATCGTGACGTGACAGCCGCGGCGGAACCGAGCTACGCCCAGCATTGGCACGCGGAACTCGGCATATAGACAGAATGCAATTCGTCGGAAGCCTTTCGACCCCAACCATCTTACGTACGCCAGGCCTTTGCCGAGGAGCCTTTCTCCACACCCTCCCCGGCGGAAGCTTGGCTATCAACGGTGGCCTCCGCTAGTTCACTGAAATCCATGTTCTTGCCCCATGAGGTTTTGTGAATTACCAGCAAGAAAAGCCATCTTGCAGGAAAAGCTTGTTTTGTGTCATGGTGATTGCTAACGTCGGGGTTGCCGTAGTCGTACCCCGGTGTAGGATCGGGTGGGTCAACCATGCGAAGTGAACTGGGAAATGCAGGGAAATCGCAACCCATTACCAACATGAACCGAACGTGGGTTTGAAGAGATTGGTACGATCTTGGCGGACGTAGTGGGGTGTTTGCCCTGAACAGGATACAAAGGTAGTTCACTTCTCAGATCTTATGTCGAGGCCAGCCCTCGTTTCACCCTCTCCTGTAGAAGGGTCAATTTGGGATCGTTGCTCCATTCCCGGTACTTCCTTTTGTTGAAGCCCAGCTTTCCATACCCCACCTCGACTGTCGCTTGAAGGTGGTTTGTACAAGATGGCGATGCGATTTCTGCGAAAGATAGGCAACTATCTCGCGCCTCAAGCTTCGAAAAGCGAAGATGGCCGTGACCAGTGGCCCTCAAGAGCAGCCTTTCTGCTCGCTGCCATGGGCGGTTGTGCAGGACAAGGAAACTTGCTCAGATACCCCAGTGTGCTATACAACAACTATGGCCTTCAATGGTTCATCCCATATCTTCTGGCCGTTTTCCTCATTGCTATACCGGCGCTCATCCTGGAAGTGTCAATTGGTCAAGCGTACCGTGGTGGTACTGTCATTGCATGTAAGACAGCTCGTGTGGCGATTACGTATGGAATGTCAGCTAATCATCTGCCGCTAGTCAACAATATAAACCGTCGTCTCAAAGGAGTCGGTATGGGGCCTGTTATCGTCAGTTTCCTTGTCGTCCAGTACTTTACTGTTAACTTGGCATGGTAAGCAATGCTTCTATGCAAGATTGACGTCTCGTCTTTACTTACATTGTCACTAGGATCATGAGATACTTCCAAGAAAGCTTCACGAGCCCCTTGCCATGGGAAAACCGCATCGAGGATTTCTACTACAAAGACGTTCTCCAGCGCGGAGAAATCAACGAGGGAAGCCTAACACCGGATGGCAACTCCGTAGCTTCATTCACCGGTTATCCCAACGGAGCTCTGATCGGCTCAACTGTCGGGTGGAGCATCTTTGTATGGTTTCTCATCTGGATATCCATCTTCCGTGGAGTCGGCATGACCGGCCGCGTCGTATACTTCACGATGGGACTACCCATCGTTACCACCATCATCTTCGTTGGACGAGCGCTGTCTCTTCCCAATGCAAGTGAAGGTGTTGCTCTTGTTTGGAGAACGTGGAGAAGCGACCAACTCGCCTCCGGTGTCGTATGGCAGACGGCTGTTGGCCAAGTCTTCTTTTCCACTGGCATCGGCTTCGGATACTTCACGTCATACGCCAGCTACAACACAAAACACGCCAACGCTGTAATGGACGCTTGTCTTATCTGTGGTAGCAACGTGCTATTCGAAAACTTCGCTGCATTCGCCGTCTTTGGCGTTGTAGGCTTTCTCGAAAGGTGGCCGCAGGACGGTGAGCGACTCGGCGCCTTTGTTGTGGGTTTCTTGACACTGCCCGAGGCGGTGCTACAGATGCCTGGAGCGAATTTTTGGGCCGTGCTCTTGTTCTTCACGCTCATTGTACTCGGTTTCAGTTCGGCTTTTGTCATGCTTGACGTTGTTGTCACGCTGATCTGCGACTCTGGCATGGTCAAGGCTTCGAGACCTGTCGTTGTTACTGCGCTGACCGTACTCTCATTCTTGATGTAAGCAATGGCTTTCCGCTTACTGGATGAGAACTGCCCACTGACTATAACAATCTAGGTGTCTGCCATATTGCACAGAGTTCGGGTACTACCTTCTCGATGGTATTGATCGCTGGGTCAACAATGTCGCTCTAATCTTTGTCGTCTGGAGCGAAGTATCCAGCGCTACGACCGTGTACCGATGGAGAGACATCGTCGACCAAACCGGCCTGCTCGCCTTTGTCATATACAATGTTGGATTCTTCGGCGGTCAAGTCTTTGGTATTAGTCTTGCGCATGGCATCAGCCGACCTGGAGCAGGCGCAGGTGCTGGTATCGGTTTCTACTTCCTCATGGCCATGATCGCTGTTTCCGTGGCAAGAACTCCCGGCGCGCGAGCACCTTCCTTCTGGGATCGGAACGCTTTCATTCGGAAGTTCTGGTTCCTCGCATTCTACTCGGTAAGTCGCACCAACTTTACGATTCTGGTATTCCAGTCAACTAACAGATAGGGCAGGGTAACCAACTCCGCCGCGACCTGAACGTAATCGTCGGCCAGGGCAAGAACTGGAAAATACCCGCATTCATGCCATTCCTCCTGCGTTATCTCAGTGGGCCCGTCCTCGCCATCATCTTTTCCTTCGCTTTCCCGGAATTCCACACCCTGCGATACGACCCAATGATGATTGCCGGATTCATCTTGTCCATAATCACCATAATCGTTATTCTGCTCGGCTTCATAATGCCTCGATACTATGATGCTTTCATTCCCACGGAACGCCGTTACGAAGGAACTGAGCCGACCCTACCGATGGAGACCAAGGGCGAACTTGCTGGCAGGCCCATTGCTGAGGTGGCGAGCGCTGAGCAAGGGCACGGCGTCATGAGAGACTCGTCTTCAGGGCAAGAGATCGATGATGACAAGCACATCAAGACGACTGGCTTGAAGAAAGCCACAGCAGGGACCTAGGTTTCGTTTTCTTTTCTCGCAGGCGAGTCCTATTGATGGGCTTCGGGCGGCGCTGGCAGCGTCGCATCTCCTTGTTTCTTCGGGCGGTAACTTCCTTCTAGTGCAGCGTTTGCGACATTCGTGGAAAGCGACCATCATATATGCTGAGAGCCCAATACCCAGGGCCCAGATCATGCCAAAGCAACCCGACCATGCTGTCTACAGCACATCCTATGCGACTCTGCCGACTCTAGCCCTGATGTTTTTGCCCTCGCTACTGAAGTACTGCTGACAAACTCCTGCCGTGCATCACAAAATCTGTCGCGATTTTTGAGTCGCTCTATCCTTCATACTACTTACCATCTGGAAGTTCTGCGTCTAGGATTTGAAGATCAAGATACGTGCGTACGGAAGATCGGGCTTCTAGCGCGGTATCCTGCATTCTTCGACGCTAATCACGCAATCTGAACGTTCCCACTTGTATGGACTGACATGTTCTAAGCCACATTGTTCAGTTGGGAATGAGCGGTTCTTGATGATCGATTGTCTATCGAGATTCAGGTCCATGTTGCATCCTTCTCTTATCCAATCTTCCCCGAGTCGAAAACACGTCGCATTCACTCTTTTATCAGTATGTGCGTTCTTTAATGAATCATGATTCCCTTTTGATGATATCCACACATCAATAGACATTCTATTCCATGTAGCCACTTCTTGGCTCTCACCTGGGCATGATATTTGACTATTTCTCCGAAGCTACCTAGGTATTCTCGCAGCACACCCATTCTCTTAAACGGGGAGTTGCTTCGCAGAGGCCCTATAATCCCAAAAGGTTGCTATTTTGAATTCTCGTATTTCGTGCTGGCCTTCAGTTTAGCGCTGAGAACCTCGTGTGCTAACCTCCCATCTCTCATTATGTCGCTACCTGACAAGCCCTTCGGACTAGGGGCCGCAGCCATATCCTGATCCTTTTTGCCTGGATTACGCATGAGGAACGAGCTATGCATTGCAGCAAGCGATTTGTTAGTCCCTAGATTACTACCGCTGTATGTCTTGTCGCCGCCCCCATCTTGTGGAATTCCCGCTTTGCCGTGGCCTCAACCACCACCCTCGCCATCATATTCATCTTCGGCGACCACCTCATCATCATCGCCATCTTTAATGTCGGTATCTTTTCAGATAATTTGACATCGGACGGAGTAGAGTTTGACTGACTTGTATCGGTCTCATTATCTCTTGGGCTCATCATCGTCTTTATCTTCGTCTTTACGCTTTTCATCTTCATCTTTTTGCTCACCTTTATACTCCTCGCTCTCACTTAGGGGGAATGTGGGATGAAGGGCTTCAGTTTACATGTCTTGTTCCAATTCAGATCCAGGCTCAGTCTCTGTAGCACTAACCTATGTATCAGATTTATTGGAATGCAAACATTCTGATTCAATGTGACCTCGGGAATTATTGTGCGGTGCTCAGAGCGTACAGAAAGCCTTACTGGGTACGACCTGAAGATTTACATCTTATTTCAGACGTTTAGTATAGTATGCGATCTAACCTCTATTTCGCTGTATACAAAGCACGTAAAATATTTTGACTGTTTGGCCATGCCTGACCGGTTGCGTTAGAGGCTGACTCGTGTCGCATCTTACTGCATTTACGCTATTAAATCTTGACAGCTTAATAGTACCTAAGGCGATGTACGCTTCAGCCCGTACTAAGGTATCCTATAATGTGCATTTCAGGTCCTGACAACCCTAAACGTACACAACTACAGTTACTCATGAAAAGACTTCAGACTCGAGCGCCAAGCCCAACAGAGGAACGCGACACAATGTCTGTTTAGTGATGGCCTACTTGAAACTAGCGTGATAGACCCTAAATTTCTCTCTTATAGTCCTGGCTGCATGAGTTACCTCGTACTCTCCCCGTCTTTCCCCATGCTCTACCGCTTGAACACTCCCGAGGTCCAACCAGCTAACAATAACGGATACGGAACGTGCAACCAACACACGATTGCTCATGTAAGTACCGAAATGCTACGCCGCAGTTATGTAAGAGCCATTTACTTTGCCAAGCTAACATCAACAGATTCAAGCGCAACACTGCCGAGTCCCCACTTTTACGCCTACCTGGAGAAATCAGAAACCACATCTACGAACACGTTCTCGGCCAACGCACATATGTCCTTTGGGTATATTCCTTCAAAGCCACATACACGCGTCCAAACGACCTCGCTCTCCTGCGCGTCTGTCGCAAGGTCTACGACGAAGCAAAGCTCCTTCCCTTCTCGCTCAATACATTTTGCCTTCCCCATTTCCTCAAATCATACCACACTCTCATGCTGGGACTTGATGCAAACGAACGTCAGGTCATCCGCACGGTTCGCATAACGTTCTATATCAGAGAAGCCAAGAGCCTCGTTGCGGATCTGCATGAGTGCAGGCTCGATTCTTTGTCGCAAGTCTTTCTTGCAGTGCGGTCTGTACATCTGCATGTGGGCGGGGGGGATTTCGATCCGACGAGATTGGACGAGGCAGCGATGTGTATTGGAGGGCGGGTACAGAGCGGTCTGAGCGAGGGTGTCGACCTGAAAATCACTCATGCTAAATATTGATCAGGATATCGTGGTGGAAACTATCATTGATTGTGCTCAGGCCGGAGCACATTACCCAGGAACGGCGAAGAAGTTCCACATTGCGTCATCACGCCGTCTTGATACTGACGATGCATTGGAGTCAGATAGTAATCAAAGTCTGTCAAGACTTCATCTCTTTCAGCTTGCAGGATAGATCTAATTCTGCAGTCGCAGGGAGCGTGAGGAAGTCAGCCTCCGAGTTCATAACTCGAGAGATAGGCTTTTCCTGACCGTTGAGTGAATGCGATACAAGACCGAAGTCCTGAAGCACAGCTATATCAATACTGCGCAACCTGACCTGAATCCCCCACCCCAACTTTATTTGACAGCATGCCTAACCACACCCTCAGCGACCCATTTCCCCTCAAACTTCTCCTCCAGAACCCTCAGCTTACTGAAGAAAACATCATCATCCACATAAGCACCCTTCAACCATCGTTCACCCTTTGTAGCATCGAAAGCCCTCCTAGCATGCAACACCCTCCTATTATCAAAGATAACACACTCGCCCTCATTCAACCTATACTCATAAAGGTTCTCTTCCGCACTAAGTAGCTTTTCATAAGCATGCGAAGCAGCAATGAACGAGCGAAGCGACGTGGAGTTACCGCTGCCAATACGCGCTTCGAACGGGCCCTGGAAAGGCGGAGACCAGTTTATACGGCGGATAGCTAGGTTGGCGGGGTCGCTGTAATGAGGATAGGCGAATGTCTCAATCACCGGACGGGTGAAGTGGTAATGGTACGTCGGGTGGTGGTAGTGGTATGTTACAGGAAAGGTACATAGCGTTCTGAAGTGGCCCTCGGATTGCCGCCGGAGTTGATGTGCTGCAGCGAAGGAGTCTGAGAAGAAGGATTCGCCACCAGGTGTGCGGGCTCGGAGAGAGTGCAGGAGTTGCAGATGCGGGGGGTTGGATGTGTAAAGCAAGTCCATGTGGAGACCAAGGTAGTCGGGCGTGTAGGCTATGTTTTCGGCTTTGGGTTTTGAGCGGACGTCCCATGTTCGGCCATAGAAAGTGTCTTTGAGGGTGCCGATACGGGAGGCGAGGGCTACGACGGACTCTTCAGATTCGGGCACGTTTTTGATGAAGAGGAGGCCGTAGCGGTTCAGGTGGGTGAGGGCTTCGAAGAGGGTTTCGTCTTGGGACATGTAGGTGTCGTAGTCGAGCCATTTGTTGTCTTTTACGATCCTGTTCTTGTCCCAGAACACTCTGTCATCGTGTCTCACTCCACCACGTAATTCAATCTCGGTATTGAACGCGCGTCGTAGCCAGTCGATGGAATGCCGTGTGCGGTGCTCTGGGCCGAAGCCTTTGACGTCTGTCTTCCATTGAAGCTCGATAGAGACTCCCTTCTCTTCATCAACTACTGTCTTGCAGCTACCCTCTAGATCTTCTGGGATATCTGAGGTCTGAAAGCGCTTGTTCTTGCTGTCAGGGTCCATGCATTGAGTACACGTGCAGCTGTCACGAAGGAACGCAGCGTCGAAGATCTTGGACTTTCCATCGATATTCACCGCGATCCTCTTCGCTGGGCTACCGTCGAGCTGACCAATGTTCGATTCATCATGAACTAGAAGTTCCTGCTCTTTCGATTGTCTCAATTCTTGCTCCTGTTGCTGTTGCAGCTGTTCCTGGCGTTTGGTTGGCCGAAAAGGGCCATGTGTAGCGGGGCTCCAATCAGCATGCTCGGCCGGCTTAGGTGATCGCCAGAACGAGTTGAAGAAGAAACGCCGTCTCTGAACAGCAATCGTAGTCCTGCGGGAGATTGTGAGTTGCGATCTCAGACTCCGTAGCGGTATTCTAGTGGTGATGGTCGAAGACATGGTCGGTCGCAGCTGATGGCAGTGACGGGACACGGCGGGGTTGCTTGCTTTTCAACGTCAGGGAGCGAACGTGGTGGAAACAATCAACCCGTAAACCGAGGTCTCTATCTACCCTTTGCCCGGCACATTTGCAATCACAGGTGTCCTACCGAGCATCGGCGGTGGGTAGCTAATAACGCGCGAATATAGCACGTGTCCCAATCGACGCGCTGGGCGCATGTCTGAGGGTGTCGCACAGCTGAAGCATGAGGTGGGAGCTTGTCTATCTTCACCGTTTACCGACACGGCATGCTGGCAGACGCAGGGCTAATATGACTGATAGGGCTCCCAGCGACAGGTTGTCGTCGCAGGTGCGGTGGCAGGTCTGGTGTCGCGGTATGTCCAATCTCCCTTGTTCGCGCACATGTCTGACATTGCGACAGCTTCGTGATAGCTCCCCTCGACGTCATAAAGATCCGCCTGCAACTCCAAATCCACTCGCTCTCCGACCCGTTCAGCGTGCGCAATGTCCAGGGACCCGTCTACAAAGGCACATTGGGCACCCTCAAACAGATTCTTCGCGAAGAAGGTGTCACGGGGCTATGGAAGGGCAACATACCTGCGGAGCTTATGTACTTGACGTACGGTAGCGCCCAGTTCTCTGCCTATACATACATATCGCATTGGCTAGAGACCATTCCGCCGCCATATACGCTTCCCAGCTCAGTCGCCAACTTTCTCAGCGGGGCTAGTGCGGGTGCTGCTGCTACGACCGCGACGTACCCGCTCGATCTTCTGCGCACGCGCTTCGCCGCCCAAGGCAAAGATCGCGTCTATACCTCCATCATCGAGTCTGTGAAGCACATCGCGCAGCATGAAGGGCCCAGAGGCTTCTTCCGCGGCCTCGGCGCAGGCGTGAGCCAGATTGTGCCCTACATGGGCCTCTTCTTCGCTAGCTACGAAAGCTTGAAGCCCATAACCGCTTCTTCTCCCATGCCACTGCCACTCGGAAGCTCTGATGCCGTCGCCGGTGTCATCGCGAGCGTTCTCTCGAAGACCGCCGTCTACCCGCTTGATACAACACGCAAGCGCCTGCAAGTCCAAGGCCCGATGCGTGAGCGGTACGTTCATCGGAACATACCAACGTATACCGGTGTCATCAGCACCATCGCGCATATATGGAAGCATGAAGGCAGACGAGGCATGTACCGCGGGTTGACGGTCAGTCTATTGAAAGCTGCGCCAGCCAGCGCGGTTACGATGTGGACGTACGAGCGGGCCATGGGCCTCATGCTCGCTTTTGACGAAAAGCACAAAGACGACTGAACTTTGGATTTTTAGTATGCATAGGTCGGCGTTGAGATACCAAATACTCCTTCATAGACTTCATTTGTCAAATCAAGCTACATTACAACTCAACCTCTTCGCAGAGACTACGTCAAATTTCCGAATTCCCCCTCTCTACTCGTCCACGTAACCTTCATCATCGGCTGCTCTAGGAAATTCTCGACAGCCCTCTCCGTCGTCGCTTCGCCCCACTCTCTCCGTCGCAATGTCTGCTGTAATATGAAGGCCAGATCTATATTGTTTACAGCTAACCTCAACGTCTCGCTCTTGGATCCTAGTATCACGAACTCTAAATATAGTCGTGGGGCGTCGCGGGCAGTCATGTAGAATGGTGTCGGCAACGGCCCTGGTGGTGGACGCTGATCCAAGAGTGGACGAGCGTGGGAGACATTTCTAGTGACGCATGGATCATGAAGAGGTGGTGAGGGGTCGCTTTGAAAGTTCAAGGCGTTGCTACGCCTCGTATCGAAGTCGGGGTATACATTGCTGACATCCTCTTCCAACTTGGCGAGTTCTTCTTGCGTCTTGATGTTCTGATTGTTGAGTAGCCTGTTCGTATGGCTTAGTTCCTCTATCTCTTCTTGGTTCTCACGGGCGAGAGCCTCGAGAGCTGCTAGACGCGCGTTTGCAGACATTACACTCTAGGATACTCTGACGAGCCAGGGGTGGGGTATCAGAGATATGGTAGAGATGATCGCGAAGCTGGTTTTGGATCATGCATGCTGGATCTATTTATCACCTACCACAGCATTGAGGATTGGAGAAGTCAGAGTGAGGTATTGAACTGCTAGTACGTGACTGCTGAGAGGATGTAATCTGCGTCCCTTCCTCAAAGCTACAAATGAACATTGTAGCGTGAAGTCGAGCTGCGCAGTCTGGGAATGTACTCTTCATGGAAGGACCCGCAAACGATGTTGGGTACGATTCGATATAAAAGCCCCGCGGCAACATATGCTGCTTACGCATGGACAACGACTCCACATACTGCTACGTAGTCAACCCCACAGTCTCTCGTCCTGACGCCGAATGCTGACATTACTATAGTAAAACTCAACGCACACATCTGTATTCCCCACTCTTACACCAAACCTACCCACAGCAGCGAGTTCGCATTGATTCAAACAACGAACTACACTTGAGTCGACAAAACTCCGAAACGACACTTCATATCATGCCGAATCAAGGCTGGATCTGTAAGAACTGCGGGGAGTGAATTATCACAATGAATGGTATTGCGAGGAGTGCACTCAAGTCCAGGAACGAACATCAAAGGAAGCGGACATTGGAACATAGAACGCAGTTGGAATCGACCAAACTGCACACCTCCCACAATCAGTTGCGCAGTGTATCAGGAGTAGTCGACAGCGTGAAAATCTATCCGACCTCATGCCACGTTATGCTGAATTGTTCAAATTGAGAAAGAATGTGTGATTTAGTGGAAGATAGAAAAACCAGAAAGCATGATTCAAAGATGAAAATAGAATTCGCAATCCTACTAAAACACGAAAAACTGGATATATAGATGGGAACAAAGAGTCGAGTCGGGTTATCGTATCCTTAATAAACGCCGCCAGCGCCCATCTCGGAGAGAGACAGGGGGGAGAGAGAAGAAAAACCCCCATAGTCGTGCTGTGCAAAGGCACGCCTTATGCTGCACTTACCGCCCACCCAGCCACCCTTCCAAACGCGTAGACGCGCAAAGTTGAAATGGAGGCCAGAATGAATCCGTAGAGAATCAGGCCTTTTCGTCCATTCGCATTCTGGCATCCAAGCCCCAGCACATCACACAAAAGAACGCCAGAGACGCAAGAACTTGCGTTGCCAACCACCCAACCGCCTGCTCTTTGCAAACTGAAGGATAAAGCGCTTAGTCGAGACTGTCTGCGCCGTCCATGTCCACATCTTCATTATCAGCCACCTTCCTGGGCTCTTCGAGATCCTTCTTGAACGCTGTCTTCTTGGCGTCTACATCGTCCCGGCTGAGGTCCTTCATCCAGGTGTTGTTCCTGACGAGAATCTCTTGAACCCTTTCTCTTCGCTCGTCGTTGAGCTTCTTGTACTCTTCAGCCGGCTTGGGAACGGCCTCGCTGAGACCCGCGCGCACGGCGTCTGGTTGCAGGAAGTACTGGACGCCACCCGTGCCGAAGGGTTCGCTGTTGATGAAGGTCATTACGTAAGCGGCGGGGCTGATTGAGACTGTGATTTTGTCGCTGTGCTTGACGTGGTCGAATCGTTCTTCCTCGGTGAGATCTTCGGCTCGAGCGAGACGCTTCTTGAGGTACGGGTAGTTGACACGGGAGAGGTCGACTTCTTCGGTGGGTTCCACAGCCATGTACGAGGCGACGTATGCTCGCCAGCGCTTAATCCGGTCGAGCGTGTTGAACTCAAAGGTCGGGTCATCCTTCTTGAAAAGACGGACGTGCGCTTCCATCTTGGTAGGATTCTGTAGCAAGGTCAGTACATGATCATCGGCAAACACGTTATCTCGACTTACGTAAGTGATGCGGTAGGTGTCAGCGTCCTTGGCGAACTTCTCGACAGCCTTGCGATAGCTAATTTCGTTCTTGTGAGTTGTGGTATCGTTGACGCGATCCTTCCTGAAGAGGTTGTAGATATCAAGGCTCTTATCCTTGTTATCATGGCTCACGACAGCAAGCGCGAACCGAACAAGCGAGCTCAGGAGCCTGTCGAATGAGTACAGCTGCCACCCAATCTGCAGGTAGTACCTTCGTAGTGTCTCCTCGATAAAGTTCATCTCTACTTCGCCAGAGATTTGATCTTGGAACATTTCGAGAAGCTGCTGGTAGTAGTTCGCTGATGGCGATGTGTCCTTGAAGAAGTCGTCGGGCTGCTTGTCGAGCATCTTGAGCTTCTGCGCTGCCTTTGGCTCCTTGGCCCGCGCGATGACTTCTCGTACCTCCTCTTCGCTATCCTTGAGCTTCAACAGCCTCTCGTAGAGCATGACAAACATGCGGAAGAAGCAGTAGATGGAAGCGTTGGAGTACATGTTGTACTCTACGCGTTGGTAGGGCTCTTCGTGCTCGAACTCTCTGTCGCCGAAAGGCGTGGGAGCATCGGTGTATTCTACCCATTGCCTCTCTGGCCGATCTGCGCGAGGATTGGAGTTTGAGCTGTCACCAGCAGCCTCCTCGTCCATAGCGGATGCATCGGGAGTACTGTCCCGGCTCGCCGACGCAACACTGTCTTCCTTGTCCTTCCGCGACTTGTTGTTGGGATCAAGAACGTTGCGGCGGAGGTCCCCCTTCTTCACTTTCTGCGACCGTTGGGAGACATCATCATCTGGAGAGGGCGTATCCTCGCCGGAATCATTGGGCGTATCGCGCGGTGAGGTCTGTACCCGCTGCTCGAACTTGGCAGAATCGATACCGAAGAAAAGAGGAACAAATTCTTTGATAAAAGGTACAACCTTTGCAAAGTCGGCACTGTTGTTGTTGTCCGCAAAAGTGAGCATCAATCGAGCCACGTCGAAGAGTACTTCCTCATCCCGGAAGGAGAAGGCAAACTGGTAGTCTGGCTGCGATATCTCTTGGATCTGCTGGAGGCGCTTCTGCTCTTCGTATCTGACCTGGATCTCGTTCGTGAGGGACTTGGGCTGGAACTGTCGCTTGTCGGCCTGCTTGACGGTGATGCTCTGGTGATCCAGCGACTTCCAGAAGATCTTCTGGGTCTGATCGCGCCAGACCTTTTCCCATTCACGCTGAGCGGCCTTCCAATCCTCGAGTTTGGTCTTCAAGCGGTGGAGAAGTACGGGAACAACGCTCCAGGGCATTTGGAACAGTTCCTTAATCACGTCCTTTCCTCTGTCACGGCCATAGATCTTCATAATGACACGCTTGTAAATCGTCTCGCTCTGTCCACCAAGTCCAGGCGGCAATGTGAATCCCTGTCTGTCCTCCGGCTTCATCGTGAGCAACTGATTGGCAATAGGCTCCAACTGTTGGATCGTGCGGCTGCAGGCCTCGATGTTGAAGTCATAGTCATGACGCTCTTCCTCGATTCTGTGTAAGCCCTCCTCGAAAGTGTTCTTACGATGGGCGACGAAACCAGAGTCCTCGGAAGCCCAGGTCGGGTGGGATGCCCACTCATCGTTCAGAACCGATCTGCAGAGTTCGTCGCGTCCACTACACACGCGTTCTCGTTCGCGCCTTGGCAGCAAGCGATAGCTAGGACCAAGGCTCCGGCAGTTCGATAACGAGACACGCGAGTTGACAGTCTTGGGGCGGGACTTTTGCTGCTCTTCGTCCTCGCCCATGAATTTCTTGAACCAAGCATAGAGTTCCTGATTTCCGCCGATGAAAGACCCGGCGCGATACAGTAGTAACTGCTTATCGATCAAGTCTTGCGAGTAAAGGTTGCAGAGCTTCAAGAACTCATTCATCGTATTCTTGTTTCCAATGAACTTCTTAACCCGGTCAAAGAAAGCAAGCTCATCCTGGCTGGGTGTTGTGGTGGTCGTCGGTGGCATTGGCTCAGGCAGCGCAGGAGTCAGAGTGGGTGATACTGGCGGCCCATCGGGAATTGCCTGCTTTGCGCCATGTCCGGTCTTTGCGCGCTTCAACATGTTAGTGGATGATACTTTGTGGTCCTCGATTGCATTCAAAGGAAGACCCATTTTCATCTCTGGTGCGAAGAGAGCTAAACAGTACCCCACCATCAAACATAGTGATGACAGTCTTGATGACAATGTTTGCGATTTGGTGGGGTTGAAATGGGAATAGAATGCGACCAAAGAAAAGAATTGAAAGGGTTGGGACAGAGAGCCATGGAGATGCACGTGCCTCTATAAAGAAAAACAACGTGACCTAACCCTGCCCGTTATAGTGTAGAATGATGTACGTACCTTGTTGACATTGCCCTGGTTGTATCCGCCCCGAACGTTGGAGGTTGGCAGTTCTTGTGACATGGGCGCGGGCATGGGCGCAGCCACAGGTCCTTGTCGCTCGCGCTTCCTCTTGTTGTCGCGGTTCGCTGTAGGTGTAGGTGCGAAGTTGCCCATCGGAGGCAATCGAGATGTATCGGCGCGTCCGGGCGTTTGTTGGTTCGCGGCGGCTCCGTATCCTGATTCACCCCGAACATTGCTGAGCATGACTGCGTCCTCTGCGGCGTTCTTGGCAGCCTGCTGTTGTGCTCTATGTTGAGCAGCGGATTCCGGAAGGAACTGCTTGAAATCCTCGAGGAGATCTGGCGCGCCACCAAACAGGTGGGTGACTTGGGCGTATACGTCCTGAATGGGCTTCGACTCTCGCTGATACGTCTGGAGTATCTCCAGGAAGTTTTTGTAGATGTCTGGGTGAGCTGCGAATCGATTCTAGGGTACTGTTAGCGTTCTGGTCCTCAACCTCAAAGTGAAGGATGTTACCTTGATCTTGTTCACGTAGCTGATTGCATGGTTGAACTCTACGGGCCCTCTCTTCTCGGCTGCTTGCCCACCCATCTGTGGGAGCTGAGCAGCACCGTTCATGGCCTGTCCTTGTAACGAGGCACCCGGATCAACGCTAGGTGACATCATTGAGCGGCCAGTAGCTGCAGATACTGCGTTCTGTAACTGCGAAACGCCTCTCTGCTCTTGTTGGTGGGCTAGCGCTGCAGCTCCAGCAGGGTCAGGATGAGGACGCGACGTAACCTCTGGCGAATGCGGTGCTGGGCCCTGCTGTCCTTGTGGCCCATACAAAGGCCCTCCGAGAGTACGATTATTGGGCGAAAACATCGATTCTTGACCCTCAGGGCCTTGGGCCCTCTGTTGCTGAGGCCATGGGCGTCCTTGAGCAGTCTCGTAGTAAGTGCTCTCGTGTTGCGGGCCGTTGTTGCCGTTGACAGCACCGCTGCGAGGCGGAGAAAGCGGCCTCGGAGCGGGCATAGTGGACACCATAGTGCCCATGGGCGTGGTTACCCTGATAGCGTTTGGATCACCGTTGGTGCCACACTCGATCTTGTAGCCGGGTGGCAGAAATGTGTTGAAGCCCTGGATCAAGGCCGGATTGCCCGCAAACAGTGTCGAAACCCTCTCGATGACGCCTGGGGTATCAATAGCACCACTCTTGAAGTCCTTCATAATGTCGAGGAAGCGGTTGTACACGTCGGGGTGGTCG